TGGATGGAGTGTGTGAATGACGATATGAGAGAGAGAGGAGTGAGTGTTGAGATGACGGCTGATAGAAGAGAATGGAAGAGAAAAATTAGCTGTGCCGACCCCACCTAGTGGGATAAGGTGGAAAAATAGAAGAAGATAGTGGTTTTTATTTCACGTACCAGAAATTAAAAGTGAAAACAGTTATATAAATCACGCTCTATAGCGCAATGTTATGCCGGAAGGAAGTCAGCGTAGATTTTTTTTTTTAATTAAGCGATATGCCAATTAATTGCTCTTTAAATGCTCTATTAGAATCCGTAATTTCTCCACGTTTATCACTATTAGTTAATTCTTTATAAATTAAAAAAATAAAATTAAAAATAATAATAATGCTATAAAACCTTAAATATTGCTCCCAATTTGCTCTAATAATTAAAAAAAAAAACATCATAATTTGGCAATATTTATAATAATTAATACAAAAAAATTATTTGCATGTAAATTGTTACACTATGACGTCATCAGTGATCGTTGAATCCACTGAAAGCTAATATAACCTTAAAATTAAATTATAAACATTAAGGCAAACATGAAATTGTCGTAATGAGGATTCATGCAAACATAGCGGATATGAGATCTGAAGCTCCTTTTTTTTATTTATTCTAGTTACCTCGAGGGGTTATTCTAGATTCACCGAGTTTGTAGGTGAGCTCACGTGGCTCAAACCGGGAGTTATGCTAACACTGGCCCTAGCAAGAGCCGTTCTTCGCAGAATCTACCACCGGATCGGAAACGCGACTCACTTAGAAGATCCGGCGAGAAACTCAGTGGGCTGTGTCTGAGGGTTAATTTACTCGACGAGCCCTTCGTCGCAAGCGACAGGTTCGACGAGAACGCTGACCGGTGCTTGAGGTGCCTAAAAGCACCGTTAGTGGATCGGGAGGATCCGAAATGACGTGTTTAGGCCGACGTCGACTGCTTTCCATTCTTTCCGCAGGATCGGGAATGTAGTTACCGGCGGCTGCGATGAGAGGGTTCTCGTGTCGTGCCGCTTTATCGAAGTGGATGGTGAGCCTCAGTTTTACAATACATTGGCTGGCCCAGTGTTCAAACCGAAACGCATATAAGAGAAATTGGCAGGGTAGTTGGTCGGCCAGCCCATGCGGGCTCCTAAGATAACGTTGTTTTATTGACTTAGTTTAGTAGTATAGGAAAAAGTGCATAAGCGTGGGAAAATGAGATAGCCACTTGGCGTGGCTTCTCGGGATCTTTCAAAAAGTCCACTAAAATAAATCTCAATAAATGACCATTATTTTTCTATTCCATATCATCTCGTTTCAATTTCATTCGTATTGATTAATATCTCAAATTAATCAACTTCATTTCGTTACGTTCCGTTTTTTATTAAACAGTATATACAAACAGATTAGGCTGTATAGTGTGATGACTTTCGCCTTTACAGTTGGAAAAATGAAATTATTACATACCTACTGCTTCAATTTTGAACTGTAACATAATCTGTTTAACGAAGTTCTTCAATTTTCGGTCAAATCAAAGATGTCCGATTAACTTGAAAATAGGCACACATATCAAGGATCAACAAAAAAAATATTTAATTACTTTAACGTCTTTAAATATCGTGTTCTTCTTCTTTATCTCCACCTTATCCCTATCGTGTTCGCAACAGAAAAGATCACTAATTTTTAATTACTATTGCCATTAAAACTTATTTTGTACTATTTTGTAGTTCTTTTTTTCCCTCGTCGACTTCCTCAACATACAATGGCCACCGATTTTTTATAAGAATTCGTGGATTCGGATGACGTCAAATCAATTGTTTCTTGATTCTATAAATTAACATTATTTTTCATATCTTATACCTTTAAACGAGCTTTTTGTAAATTAATATATGTGTACATAATCTGAATCTCGGAAGCGGCTCCAACGATTTTTATAAAATTTAGTATACAGGGGATTTCGGGGGCGATAAATGGATCTAGCTACGATTTATTTTCAGAAAATGTTGTTTTATTCGTGTTTTCAATAATCAACTTTATGACTCTTCCCGACATCTATTGGCGAATAATAATACTATTTTTCTTAATTGAGAGCAACTAACCGCTTTAAATACACAACAAGATGGCGTTATCAAAAAAAAACCCGTCTAGTTCGTTTAAATCGTGTTGCCATTTTTGTTTAAATTATAATAAGTAAAGTAAAAATGGAATTTTTATGTTTGTTTCATGGTTATTACAGCTTTTTTATTAAAGTATTTGATTATTACGAATCTAATACAGGTTTTGCAAGCTTCAAATCGGATCGCATAATTTTCGCGCCAAAAAAAAAACCAAGAATATAGTGTTCATTTTTTTTTTTTTTGCACAACGCTCATAGTCAAGCGAATACACACACGGCTTGGATAGTTAAATATACTGGGAGACACGAATATGGGTAATGTAATAGGTTGGGGAAAAATAGTATGCATGAAATGTAGTATGAATATTAAGTATGAAATTGTAATAAAATCTCTTTGGCTATATTTTTTTTTAGGGATTTTATGACCTAAGACCTTTAAGTCATGCCTTGTTTTAATTTATATTCTTATTTTTATGAAAACTGATAATATGGAGTGAAATGAAATGCAATGAAATGAAGATGATTAATTTGAGATATTAATCAACTGGAATGAAATTAAAGGAGATGAGATGATCTGGAATGAAATATAATCTTCGTAAAATGGTGGTCATTTACTGAGATTTTTTCGGTGGAATTTTCTTAAAAACTTTTTCCCCAACCTATTATATTTGTATAGCTCTCAAAACTATAAAAATATCACTTTGTCAGCTGAAATATTGTAATTTAGCACGTACGTAAATACACAATTTAAAGAAAAAAAAAACAAAGACACAGATATCAACTAAGTAAATAAAAAAATATCATTAATTATTATTTAGTCGTAGCGAATTAAATACGTAATATTTTGCATATGTATTAGCCCAAAAACTGTTATAAAGAAAGATGAAGTCTGGCGATTTCCTCCTGACCAAAAATAGAATGAAATGATAATGTTATAACAGAATTATTATATAATTAAACACGACAACTAGTGATGTCTAAATCGTTAAATAATCTAGGATGTTCCGTTATAACTACTGAACCGTGCATCCGATTGACTTGAAACTTGGTATCCATGTAGAAAATACATGTGCTTCATTGATAGGCTATATTTACATGAGTGTTGCACTCCCTAATAATTCTATACTATTCTATCAGCCCATGGACGTCCACTGCTGGACATAAGCCTTCCTCAAGCCTCGCCACAAAGACCGGTCCTGCGCTGCCTGCATCCAGCGGATCCCCGCGAACCTTAATAGGCCCATCTTGTGGGAGGTCTACCCACGCTACGTCTTCCAGTACGCGGTCGCCACTCAAGAACCTTCTGGCCCCAACGGCCATCCGTTCCGCGAGCAAAGTGTCCTGCCCACTGCCACTTTAGTGTCGCAATCCTTTGGGCTATGTCGGTTACCATGGTTTTCCTGCGAATCTCCTCATTTCTGATTTGATCTCGCAGGGAAACTCCGAGCATAGCCCTCTCCATTGCTCTTTGGGTGACCTTGAGCCTTCTCATAAGGCCCATTGTGAGCGACCACGTTTCAGTGCCATATGTCATCACTGGCAACACAGACTGGTCAAAGACTCCCTAATAATAATGACAATAAATAATAATGTTAATTTTAAATGCGCACGGCTAATTTAGAAATATAGTTGTAATGAATTAAATCATTATTATTTTGCCTTTGCACTAACCCAAAGAAGAAAGCTGAGTAGATATTTACATTAAATTTTAAACAGACATAAATCACCAATAATAAAATGATAATGTTATAACAGTATTATTATATAATTAAACACGACAACTAGTGATGTTCTAAATCGTTAAATAATATCGATTCGTAAATGTTTAATAATGCTTACAAATTAAATATTTTTTTTGTTTTTTTTTTGCAGTTGAAGCAATTCTTTGTATTAGCCGATGGCTGGAATGTACGGTTTAAACATTAGGGAATCTTTTTAAACCACTAATATATATTTTTTTATTGCTTAGTTGGGTGTGCATTTGTCGAGTCCATCCATTTGCAATAAAAAAAAGTCTGGGTGGATGACTGCACTGGCGTGGTAATGTTATAGGTATTCCAGTAGTCATTTGACAATAGGGCCGTGGGCTCTTCCAGCTGAAGACACGGGTGTATGTTACCGCTATATGATGTCCTATAAACGAGGTTCAAAGAGAAATCGTTTAGAACTTCTCGATCTTGCTATGTTCGATGACTGGTACTCTTATGAGTTATTTGGTCTCATCATCTAGTTTTTATGATTGTATCATCTGCCATTGGATTTCATTAATACTAACTAGAACTAGAAGAAGACATTTTTGCTGCCACATACCGACCGCCCGTCCTTCTTCAAACAAGCTTTGTAACAAATCCTCAGAAGTCAGCAGCGACTTGGCTGTGTCCTAGGTATTGCTGATGTCCATGATCGGCCGCTACTGTCCAAACTACTATTCTGTTTTCTTCCTAAGCCTCTAAAACTCCAAAACGCCTATCCCAATTGCTTATCATGTCGGAATCTAGTTGGCGTTGCTATATACCCCAATCGATGTTTTAGTCTAATGACGTGCCGTGCAATACCTCAAGCACCGGTCATTGTCCTCGCCGAACCGGTGAAGCTGAAATAGCCTCTCAAGGCTATCAGCATAGGTAGGGAAAAAAAGCTCTTGCTAGACACTCCCGGTTTGAGCCCCGTGAGCCCCGTGAGTCCCGTGAGCCTCACCTACTAGCTCGATGAATCTAGAATAAACCCTCGAGGTTACTGGAATAGGTAAGAAAAAAAAAGCCGTGCAATTTTATCGATATTTTTTTTATCGACATCGTCTCCGAACTAGCGCGTAAACATTGAACCCTATAATAAATTGTTTACATCGGTAGCAGCACGTAATATGTTTTCAAACAATATTATCATTTTATTATCGTCCTCCGACTGATGCAGTCAGCTGTTTTTGTTTTCATTGTTTGATTAGATTTTATTTTTATATTTAATGTAAATTTGTCGTACGTGAACATGACAGGTGAGTTTTGAAGAATCGAAACAAAAAGAACAGGTTATTTGCGTTTAAGCGTCTTTTATCTTTTTAATTAAAGGTCCGTTTTTTATTCGGTATCAGCATCAACAGTTCGATGTTTTTAATTGAACTTCAATTAAGCTTTGTCCATTTGAATAGCTGAAGAAGTTTTTTTGTTATGTTTTTTTTATTATTTTAAACTTTAAATAGCTCACAATGTTGCAAAAATATCGCTTAAACAAAATAACCTTTGAACCTTCGATGTGTACAGTCGGTGACGAAGATTTTTTGTTTTTTTTTATTGTGTTTTTTTTTGTTAATAATGTAGTTAATTGATGAAGATTTTCATTTTTATTACTTTTTTTTAAGGCGCTTATATGGGCGGACGAGCTCACAGCCCACCTGGTGTTAAGTGGTTACTGGAGCCCATAGACATCTACAACGTAAATTCGCCACCCACCTTGAGATATAAGTTCTAAGGTGTCAGTATGTTTGCAACGGCTGCCCCACCCTTCAAATCGCATTACTTCTTCACGGCAGAAAAAGCCAGGGTGATGGTACCTACCCGTGCGGACACACAAGAGGTCCTACCACCAGTAATTACCTACGCAAATTATAATTTTGCGGGTTTCATTTTTATTACACGATGTGTATTCCTTCACCGTGGAAGTCAATCGTGAACATATTTTGATAAGTACGTATTTCATTAGAAAAATTGGTACCCGCCTGCAAGATTCGAACACCGGTGCATCGCTACATACGAATGCACCGAACGTCTTACCCTTTAGGCCACGACGACTTCAAATACGCTTTTATTACCTTGTTTGTTTGTTTGTTTGTGTCTAAAGGATTTTTTGCAATATCATTGCCATTGACTTGACAATTCGCCCCCGCGTCACTGACCGATGACGTCACAATCATTTTGTAATATCACTCTTTAATATCCTGACCGGTATCGCATCCACAGGACGACAAATAAAAGATGAAACTATCATTAGTGTTGCGTTGTGGTGAATGAGAGTGGACTGTATTTATTAGTTTGATATCTTTATTAGTCCATAAGTGACAAATTAAAGATATACTAGAGGTCCCGCAGTAGTCGAAATTCGACTATAATTAATTGGAATTGTAAGTTTGTACACTATTATGATTGTATTCTATACTTTTATATACACAAATTTCGCTAAGACTGTACACTATAAAAAATATTAACAAAGATAAACAATATTTAATCTCAATTTGACAACAGACGTCAAGAACAAAAGTTTGACAATAAATAGTATGCATGCGTGTGTGCGTCAAATACATAGTATGTAGTGTGTGTAATGTTTTCTTTATTGATTTTATGTATCTTTTATGCATTATTTTAAAAAAATAGCACTGTGCACTTCTTCTCTATATTCTCTACAAGTGTGGAAAATTTCATACTCCTCCGTCCGCGCAATTTTCGTAAAAAGGGATACAAAGTGTTTGCTTCACGTATTAATATATAGATGTATATAATATGTAAAATGAAATTGATGTGTCGCCCTTAGCGGCTGGAATTGAAAAGGGGAAAGTTACAATAAGTGTCATAGCGGACGTCGCTCGTTGACACTTTTGACGTTCCGAATTCAAACAATTAGCAATGTCATTTCGACTGTCATCAATGACGGTGACGTCAAGCTGACGTATTATAAACGCGTTATTTTTTTTTGTGTTACTTTTGCACAAACATATAAGTTGTAATTTTATGAATTAGGTGTTCACTTCGAGAAATAGACAGCTGGCTACCTTTCCTGCTACGTGATTTTTTTTTATAACTTGGACTGGTAACCGAGCTCATGGTCCACCTGGTGTTGAGTGGTGACCGGAGCCCATGGGCATCAACAATGTGAATGCTGCCACCCACCTTCAGACACGAGTTCTAAGTCTGACTTGTACAACGATTCCCCCGCCGTTTAAACTGGAATGCATTGCTGTTTCTTGGCAGAAATAGGGGGCTGTTATCTATGTGCGCGGTTTCCCAAAACGGCCTAACATCAGTAATTACGCAAATAATAAAATTTGATTGCGGGTTTAATTTTGAAGTGATAACTTCTTAAAGCTGTTGTTAGAAATTACTTAAGTTAATTATTAATACCTTGCAAATGTTTTGGTTTATATTATTTGGTAAAGTAGACTAAATAAATAAATAAATTATGGGAGGGTAAGCCGCTTCGTTACGTAACGCGTTACGGCGCCAGTCCGTCTGGCGTCCCTTTCTCACACGCATACTATTTATATATCTCTTTCAATTTATGTTACAATTTTCCTTGTTTTATCATATTAATATACATAAAATTTAAGTAATAACCTAAGCTTTTCTCAAGTTAAACAATTACAATATTAAATAGTTCAAACTTAGGTTAGTTAAAGTTTTCACTTCTGTAGAGCGTCCCGAGATGCAGACGTTTTTTTTATTACCTACACGATGTTATTCCTTGATATTGCGAGTCGTTCGTGCTGTTATAACCCTTATTTCTATGGTCTTATGGTGCACCATGCAAAACGATGTTTCTTCTTCGGGATTGGAATTTGTAATAATTTGTATTGTTCTTATTCGATATTTTGCGGTTGCAACATTTTTCCAAAATTCAGTCAGTATTCGGAAAGCGCGCGCACAGTGCGGTCGTCTGATTAGAATTTCGGGAATGAATCGTAGCACTAATTTAACGTAATATATATATATATATATAAATGAATTGCTGTTCGTTAGTCTCGCTAAAACTCGAGAACGGCTGGACCGATTTGGCTAATTTAATTTTGGTCTTGTATTATTCGTGGAAGTCCAGGGAAGGTTTAAAAGGTGAGAAAATATAAAAAAAGCTCGGAATTATATGAAAACAATTTTGTTTTTCCTTTGATGTGTCTTTTATTTATCGATTGAGACACTACGAAGTCTGCCGGGTCAACTAGTTTCTTAATATATTTTCAATTAAAAATGAGCCTTGTTTTTTTAATACACTTTTATTAGCTTCAGACGTATGTATGTTAGTATGTAACGGAATCTTTGAACATGATTTTGACCCCCTTCAAAACGTCGGATTAACTCGAAATTTGGCACACTTAATAAGGACAGATGACAATTCAATATTTAAAAACTTATATGAAAAAATTGAAATTGAACTAAAAAATGAAAATAAATAATAGTTTAAAAAAACTAAAAAAAAAACGCTTTTATAGAAAATCCAATTAAAAAATGGAAAATAAATTTTAATAAGTTTGAATTAAAAATAGTGTAGACTATTATTTATTTTTTTATAATACCGAAAGGGCTGTTCTCATAGCAGCCACGGGTCGATTTAAAAAGGCGTTTGACGACTGCAAAATAAAATTTAATTTATTGGAAAAAAAAAAACACAAATTTGTATTTTCTTTTTGGCAACAATGTAATGTCGTTGACATTTCGGGGACAATATGGCGGCTTATTAACAACTAAATAAACATAAACATAACACTTATGTGCTTAATTAAATAAGGCAAGTTTCACTGGCAGTAGGTAGTCTTGGGAGGCCGCGCGGGTAGGTACCACCGCCCTGCCTATTTCTGCCGTGAAGCAGTAATGCGTTTCGGTTTGAAGGTCGGAGCAGCCGTTGTAACTATACTGAGACCTTAGCACTTATATCTTAAGGTGGGTGACGCATTTACGTTGTAGACGTCTATGGGCTCCAGTAACCACTGAACACCAGGTGGGCTGTGAGCTCGTCCACCCATCTAATAATAATAAAAAATTGGGAATACATTAATGGCTCTTAATGTTTTCGACCTTACCTTGCGTACGAAATGACCGATAAACTTGTAAATATTGATTGATATGAAATTTCTTATCGCTGTTTGGAAGTCGATTGAATGAGACATGTATTTTCGCAAACGATAATTTAAAAATATAATTAATAATATAGATTAAAAAACTTTAAAAAAAACAGGCATTTATAGAAAATCCAACTTTAAAATATATTATTTTTTGAAGTGAAGCTTCTTTAGGCGCATGGGGGTAAAATTTTTACAGAACGTCACGCAGGTATGCAACGGAAGTGACATCGAACTACTATTGAAATTAAGTACTTGTCAAATGTCAGTAGTAGTAGTTGTTGTATTTTTCCAACTGGAAAGGCAAATGTATCATACCATACAGCCTAATATTTTATAATTTTTTTGTGAAAAATGTTAATAGGAATTGAAATGAAATGAAAAGAATTTGGAACATTAATCAAATAGCATGAAATTAAATTAGTCAATTCAATTGGCAAAATATTAGTCATTTACAATTTAGAAATCTCAACATAATGTGACTGTCAACACTGAGGTTTGAGATTAACACATGACAGGCTTTTGGCGGGAACATAATCGACGCTTGAAAGGCAAACGTGACTAAGCGACAATGCGTGAACTTTACAGTAGACTAATTTAAAGTTGAAATTAATTTTAAATATACCTGAGAAATACCTGAAAAAAGTTCTATTTTAAAGAATCTAGCTGTAGGATTGAAATGATTTTAATAGACCTAGAAATATATTTTTTTTGCGCATCGAATATGGTTATTGCCTATCATTTATGTACAAAGCAGTTATTGTCGCTTAGTCACGTTTGCCTTTCAAGCGTCGAATTATCTTCCTTTTTCCCTTCCTCTAAGTCTCGGAAATCTAACGTATTAGATTTGTATAAATATAAGCAAGACTTATAAATTAGTTCACCAAAAAAGTTTCACTTCTGACATGTGTACTTTGTACGCACGTACTTTTTTATCTATGCTAATATGTATTATAAAGAGGAAAGATTTGTTTGTTTATTAGTATTGAATAGGCTCCGAAACTACTGAACTGATTTGAAAAAATCGTTCACTGTTTGGAAGCTACACTCTTCCCGAGTAACATAGGCTATAATCCTTTTCTAAAAAAAATTAGGGATCCTTACTAAAACTCCAATAATGTAACCCAAGGTGTAAAAAAAATACCTAAAATATTCTTTACATCGCGTGCGCTGCGAAAACGATTGATGATAGAATAAAATAATGTACTATGACTTTGTAGAACGCATTATTATTTACAAAAAATGTCGCGACAGCATCTTACTATTATAGTTATGCCGCAATAGGTGTTCTTTTGTTTAAAAAAATAAAACAACGTCTGATATCGTTTACAGGGAAGCTCTGACTGAATAAACTCAATGGCTTTTGTTTTGTATGTATGTATGATCGTTTTACGAAAATAAAAAAAAATAAAAAATGTGAGCCGTCACGGGACGCCTGGCAGATGTGAAACATCGACATTATTTTGTAAAAGTAATATACAGAAAAGAACAGATTGTGATAGAAACTAAATAAGTCTTAATAATAAAATAAAATATTACGAAAAAATTAATTTGTTTTCAAGTAAAACACAGGTTATGTGTACTGTAGTAAACAACACTGTATACACTACGGAGTATACTCTATAGGTATTCGAGCTCAGTGTAGCGAGAGAGATGGCTTAACGCCGGATCGAGTGGGAGAGAATCGCACAGTCGATGTCGTATGGCGACGCGTCGCCACACCGTACACACTACTGTATATATATATATACCATCATATACCGTGGCGACGCGTCGCCACGCCAGAAATCGGTTTTACGTGCGGCTATAGATGTTTCACATCAATAATATTAAAATAATAATAAAATAAGTAAAACAAATATTATGTATTTAAATGAAAATAAAAGTTGGGACTTTGACAGATCAAGGTCATTGACGTGCACATTCTTATTTGAAACGGACCATGCATACGTATGAAGCTAATAAAAGCGTCTAAAAACACAGAATTATGTGGTCGGCCGTCTCTATTTTTGTTATAACTAACTATACTAAAACAAGTTAAAATAGATACATAATATGATAATAATATGTCATGGATTTCATAATTTTTATAATACATCATATTTCATTGTATTTTTAAATAATTATTCTTATTTATTTATTTTCAAGATGTCGGTTATTTGCACTGTCATTTGCATCTATAATTGACGTGACATCGGTCATGTTAATTTGTCGATGTTTTGTATATTCATGATCGCTTTGTTGGTGCAACTTAATAAACTAGTGGTCTCGCGGTAGTCGAAATTCGACTATAATTAATTGAAATTGTAAGTTTGTACACTAGTATCAGATTATTTTCTATTTTCAAAGACTATTATAACTTCTATAATCACGAATTTCGCCAAGACTATTTAATCTATTCTCAATTTGACCACAGACGTCAAGAGCAAAAGTTTGACAATAAATAAATAGTATGCGTGCGTGTGTGCCTCAAATACATGGTAGTGTGTGTAATGTTTTTTTATTGATTTAATGTATTTTTTAGGCATAATTAAAAAAAATATTAACATTCTGCACTCCTTCTCTATATTCTCTATAAGTGTGTGAAATTTCATACTCCTCCGTCCGCGCAATTTTCGTAAAAAAGATTACAAAGTTTTTCTTTCACGTATTAATATATAGCTAAATATAGTATTTGCAGACACAATTAAAACTATATTTAATGTCTTCATTTAATCATTATCTTCTTTTTTCCCCTCTACATATTCTAGTGACCTTGAGGGGTCCTATTAGATTTACCGAGCGAGTAGGTGAGCTCACGGGGCTCTAACCTGAGGACGTTGCTAACACTAGTTAGTTACTGTATAGTTATTTACAACAAAAACAGTTTTTAGACGTTTATATATATGTGACACGCATGATGGTATAGGCTCCTAAAAGCGTATTGCTAAAATTTGCGTAATTACTGGCGGTAGGACCTCTTGTGAGTCCGCGCGGGTAGGTACCACCGCCCTGCCTATTTCTGCCATGAAGCAGTAATGAGTTTGGCTTTGAAGGGTGGGGCAGCCGTTGTGACTATACTGAGACCTTAGAACTTATATCTCAAGGTCGGTGGCGCATTTACGTTATAGATGTCTATGGGCTCCAGTAACCACTTAACACCAGGTGGGCTGCGAGCTCGTCCACCCTAACCTAAGCAATGAAAAAAAACATCGGGCTCGGGCGGCTATTAATAAATCCCGCCCATTCCGTCTGAGCCCATACTGGCCCTCTCATCCTGGTGAAACCGGAAAACCCATCAATAATCCCTTCCTCCCAAAAAGAAACATGTAGTTAGGTCACCGGTGCCCTACGCGGCGCACTGAAGTAATTACGTCGATTTCTGTTACTAAGGCGCCTGGATTGACTAACTCTGCCTTCTTTTGTTTGTTAATGTGTGTCTTAGTCGTTTAGGTCTCTTAGAAACAGATTCATTGTCAGTATCTTCGGATTCGTCTTACCCAGAGTCTACTAGATATTCCGGCGCCTTAGTGACTTACAGAAATCGATATAATTACTTCAGTGCGCCGCGTAGGACACCGGTGACCTACACGGCCGTCAAAGGTTTAATGTAGCGCTAAATTTGTTTTCCAGTTGAAAAGAAACAAAACACGAGCAGCCTTGAACATTTGTACAATGACTTCGATCAATGGATTAGTGATTACAATGACATTCACAACATTCAAAGGTACGTACGTATACATAGTCTTGCCATAAATACTGAGACAAAGGAAAAAAAAAATCTATTGCAAATAATAGCATTTATTACTTTTACAGTGTGTTACTTTAATACATAAATATAAAACAATTTAAAGTATAAAAAGCTTATTCGAAGTGGTCTCCATTGGCTGCAATACAGTCCTTTAAACGTTGAGGCCAGCTATCAATAGAAGCACGCACTCTTTCCATGGGAAAAATGTTCACTGCCAATCGTACGGATTGTTTTAGGGACTCCAAATTATCATGGCGTTTAGAGCAAGCCGTACTCTCTAAAACTGACCATAAATCATTATCCAGCGGATTAAGATCGGGATTAGACGACGGCCAGTCTTCAGCTCTGATGATGTCCGAAACGTTCGTTTCCAACCAAGACTGCGTAGACCGAGCTTTATGACCTGGCGCCGAGTCTTGCTGGAAGGACCATTCTTGATTATTGAACATGGTGTTGTTAAGGGGCTTCACTACCTTCTCAAAAATGGTATCTTGATACACTTGTGCCGATGTTTTGATACCTTTTTCACAAAAGTATGGCTCAGTCACTCCTTCATAGCTAATACTCCACCAAACCATCACCGAAGTCAGATAGTGCCCACGTTGCACTCTGTTGACTAATTGGGAAGCTTCCTTAGAGCTTTGAGCATAAATACGGTCATTTTGTATGTTAAAATGTTGCTCAATTGTAAAAAATTTCTCATCTGCAAACAAATTTTTTCTATGACCTTCCTTTGCGTACCGCTTCAGTAGTTGTTTCGATTTTACCACCCTATTCTCTTTTAAATTATCAGTTAAGAAATGACCAGTACGTCTCTTATAGGCTGCAAGTCCTAAGTCATCTTTTAAAATACGCTACATGGTTCTAAGTGCTATCTTCATCTCCCGAGATAAAATCTTTTGCTTTCGGACAGGATTTCTTCGAATTCTTTCCCTTACTGCTTTGACCACCTTTTTCGTACGAACACTACGTGGACGGCCAGATCTTTTTCTGTCCTAAACAGAGGAGGTCTCATTGCACCTATTAATAGCCCGGTACACAAACATTTTACTAATACCAAGCGTATGGAGAGTTTTAAAAATTGCATTTGGCTCCATACCTACTTTGTGTAATGCAATCACAGCGATTCGGTTCTCTTTATCACCGCACTCCATTTTAATATCGCAAAATATTGTACAATGTATTGGCGCCAAAATGAGAAAACTCAATGAGCAATCATATAAAAATGACAGATTCCAAATTCAAACGTAATATTTTGTTTATTTTTTATTGTAACAGTATTTATGGCCAGACTAAGTATTTGTTTAAGTTAAAGTATTTATTTATTTATATCTTAACTCGCTTTTGCCCGCGACTTCGTTCGCGTGGATTAGTTACTTTGGCATAACGCTAAATTTTACCCGCGACTTCATTTACGTAGAAAGAGAAAATATTTTTGAATAATTAAATGAGGAAGAGAAGCCATTTAAATCCCTATTTTGAAACATTTTTTATTGGTGCTCCGCCTGCATTGGTCTTAGCGTGATGTTATATAGCCTTCCTCGATAAATGGGCTATCTAACACTGAAAGAATTTTTCAAATCGGACCAGTAGTTCCTGAGATTAGCGCGTTCAAACAAACTCTTCAGCTTTGTAATATTATAAGCATAGATATAGAATAGATACGATTGAACTAGCGTTCACGCCTAATGTAACGTTGTTATAGGAGCCCATGGGCAGCACCTCGATGCAGACTCGATGTCTATGCCACACAATTGGATATTTAATTACGCAAATTTTAACGCTATGGAATTTGAATTTTATTACGCGGTGTTACTATTTCGTCAAAATCGTGTCACGTTATTAGAGAATCGTGTTATAAGGGGTATTACTGTAATTTATTTATGTATCGTGCATATTCATTTATATATTGTTTTTTTTTTTTATAGCTTAGATGGTTGGACGAGCTCACAGCCCACCTGGTTTTTAAGTGGTTACTGGAGCCCATAGACATTTACAACGTAAATGCGTCACTCACCTTGAGATATAAGTTCCAATGTCTCAGTATAGTTACAACGGCTGCCCCACCCTTCAAACCGAAACGCATTACTGCTTCACGGCAGAAATAGGCGGGGTGGTGGTACCTACCCGTGCGGACTCACAAGAGGTCCTACCACCAGTAATTACGCAAATTATAATTTTGCGGGTTTGATTTTTATTACACGATGTTATTCCTTCACCGTGGAAGTCAATCGTGAACATTTGTTGAGTACGTATTTTATTAGAAAAATTGGTACCCGCCTGCGGGATTCGAACACCGGTGCATCGCTCAACACGAATGCACCGGACGTCTTATCCTTTAGGCCACGACGACTTTTAAACTTGTTGACTTGTTTTCTGTTTTAATTTTTTATTTACTTACAGCGCTCTACAAAAACACAGACAAAAAGAGAACACGCAATGTACTACGATTGTGGAAAACAAACGTCTGCAAATCATCCTAAATAATGATATCGCGTTAATATTGTATAGAACCAAGAACAGAAATCATATTAATACAGACGGCTTATTTAACGGTCGCTCATCTAGGAGTGGCTTGAGTGATTTTCGTCTTAAATATATCAATTCGAAATTGTGGTGTTATGTTTTCTTTTAAGCTTCTTGCCTGGTCCCCACAGACACAGCCCACTGAGTTTCTCGCCGGATCTTCTCAGTGGGTCGCGTTTCCGATCCGATGGTAGATTCTGCGAAGCAATGCTCTTGTTAGGGGCAGTGTTAGCAAAACTCCCGGTTGGAGCCCCGTGAGCTCACCTACACGTCAAGAAGCTGAAATAGCCTCTCAAGGCTATCAGCATAGGTAGGAAAAAAAATGTCTGTATATTTAAGTGTATATTTTTTTGTTTCGAATTTTTCAAAAGTTTTCTTTTTTTTAAATTAATTATGGCTATCAGGGTCATGGGATGCCAGTGTTAGCAAAGTCAAAATTTGAAAAAAAAAAAGTCAAGCTTTACGTATTTAAATATTGATGAATTTAAATGACACGTAATGTGTTGAGATAAAATTATGTAATGGCGTCTAAGTAAAATGGTGGGAATTTACAAAAAATTTAGCGGCTGTATGACGGAATCCGAGAAACCACGTCCGGCGGCTCTGCTCTTTCTCACAATGGTACACTCTCACAGTTGTTGAACGGTTAACAAGACGCCATTGTTGGACGTTTGGAGTCTGAACTTATGTCTTTATGTCCAAACTTTAGACACAAAGAAACATTAAATTAATCCATTTAGCGTTGAACTCATTTTCAGATATTTTGCAGAAATGTCGTATATGTCGTTAACTTAATAACAATACTAAATAACTTATAATCAAACTGCGCAATAATCGGTAATCAATTAAACAGAGTCAATATATCAACGGTTTGCGATCAGTGTTTAAAAAAAAAAACTAAAAAAAAACTTCGCTTATCACGTTCCCGCCAAATAGTCTTTCATGTCAAGCAAAACCCTGTGTATCTATCTCATTAAAAACTTACAACCTTCAAAAGCCGCTTTCGGTCTTTTTAGTCATTAATAACTTTATTAGAAATCGTCATAATTAAGCCGACCCGAAAATGGCGTACTCCCCGTTGTTAATATGGAATTAATCTGTTGAAGGATTAAATTTAACTTTGTAATACACTCGTTTACCGAAATTCAACTTTTAATGATGGCGTGCTGTGGTAAATATTTGAAACTTAGATTAACAGAAAATCGTTTCATGGATGTTTTAGTCGATCAGAGTAACGCCATCTATCGGTCAAAGCGCAAAAACGGATCTCGAAACAACTAGAACCTATCTTGAATGTTCTGGAATATTGTAGACATGGTCGATATAAAAGATTATCCTTGTGGAACTGAAGATTTAGGTATTCAGGACGACCTCCACTCAGAACCGATTTGTAAGTATCAGTGTGCTTAATACGAGTTTTATAACGTTAAATAAAACGTAAAAATTAAAAAAATCGTGGCTCTCCTCAAAGAAACCTTGTGAATAATCTCTTAGACCATGATCAGCAATCAAAAGATAAGATGTAAAACTGCAGCCTATAATGAATGAGAGTATACAGGACATACTGTAAGTACAACTGTTCTCAAACATTCTTGTTTTAGTATATAACGCTGTTTTATCCTGCTTTTCTTCATCTAAATCCAAAAAAACCTTTGTTGCACCGGTTGTAACATCTTGTATCTTTTCTTCGGACGAATTGTCGTAAAACGCAACTGAACTAGTAGATCCTGAGCTTTTTTTTATGGTGACGGGTGCATTTTGCCTTTTATAGAGCAAAAAAATGCGTTTATTAAAAAAAAATGATATGATCAAAAAAAAACATTAAAAAAAAAAGTGAAATATTTATCTTACACGGTCTACACAAAATATGCAATCTTTGTCTAATGACTTTTTGTCTTCTCAATTAGAAATTTTTACGTGTCAATATTTCAAATAGATTATCTGATTATAACATACAGATTAACATTTTTGTCTTAAAAAGTATTTTAGGCCATTTTCCAATTACAGCATAAGAGCCCATTATGCGGCATAATGCTCAACTAAGCTTCAGCATAATTCGGCATTGTGCGTCACTGAGTCGCATTATGCTCTGTAAACCATTACTTAATGGTAGTTTTCCAATTACAATGTTACTCGGGAAGAGTGTAGCTTCCAAACAGTAAAAGAATTTTTCAAATCGGTTCAGTAGTTTCGGAGCTTATTCAACAAACAAACAAAGAAATCTTTTCTCTTTATAATATTAGTATAGATGGGAAAATAGATAAAGCTGTATATATATCAGCATTAGAACATGAAAGAAGAGATTTGATAGAAGTAGGTAATGGTACACGGATAGAGACGAGTTGAATAGAAAAGGAAAAAACGTCATTCAAAGGGCAAGTAAAGAAAATATGATTACGATCACCCACATCCCCACAAACACACAAATTTGAATCAATTATATTAAGCCTGGCCAAATGTACAGGTGTGCACACGTGACCCAATCTCATTCGAATAATTGATGAAGTAACTTGTTTACCAAACCACAGAGACGAAAACCATGGCTTACTAGGAATATTAGGTTGTAAAGACTTATGAAATTTTCCCATGATTCTCGCGCTAGTTTCCCTAGCTCCATCCCAAGTTTCCTTGAGATAGAGCCTAGGCAGCGTAGTCAAATCATGGCAGTAATTAGTGTAAAGATGAATGTCACCGCACACCACAGTCTCATTAGCCAGACGATCAGCTAAAACATTACCAATAATACCCACGTGTCCTGGAATCCAGGAAAACATCAGGACATATTCTGTTAAAACACAATTATGTAAAGCAGTTCTAATATTAAATATTACAGGATACATAGGTTTAAATTGAAATGGATATCTTTGAATCGCCATTAAAGGGTTTTTAGAATGAGATAGGTAATATAAGGGTTCTTTCCAACTTCATTAACAAAATTTATTCTGTTTTGAGGATACCAAAGTATTCCTCTGTAAAAACAGATGTTTCAGGAGGAAACTTAATTTTTTGGACTATATTAAATTGATTGTGATTAACACCAATTCCGACATGAGATTGAGAAGTATGTTTCGAAGCATCAGTGTAAATGCGATGCCAATCTTGGAAATTATTGTCTATCACAGAATTAGCACTAAAGATATTTCTGTTGATGTCCAAGTTTAAACAAACATTATGTGAGATAATCAAACTTTCAAAACTATAGGAGAACAAAGGAAGTGAAGGACACATGACATTAAATGGACATAAATATTCGAAAACGAATTATTAAATAGGGTAGACTTGTCTCCAATAAGGATCATCGCCCATAAAAATTTCGTTATGATAAACATCGCCTCGCATATACCCAAAATTTTGTCCAAATTGTTTATATCCTCGACCATCTCCACCAAAATGCTAAGCCCTGATAAATTTCATATTCATTTTTTAATTGCTCAGCATATATTTCGTCTTGAGTTTTTGCTGCATTAATGCCGGTTACTTCATTATCTTTGAGTTCAATTTTAAACTTGTTTTTTTCGACAACTGCATCTTCTTCAGCTTTTTTCTCAACAGCTACTCTTGCTTCAGTTTTTGGTCCTTCATATTTGTATTCGTCAATAAATCTACCTTGAAGTTTTGGTATATTTTGATGAATAATTTCAGGTAGATCACCTCTAACAGGTCTTTCCTCAAAATAGCTATCTCTAATTTCGTTCACAAAATCTCCGCCAAAATCACCTCGAAAATATTTAAAAATACGCGGCTTTGGTTTAGTATATACAAAACTAAAAATTGTATAAGTATGTATAGGGATCACACTAACTTTCATGGGACATTTATTTGTTTTTTATTTATATATATTTTTGATTTTAATTAAATTAGGTCACAGTCAAATACAGAAAGTTTATTTACAAACAAATATATAATTATGATCTTTTACTTTGTCATGTATTTAGGATAATAAACAATTAATGTGTAATTACATGTTACAACAAAGTATAGGCTTTTTTTTGTTAATGTAAAAATTATAAAACTTTACTTAAAAATGTCTAAATACAAAAAGAAAACTTTTGTTTTTGTGCTTATCTATTAATTTTACAAGACAACATAACATTGTTATTTTTTTTTCATTACAAGTTATGATGTAGGTAAGTATTAGAACTTATTAAATTCGCAAAGCAAACACATTGCTTTTTATACAGCCTATTAACTACCTACAGTCTTATAACACAAATCTATACTAAATAAATCTACAGTGGTTTTACGGATGTTCCGTTATAACTACTGAACCATGCATCCGATTGACTTGAAACTTGCTGTCCCTGTAGAAAATACATGTACTTAATGGATAGGTTAATATTTATATATGAGTATTGGACTCCCTAATAATAATGTTAATTTTAAATGCGCAGCGAGGCGGGCGAGTACGGTTAGTATGTTAACACAACACTTCATTTTAAATTTTTATTCTTGAATGAAAAATTAAACCAGTTTTTGATAAAATCTCGTTTTTCAACTGGCGTTCCTTTTGTTTCAGGCATAGTAATCCCCATAATAAATGCACCAAGCAAAGACAGACCACTAAAAGTATACCATATAGTCGTGTTAGTAGGTGATAGTAAGAATGCAGCATAAATCGCGACAAATAATGCCAGTAAAACATTTGAGAAAGTCGCGATCTCGTTTATATCGGGTATATACTTTGATGGCACGGTCTCATTCTGATAATAGTACGGTACTGCACCTAAGCCTCCATTATAAACGATAGTAAACAAAATCAAACTGACGACATTCGTTCCCCAAATTCCCATCGAAAGTGTGACCAAAAAAATCAGACACAAGTTTACGATAATCGGCAGTTTTCTACCAAACAAATCAGGCAAGAGTCCTGTAGCAAGATTGACAATACCAGCAGTTAATAATGGCGAGAGACTTTTGATTTGGGCATTATCACCAGTAAAAAGAGATCCTGAGAAATTTCCGATAAAGTCAACTCCGGTCGTCTTTTGGAATACGTGGGCGAGAACAACAGAAACAGTCGATTTCAAAGCAGTAGATGAAAACATAAATTTGGTCACCTCAATAAAGGCTTTTTCTTTTTTCACTTCCAATAACTTAAATGATCCTAGTGAACAAGCTAGAGACAGTATAGATAGTAGAATTGGTATCAAATTGAAGAAATTATAGATCTGATTAGTCACAAGAGGCATCAAGGCAACAGCAGTAGTTAGTCCGACCATAATGAAGAATGGGAAAAATGATGTAAACAGCCCCCGAATATTTTCTTTACAACTGAAATACAGTATCTGAGGAATGATCATACATGCAATACCTGAAGCAAGACCAATCAAAAATCTGGCCAAAAATATGACCAGAACATGCGGATACACCATTTGAAGCAAATATCCAATGAAAAATATGATTGCCGTCAACTGAGTTACAATAAGATGGGAATATCGTTTGATCATTAACATAGAAAAAGTGCCTACTGTTGATCCAAAGTATAGAACTGCTGGACATAAATTCTTAAAAAAATTATGGCTCTCCTCAAAGAAACCTTGTGAATAATCTCTTAGACCATGATCAGCAATCAAAAGATAAGATGTAAAACTATAGCCTATAATGAATGAGAGTATGAAGGACATACTGTAAGTACAAATGTTCTCAAACATTCTTGTTTTAGTATATAACGCTGTTTTATCCTGCTTTTCTTCATCTAAATTCAGAAAAACCTTTGTTGCACCGGTTGTAACATCTTGTATCTTTTCTCCGGTCGAATTGTTGTAAAACACAACTGAACTAGTAGATCCTGAGCTTTTTTCCATGGTGACGGGTGTATTTTGCCTTTTATAGAGCAAAAAAAAATGTATTTATTAAAAAAAAAAAATTATGTGATAAAAAAAAGTGATAATAATATGTTTATCTTACACTGTCTACACAAAATATGAAATCTTTGTCTAATGACTTTTTGTTGCTTTTGGTCTAGTTAGAAATTTTTGCATATCAAAATTTCAAATAGATTAATTAACTAATTAGAACAAAGATTAACATTCTTGTCATAAAAAGTATTTTAGAGTGTACTAATTAATATGGTTAATAGATTTGTAGCATGGCTCACTGAATTCGGCATTTTTTTTATTTTCGGATTTTTTTAAATATTTTTAATTATTTGTCCGTCGTTTGTTTGTTAATGTTCGAATGTAAAAAAATTTTGTTCGTCGTTTATTTATTTATAATTAATTAAACAAATTATCACCCTTAAGCTGGCCCCTCTTACTAGATATCTTTATTTATATCGCTCAGATTAATTAATTTTGATCAATTATCGTTTGTTCGACGACTATTGGTTCGATCATAAAAACAATTAAATTCCCAATTATTAATTATTTTATATGTAATAAGCAAACCATCACCTCACGCCTACATTGCGCATGCGCCGGTTTTGTCAGTCAACTGAACTCAGCTGGCAATGGCCGTATTTACTAGCGTTTTGTTAACAAGTGCGTTTAACCTAACAAACTATCGTTTAACAAACGACGAACAAATAATAAATAATTAAAAAAATCCGAAAATAAAAAAAAGGGAGGCCAAATTCAGTGAGTCGGTTGGAACAGTTTTGACGTTTTTCGTATAAATTGACAAGAGCAGCTTTTTAATTCCTATTTGAAGACAGGCAAAAAGTCTGAGAACAGAAAACCTAACTCGATGCTATGTATTGGAACAATTATACACTAGGCTGTTGACCGACGTGGGCTGGTGCTGTTAAAAATATTGATGTACTTGTGTAAAGATGGTTTTCTAAATAATGATGAATAAAAAAAACTGACGAAGCTTTGTGTAATTTTATTTAAATAAAAATATTTAGAATATAGCAATTTATGTTAATTATCATGGTTTTCGCATTTAAGGAGGTTCTATGTTTATAAACTCGAAAATTTAATACAAAGTCTAAATTAATAAATTTTCATATATTTGTTAATTCCGGTACGAATGACTTCATCAGATGACAAAAACGAATGTCGGAACAACTAGAAAGTTCCGGATGCTCAAGAACATTCTCGATTGTTCCAAATAATTGGAATATTATATTCTAATGGCCCGGAAAACGTTCTTGTTATAGACAAGAAGAATCTAGAATTATCTCGATGGGTCTAGTTCTAAGCGCTATTTCAGTGAGCCTCTCAACAATTATTTGCTGCTAACAGATGGACACTTTTCAACTTGTCCCCTATTCAAGATCATACCCCTTAATTTTATCCTCCATGGTTATGGTACACGCAGTCAAAGAGCGATCTTGGCGGGTACGAAATTGCATAAATTGTTTTGATTTGTCAATTTAGGGTTTCTTTTGGTTTAAACCGCAAATAAGTTTGATTATTAACCACAAGCTTTTTGAAACACAAGCGTGGCACAACGAAATCGATGGACAAGACTTCTCCGGCTCCAAATGTACAATGTACATAACATTATTAGTGAGCTGTCATCGCTCATAGTTTATTTTATTTCTCCGCCAAATTATTTAATTTAATTTCATAATAATATTAATTTCGGTATTCATTAAACAGCATATTTTATTTAAAAGGATTTTATTTGTCATACAAGAGACATGGTCCCGAACTTTGTAACCAAGGTTTAAATGTATGTATAGACTACGTTCCGTTTGCGTGTTCGACACGAATCAAAAAAAAACACCAGATTTTTTTAAGGGATTTTATGACCTGGTAACTAAAACTTTTAGGTCAAATCTTAATGAAAAATGATATGGAGTGAAATGAAATGATCCCGAGAAGTTACATACGCCCAGCTACTTTGTTTCATTTTCCCACATTTGTGTACTTTTACAGATATTAAACAGTTAATAAACCTTTTAATAAACACCACACTCCACACAAATAGACAAAATAAAACAAATCACACAACTTCACTCCTCGCGTTCCCGCCAAAAAGTCTCCCTATGGTTATTTCTTAGTGCAACCATAGACAAACTTAATATTTGCGAAGTGCAAATAACATACTAATCTGTGTAACAGTGTTTTTGTTATAGAAAATTTTATGATTACAAAAATGTGAATAATTTCTAATTTTAACAATAAAACCAATAAGTCACTGTAAGTATATTAGACGATATGTCTTTAGTTTGATTAATTTTACATACTACTTAACCCTAAAAGAAGAGTTATAAGAGTGTAAAAAGAAAGTTTAATTTTATTCAAAATATGTCTTAGATTTGTATTCATTATTTTTCTTGGAAAAAATATAAGAAAAGGACAGTTTACTTGCTTAGATCAATAATTGTCAAAACACCGGTCGGCACTATTGTATAATGAATCATTAATTACATATAAACGTTTAAATAATTAAATATTTGTTTCCTAGATAACTTAGGTTACACAAATAAACAGCTAGCCTAGGAGGTCCCTTAATGTGGTGTGCGTAGACTTTCTACGGCTTCCTCCATAGTTTTACGCAGCTGCCCTCGGAATGATTCCAGCAACAACCTTAAACCATACTCCTTCCTTCTCACCTGACCTGTAATCCCAGTGTGATGACACCTATCTATCAGACCCAACAGTGTCAGATCTGTGCTCGATTTCCTCTGCTATAGTAAAGTATTTCATCGACACATAATTTTAGTGTCCTGAGAAGAATTTTTTTAAATATATAGATACATTTATTCGAGTTTCAATGTACAGACGAGTTGTCAGCCTGCTTGATTTTATGGTTACCGAATCTCATAGTCTACTATATACTATAGTAAATGCCAACACATACAAATTTAACAAAATATAATTACCATATTTCGGTGTAACACGACCAAACACCCTAGCTAGCTATAACACACATTGCACGTTTATTTAAAGTTGTAGATGAACAGTAATAACAGTCGTACAACAACCTGGTTCTGCGGAATTCGGGTTCGGAACGGGAATTGCCATTGTAATATTTAACATTCACATTTACTAATTACAACAATAACATGAAAGATATAACAATACATATGGCATAGAACATTTGTACTTGATAGTGTGTATTAAAGTGAGCTAGTACAATCCAGACATCATTAATAAACAATTATTGCACTCTCGCTCTGTGCTTGCATACCATAAATGTATCAAAATTCAATTAAATCTATAATTACTATTCGGATCCTAATTAAATTTAAATGGGACAAGAAACACCAGCTTACAAAAAACAGTTATGAAATAAAATAATGAGGTGCTATTGGCTACCCCCACCTTATTTTAAAGTTGGTTAGTAAAGTTTCTATTTCGAGTTAGTGGTGGTATACATGTGGCATTTAATTGTCTGTGTCAACTGATATTATTTATTTATTTATACTTTATGTGCAAAACAAAACTTGCACACAGGCAGACTTAATGCCATGGGCATTCTCTTCCAGTCGACCATAGGGTGGTGCAAAGATAATGCATGGTAGGTGCATTAACAAAATAATAACTAACAACAACAACAAAACAAAAAAAAAAACAAAATCAAAACAAAAATCTTTCTTAAAATAACATCTCAGTATTATAGAATACATATAATGTTAAATATAGGTACTTACAAGATGGCCGTTGTTTATAATATTATTCTGCATAGTTATACACAAATAGATGTTAGGTGCATAGTTATATACAAAATATTAGTGTACCACAATGAATTATTGCATAGCTATAGTAAACCTCATAAAAAGCCGGGACATCAAAAATATTGATGCCTTTGAAATGTGGGTGTGGCGGAGGATGCTGCAAATACTGTGGACTGCCATGAGAACAAACGAGTCCATTCTAAGGCAGCTAGACATCCGAAAAAGGCTCTCTTCCATCTGCCGGGAACGTGTTATGAGCTTCTTCGGACACATTATGCGGTCTCACAGACATGAATTAGAGAAGCTCATAATTACTGGTCGAATAGAAGGCAAGCGCGCCGTGGGCAGAACACCAGCCAGATGGTCAGATCTGGCAAGAGAAGCACTCGGTGGTAGTCTGTACCATGCAGTCCATGCCACCCATGATCGAGCACATTGGAAGTACGTCGAATGTGGTCGCGATCCTCAATAGTGAGGGAACGATATAGAAGAAGAAGTAAACCTCAATTCATTGTTATTGACCGTTTGATTAAATTGCGGATTGCATATCGGTTTCCAGATGGCATTGTTCATGAAACAGGATTTCACTCCTCCGATCCTGTCGAGAAGATGGCTGGCTATCAAATTCAGACCGAACATGGTGAGAAATTTAGTATTTAGATTGGCAGATGTGGAAATTTAAAAGTTGATGCTTCGTTCTCAGTGAACTCATTCTTGTAGTTATACATATAAAAATATCTCTTGATAATTATATAATTGTAAATAGACTTGCTTTAACAAATACCGAGTTCAAGAAGAAAAAAATATATTAAAACATTAATATAAAATATAAAAAAAAAAAGAAACTAAAAACAATAATGATCGAAATCGGTTGGCGTGATATTGAGTTATTTATCTATTTGTCGCGCACGTACTTAATGCAAATTTAAGACTTATATTTTCTCATGGATACCATTATCAGAACTGGACTAAATTGAAACGGGACCACACTGGAAGCGTCAGCTTTTTAATAAAAAAAGAATCATCAAAATCGATTCACCCAATCAAAAGTTGTGACGTAACAAACATTAAAAAAAACATAGTCGAATTGAGAACCTCCTCCTTTTTTGTAGTCGGATAAAAATAACTGAACAAGCTCTAATCAGGGACTAGGTACTCTTAAGAGCGATGTCATCAGACGATCACTGGAACATCCAAACAATACCAAATACCAAACAGATTTAATGCAAAACAGTTTTAGAATCACTGGTTCTACCGAGAACCAGTGGCTCTGAACCTGCTTTAGGTCATGGTATGTAGCCATCTTCCGACACAAGATTATTGGACAGATGCCTGAATTTCGCTTACGACATTTTCAAGATGAGCTTGCTGTATATACAACTTCCGAACCACATTAGGACCGTCGGTCTACCCAGCAATATCACCCGCTCGGTGGAAGATCTTCCCTTTGTCGTATACCTCCAAACTATATAATATGTATGTCGTATAGTCGTCGTGGCCTAAAGGATAAGACGTCCGGTGCATTCATATGTAGCGAGGCACCGGTGTTCGAATCCCAGGCGGGTACCAATTTTTCTAATGAAATAAGTACTCGACAAAATATGTTCACGATTGACTTCCACGGTGAAGCAATAACATCGTGTAATAAAAATCAAAGCCGCGACATTATAATTTGGGTAATTATTGGTGGTAGGACCTCTTGTGAGTCCGCGCGGGTAGGTACCACCGCCCTGTCTATTTCTGCCGTGAAGCAGCAATGCGTTCCGGTTTGTAGGGTGGGGCAGCCGTTGTAACTATACTTGAGACCTTAAAACTTATATCTCAAGGTGGGTGGCGCATTTACGTTGTAGATGTCTATGGGCTCCAGTAACCACTTAACACCAGGTGGGCTGTGAGCTCGTCCACCCATATAAGAAATAAAAAAAATTAAAATTAAAAATTTACAAGGTGAAATCAAATCAATATAGTTTTGTTTTTTTTCAATATTTTCAGCTGATCTATAGTCGCCATCACGTGATAGCCATATTAGAGAGTGGTTTGATGTTTAGAGAGGACAGCGTTGAGGTGGAACAAGAGACCCCTTCGCCGGAGGAGGTGTGGGCGGTCGCTGGGGGCTCGATGGGGGGATGGCTCACTAGGGGCGAGGCAATCATCTCTGGAGGCCTAGTTACTGCTGCTCTGATCGCTTTTCCGCCCAAAAGGTATTAATAGTTTTTTTTTTTGATGTGACAACGTCTTATAATTCGATGGAGCCGGCTGCACGCACGAAAAAACATGACTCATGCGGCGTTACCTCGCTCCGAGGCGTTCCATTTAAGGCTTGAAGTGTAAGCGAGAGCGCGCAACGAGCGACAAAGAGGCACAATCGGCCTCGCGTTCGGCAGCGTTAGACATCTGTCTCTCTCCTACTTGAGTGAGCGATGCATCCGCGTGGACAGCTGCTATACAATAATACATTTAAATGTTTTCGTCAAGTATGAAGTTCAGTGAAAAGTGAATGTGGTGTCAATTGTCCATACAAAATTATACAACCTTAGAACTTATATCTCAAGGTGAGTGGCGCATTTACGTTGTAGATGTCTATGGGTTCCGGTAACCACTTAACACCAGGTGGGCTGTGAGCTCGTCCACCCATCTAAGCAATAAAAAAAAAAGTTAAACCGGTTCAAATTTTCTTTCCAGTTTCGACAGAAGAGCCCTCCTGAACGCGGGGACGTATCTGGCCATGCCGATATTGGTGCGGTCCGCGCACCGCTCCCGGTGCGGCGGCTCGCTGGGGGCGCTCGTCTCGAACATGCGGGAGTACCTGTCGCTGGCGCGCAGAGCTGCGGCCTGTCTCAAGGAATACAGGGCGCTGCACACGGATACGTGAGTGTTGCATTGTGGTGAATGAGAGTGGACTGTGTTATTAGTTTGATATCTTTATTAGGTCACTATCTGACCTGGCAGAATTCGTAGTGCCTCAATCGATAAATAAAAGACCCAAGCTTTTGTATAAAATAAACTTAAAACAAACAAAAGGAACAAACAATCCGTCCGACGGGGGACGACAGCGCATCAAAGGAAAAACAAAATTGTTATATTTATTTAATTCCAAGCATTTTCATATTTATCTACCTTTTAAACCTTTTCTGGACTTCCACGAATAATTCAAGCCCAAAATTAGCCAAATCGGACCAGCCGTACGCGAGTTTTAGCGAGACTAATGAACAGCAATTCATTTATATATATATATATATATATATATATATAAATCCCGTAACTCTTTTGGCAACCTTTCATTTTCCAACCTTCTGACAACCACCACTTCTAATAAACTTAGAGCAAAATGAATCATGTATATTAACGTATTAACGAATATGAAACTGACTATGTAACTCGAAATTCACCTTGTCGCAATATCCTAGAAAATACTAATATACTANTTATCCATTTTGATTATAAACAAAAGAGAATTAACCACTAATCAATCTGTAGAAGTAAACCTAGATGAACCTAGCTTGATAATTACAGTCACATTCATCAGGTGTATAATGATCATATATGGTATAATTGCAAATATGACACCAAAAAATCTTTTTTAGTAAAAAAAATATCAATATCAATGTACCGACCGTAATACCGAAATAATGACTAGTACTACTATTAATAAGTGGGTTACACCCACGACACGCACGTTATAATAAGTACATAGTTTTGTATAATTTGAATCCGAAGTGAATAGTCGGCAACGTCACGTTGTTCACAAGCGAAATTTCGAGCTGCCTGGCGACGCCAAATCATCGGTATGGTAAAAGCCAATATACAGCGCTACGTATACACACCCTCTGGCGGCACCGCTCGACACTGCGATATGCTTTTCCAAACGTTTCTGAGGCAATTTGGTGACCATCTCAAAAATTGATATAGTAACCATAGCGTCATCTACAGTTGATTGGTGTAAAAAATATTGAGAAACAAAGTGGCGACCGCATATTGGTCGCCAAATGTCGGTGGTCGCCACTTTAAATGTACTTTTGTGTTCATTGGATGCCAAAAGTGTTGCAGTATATAAATATATATATATATATATATATATATATATATATATATATATAGATACGTGACAAATTAAAGAATTTAACATAAATGAATCTTATACCTTTGAACGAGCAATTCTTGTATAAAAAAATATATATAATCTGAATCTCGGAAACGGCTCCAACAATTTTCATAAAATTTAGTATACAGGGAATTTCAGGGGGCGATAAATCGATCTAGCTACGATTTATTTTCAGAAAATGTTGTTTTATTCGTGTTTTCAATAATCAACTTTATCGATAATCAACTTTATGACTCTTCGCGACATCTATTGGCGAATAGTAATACTATTTTTACTGCTTTAAAGACACAACAAGATGGCGTTATCAAAAAATAAAAAAGCCGAACAAAGCTCGGTCATCATCTAGTTAGTTCATAAGTGATAAATTAAAGAATTTAACATTAATGATTACAAGAAATCTATGTATATATATAAAAATGAATCGCTGTTCGTGAGTCTCGCTAAAACTCGAGAACGGCTGGACCGATTTGGCTAATTTTGGTCTTGAATTATTTGTGAAATCCTAGAGAAGGTTGAAAAGGTAGATTAATATGAAAATTCTCGGAATTAAATAAAAATAACAATTTTGTTTTCCCTTTGATGTGTCCCCCGTCGGACGGATGCCTTTTGTTTGTTTTAAGTTTATTTTATACAAAAGTTTTGGTCTTTTATTTGAGTCGACTATTATCAAAGCCGGCAGTGTGACTTTTGGACAATTATTGGTAAATCAGAAAAACGAATTATTGACTTTGTATTCCATTGGCAGTCACAAAACTCTTCTGAACGACATCTTAGATAAATAACAGGTTAACTATTAACCTTTATTTAATGCAGGTTCTGAACCGTATTCTTTGAAGGAGACGATTATATTCAAATCAATCTGTATTGACATATCAATAACATTTTTTTGTCCAAATGCACAGATTGCCACCTTTGATAATTTATAATAGACGACTGATTTATCGATTGAGGCACTACGAAGTCTGCCGGGTCAGCTAGTATGAAGTAGATGTGTCGCCTTTGGCGGCTGGAAATGGAAAGGGGTAAAGTAGTAGTAGTTTTATTTATTCAAATGGAAAGGCAAAGGTGTCGTACCATACAGCCTAATCTTTTATATAAATTTTTTTATTTATGAAATATGATACTATGAAATGAAATGAAGTTGATTAATAATATGAAACATGACATGATATGAATTGAAATGAAATGAAATGATATAATATGGGATACTTTTATGCAAAATGATAATATGAAGTGAAATGAAATGAAGATGATTAATTTGAGACATCAATCAACTGGGATGAAATTAAATGAAATGAGATGAGATATGGGATGAAATATAATCTCAGTAAAATGGTGGTCATTTACTGAGATTTTTTCAGTGGACTTTTTGGAGGATCCCGAGAAGTTACGTCCAGCGGCTTTGTTTGAAAAGGGGTAAAGCGTCATAGCGGACGTCGCTCGTTGACACTTGACGTTCCGAATTCAAACAGTTGAGAGCCATTAGTTATAGGGAATCGTCTCTGATGACGTTTTAACAGCCCGCTGAGTTTCTCGCCGGATCTTCTCAGCGGGTCGCGTTTCCGATCCGGTGGTAGATTGGTTTTTTTTTTTTATTGCTTATATGGGACTTTTGGCGGGAACGCGAGGAGTGAAGTTGTGTGATTTGTTTTATTTTGTCTATTTAGTGTTTCTTCGGGTTTAAATGTGTAATAGTGGTGGTTTATTAACTGTTTAATATCTGTGAAAGTGCACAAATGTGGGAAAATTAAACAAAGCTGCTGGACGTAACTTCTCGGGTTCTTCCAAAAAGTCCACTGAAAAAATCTCAGTAAATGACCACCATTTTACTGCGATTATATATCATCCCATATCATCTCATTTCATTAAATTTCATCCCAGTTGATTAATGTCTCAAATTAATCATCTTCATTTCATTTCACTCCATATTAACATTTTTCATAAAATTAAGAATATAAATTAAAATAAGACATGACTTAAAGGTCTTAGTTACCAGGTCATAAAATCTCAAAAAAAAAAAATTGCTTATATGGGTTACTGGAGCCCATAGACATCTACAACGTAAATGCCGCCACCCACTTTGAGATATGAGTTCTAAGGTCTCAGTATAGTTACAATGGCTGCCCTACCCTTCAAATCGAAACGCATTACTGCTTCACGGCAGAAATAGGCGGGATGGTGGTACCTACCTGAAAAAACTTCTATTGTACCTAAATACCTGAAAAAAAATCTATTTTAACGAATCTAGCTGTAAGATTGAAATGATTTTAATAGACCTAGAAATATGTATTTTTTTTGCGCATCGAATATGGTTATTGCCTATCATCTATACATATATATAAAATTGGACTGTCTGTTTGTAATATTGGAATAACCGCTTTTTATTACGTGCATATGAATATATATACAGTACATACACCAAAATAGCATTTTTTACAATTTTTGTCTGTTTGTTCCGGCTAATCTCTGGAACGGCTGGACCGATTTTTACGGGACTTTCACTGATAGGTAGCTGATGATATAAGGAGTAACTTAGGCTACTTTTTTTAGACTAGCTTCGTCTCACGGCGTCACTCGCGGTACGACAATAACCGCGGGTTACATCGCGGGACTCAGCTAGTCAATAATAAAATTTAATGTTTCCGAAGCGAAGCGAGGGCGGGTCGCTAGTTTATGTGTAAAGCAGTTATTGTCGCTTAGTCACGTTTGCCTTTCAAGCGTCGATTATGTAGTGGTCGCGTTGTGCACCGTCAGCGCCGGCGTCGCGTCCGTGCTGGAGTCGACGCACGCGCTGCTGTGCCGGCAGCAGGCGGGGGCGGCGGTGCTGATGTCGCGCGCGTCCTCCTCGTTGCTAGGCAACGCGCCCTGGCTCCGCGGCGACCTCGCCTGGGACGCCGTTGCCTTCGGCGACACCGACAACCTGATGGTGAGAGACTTAATGAACGAATGAATGAACGATTGATTGAGAATGGTTTTTTACACGCTTTATATTATAGCCTCACTTGTATGTATGTTTGTAGCTGATTCCTTTAGACGCGATTTTCAACCCACTTTAAACGGCCAGATTTCATTCAAACTTTTTAGATTTCTCGAGGACCGATGACAATACACTAATTTGATAAAAAAATTCAACAAAAAAATGAAAAATAAATGTTTAAAAAAACTAAAAAAAACACGCTTTATATAAAATTCAACTAAAAAATAGAAAATAAATTTAAATTGAAAATAGTGTAAAAAATATACGGGTAATTTTTTTTTTGTGTCCCCAATAGCTCTACTATGAGGTGTTTCAGGATTATCTATTCTTTCTGGGACACCCTGTATAGGACAGACTTATCTTGATAATGTTGTCAATGAATGTCCTATTTTCTTTCAATAACACTACCCGCTTCGCTAATTTAAAATTATACTTAAAGTTCATAGTCTTTAAAGATTGTACTTACTGGTGGTAGGACGTCTTGTGAGTCCGCACGGGTAGGTACCACCATTCTGCCTATTTCTGCCGCGAAACAGTAATGCCTTCCGTCTTAAAGAATGTGTTGAAGCCGTTGTACTATTAAAACTGAGATTTAGAACTCATGTATCAAGATGGGTGGCAGCATTAACGTTGTAGATGTCCATGGGCTCCGGTAACCATTTAACACCAGATGAGCCGTGAGGTCCGCTATAGATAGCTTTAAGTAAAAAAAATCCCATGTCTCAAGTTGGCCAATAGTGCTGATGTCCATGGACTACACGGCTACCATCGAACAATAGTATCGTTTACTGTTCTGCTTTTACAGAAAATCCACCACGGCTTCCTGGTTGTGCAATCGACGCTGCTAAAGCACATAGCATTGGCTCATTTTCTCCCGTCGCAATACGCACGGAAGATATACCGGAATCACAACGAAAGACTGTATTGGCTCCACAATGTCTTGATAAGGCATTTAAATGACGAATTCGTGCAGAATCGCGACTCATTGGAGCGAATGTATCGATTATTGAAGAATTCGGGGTGTCGAGATATCGATAATAAGAGATTAGGGTCGGCCGTTGTCGATAACTGGGCGTATTCGGAGGTGCACACGGGCGTGGCCAGAACTTGTCTAGAACTAAAACTGGCCCTGAACAAATGCAACAGTCTAGATATGTTCTTCGATTCGTGCGCTTCGAACGATCACAATCTAGATTTGGACGTTATCGATAAAGACTTAGAGTCGATAATCGATGGGATAACGAAATGCTTGAGCACGATGCAGAGTTCGCAGTTGCGCTTGAAGAAGTTGCGCGGGAAACTAGTCGAGGACGCGACGCGGCAAGATGGCGTCGACGTTACCGAGACGTTGACGGTTTTGAAAATCGAAGACCGCGCGCCGGTTGTGGAGGATGAGGTTTTTTATTACGTGAAAACGGACGAAGACGTCGTAGCCGTGCAGCCGGTCGCGGATTTGACTACGGCTCCGGGTGAGAAGGAAAAGGAGGCGACTAAGATCGTGCTCGGCGAGTTGAGGAGGATATTGGGGAAGAGAGAGAGCGTTATGAGGGAGCGAGAGAGAAGAGCCCTCGTGAGAACGATGCCCGAACTGAAAGACCTACCGGAATTCCCGAGGCAGATTAACTACGACGATTACGTCAAAAGTAAAGGCTGCATCGCTAAATACAAGAGAAAATCCAAAAGGAAAAAACTCTTCAAAACGTACAGCATATCTGTGAATCGAAATAAAAATATTAAATACTTAATGCTCCTTCGCAAATATGTTAACGAAGATGACATTGCCGATGTTACATACGAAGCGAACGCCAAAACGAATTTCAAAAGTAAATTGTTAACGTTTGAATGGTTAAAAACAAAAGATAACAGAAAAAATAAAATATTAATAATTATCAAATGGTGTAAACTTACGAAATGTTTGAACTTAATCAAAAATGTGGCTGCGACGAGCCGGGACGTCGCCGCTGAAAGCGAAAATGAAAGCGTCAATGACACTGACACTGACAGCTTCAAAGTAACGAAGAAGGATTTGGAGATGACGTCATCGTCTGACAGCGAATCGGAAAGCTTACTGCGCGACGTCAGAAAGAACAGGGTTGTCAGGCGGAAGAATTACCCGAGAATTAGGGGAAATTACAACGGGTCCGACGAGAGTTGCCGGCCTATAGAATACAGCTTGGGCACGGGTCTAGCTATGGCGTCCGTCCTGCAGATCAACAGTAATGCGAAGATGCCGAGCATGGCCCAAGAGGAGATATTTATTGGAGACGGCGAAGTTTCAAACGACAGTGGCAATGATGAGGAATCATAGCGACCGGCTCACGGAAGTTTTTTTTTATTGCTTAAATGGCTGGACGAGCTCACAGCCCACCTGGTGTTAAGTGGTTACTGGAGCCCATAGACATTTACAACGCAAAAGCGCCACTCACCTTGAGATATAAGTTCTAAGGTCTCAATATAGTTGCAACGGCTGCCCCACCCTTCAAACCGAAACGCATTACTGCTTCATGGCAGAACTAGGCGGGGCGGTGGTACCTACCCGTGCGGACTCACAAGAGGTCCTACCACCAGTAGATTCACGTCAAAGCATTTGTTAAGCCACGCTAATAAACTGAACCCCGATCATAATGCATGACGTCACATGTGGCTAATCGTTGTGCATTATAGTTTTATTGTTACCTCGGTTACTTTAACCACGAATGACGTCATATGTAGTGAAATTGCGTTCAGCTGTGTTTTATAAAGCCACGCGTGCTTTAGCCACGTAAGCAAATACACTAACTCGTTTTGCGAATGTCGTTTACGTTGTTGATGTCTATGGGCTACAGTAACCACTTAACAACAGATGGACCGTGAACTCGTCCACATTCTCTTGGTATTGTTAATGCCCTGAAAACATTAAGTCGATAATCCGGCTTCGAATGCAACAGAAATGAGATTATATGCAAAAGCAAAAATTATATGATTACGTTTAAAAATACCGTAGAATTACAATTGGAAATATTTTATTGTTTTCATGAAATTCTGAGGCATGCTCCGTCTCTTTCCAGCAACACACATATTTATGACGTCATCATTAATCGACAATATTTTGAGGTTTTCAAGAAATTCTGAGGCGTGCTCTGTCTCTTTCCAGCAACACACATATTTATGACGTCATCATTCCGTATCTTTTTTTTTCTATAGCCCGAAATTAAAATAACTTAAGTGAATTGATTTTAATATCGCTTAACTGTCGAACGAATATGTTAATTTATAATGTTTCAAACAACAACAAAAAAAACAAAAAAAAACAACACGCAATTTGTGATTTTAATAAAATTATGTCGTATTTAAAAGAAATATAATTTATTTGTATGATTAATAGCAATAATAAATGGTGATTTTAAATTTGGTAGTGCGTTTTATTTGTCGTCATTAAATCGTTTTTTTTTTCTACCAAATCTGATGGTCTAGGGCAGTGGTCGTCAAACTTTTCTGCTCAAGGCCCACATAGGACAATGTGAGGTATCACTGCGGGCCACACATTTTTGGACTGTTTAATTGACCACCAGTCACTTGATAATTTATTATAATATCAAGTGTCAAAAGGCGATTGTCTCATAGATAAATCAATTATAATTATTATTTAAGAAACGTGGGTAGCTTATTAATTAGGAATTGGCGCGAAAACATATTTGTAATGAAGCAGTTTGACGACTACGGGTCTAGAGTGGCCATATCAGCGCCACCGGGCTAGTAGGTGAGCTCACGGGGCTCAAACCTCACGACGTTGCTAACACGAACCCTAGCAAGAGCCGTGCTTCGCAGAATCTACCACCGGATCGGAAACGCGATCCACTGAGAAGATTCGGCGAGAAACTCAGTGGGCTGTGTCTGTGGGTTAATTTACTCGCCGAGCCCCTCGTCGCAAGCGACGGGTTCGACGATAACGATGACCGGTGCTTGAGGTACCTAAAAGCACCGTTAGTGGATCGGGAGGATCCGAGATGACGTGTTTTGGGCATTTGAATTCGTCCTTCCTTCACAACATAGAATGTCCTTCAAATTGAATTTGAACAGAGGTGGCGATAATTGTAATCTAATTGTTTACGTTTTTATCTATTACTAGCTATAAGGAGGCTGCGCCTTGTATCCTTGACATAACGGATGTCCGTGAACCGGAACCAACCAATTCAGAGAATGCCTACGTCGACAAAACAACGTAAGCATTATATTCTTCACAAGCGGCTCGCTCCGTCTCCGCTAGGGTCTTTAACAAAAATTTCAACGATATTTGACGTTGTTTTATTTAAAAAAATAAAAGAACACTTATTGTGGCATAACTATAATAGTTAGACATATTATGCTGTCGCGACACTTTTTGTAAATAATAATGTGTTCTACAAAATCGTAGTACATTATTCTATTCTATCATGAATCGTTTTCGCAGGGCACGCGATGTAAAGAATATTTTACGTAATTTTTTTTACACCTTGAGTTACATTAGTGGAGTTTTAGTAAGGATCCCTAATTTTTTTCATATTATAGCCTATGTCACTCGGGAATAGTGTAGCTTCCAAACAGTGAAAGAATTTTTCAAATCGGTTCAGTAGTTTCGGAGCCTATTCAATACAAACAAACAAACAAATCTTTCCTCTTTATAATATTAGTATAGAATACCATAAGAATTATCACAATCCAACACGTTTTTCTCGCGTAGGCTTATGTCCTCTTTCGCTTCCCATATCGTTCGTAGCCTATGGGGCCATTTCGAGAACTTGATAGCCCTAGCAAGAGCAGTGCTTCTAGAATCTACCACCGGATCGGAAACGCGACCAACTGAGATGATCCGGCAAGAAACTCAATGACGTAGGTATATTCGCATTGCGATTCGCGATCGCTTCTGTCGCCGAAAAAGGTCGAGTGGCGGCCACCCACACAAAAAAGGAAAAAAAATATTAGGTAATTTGGGCTTTCGCCGAAAAATCAAAACACTTTAGATAGACTTCCTTTATTACTACAATTTCACACAGATTTCGTTTTAATTGGAATACATACATTGCTTTATCCGGTACACTTAAAGATATCGTCCTGGTTCTGGCTTCAAATTATAATTGTTGTAACTCCGCTGAATCAGTAATGGCCATTAAAAATCCTTTAGACACAAACAAACAAACGAGGTAGTAAAAGCGTATTTGAAGTCGTCGCGGCCTAAAGGATAAGGCGTCCGGTGCATCGCTACACACGAATGCACCGGACGCCTTATCCTTTAGGTGTTCGAATCCCGCAGGCGGGATAGGTACCACCGCCCTGCCTATTTCTGCCGTGCAGCAGTAATGCGTCTCGGTTTGAAGGGTGGGGCAGCCGTTGTAACTTTACTGAGACCTTAGAACTTATATCTCAAGGTGGGTGGCGCATTTACGTTGTAGATGTCTATGGGCTCCAGTTACCACTTAACACCAGGTGGGCTGTGAGATCGTCCACCCATCTAAGCAATTAATAAAAAAAAGAAGATATAATTGCCTTACATCTTATCTCGACATGGATTCGTGGTATGTTTTGCAACCCCATTCATAATCGAGTCAATTTCAATCCCTCAAATGCGAATACCTAGATCACTGTAACATTGTCATGTACTTTGTATTAACAAACAGTAATGGCCAAAACTAATTAACTTTTAAATAGGTCGTCGTATTTATCGTAACAATATTAATAATAAACATAATTACTTATGTCGTTATGTGATTAGTACATCGCTGCACGGGCTCAGATATGGACGCTAAGTTAAGGTGAGTGTTTTTTGTTTATTTTTTTGAGTTTAAAAATGGCGGGAAGTAGCAGCAAAAACAGAAAAAAAAAAACGCAATGTCTGCACGTGTCAAATTCAAAGCTATTTTACTCAAAGAATTTGCATTAACACAATTGGTTTTTTTATACAATATATGTTATAGTTCAGATTTGTACAAAAAATCATTCGTAAAATTGTTTTTACGGTTGTATATGAGTCGACTATTATCAAAGCCGGCAATGGGACTTTTGGACAATTACTGGCAAATCAGAAAAACGAACTATTGACTTTGTATTCCATTGGCAGTCACAAAACTCTTCTGAACGACATCTTAGATAAATAACAGGTTAAGTATTAACCAGGTTTGAACCGTATTCTTTGAAGGAGACGATTATATTCAAATCAATCTGTATTGACATATCAATAACATTTTTTTGTCCAAATGCACAGATTGCCACCTTTGATAATAGACGACTCATATATGAAAATATATTGTTATATATTTATATTATATTATGTTATATGTTATAAATGAACTAAAGCTCACTTGGTGTTGAGTAGTTCGCGGATCCCTTACAAACATTGTGTATATACCATGTCCCTTAAGGTCTGAAGTCTCATCGTATTGTATAATAAGTTTTCCAATAATCACAATTGCGTGACTGTTTCGTAGACTTTTGGTAGGCAGTGGCTTGGCTCCGACCCAGGCATTGCTGAAGTCCATGGGCGACGGTAACCACTCACCGTCAGGTGGGCCGTATGCTTGTCTGCCCACAAGGGCAATACAAAAAAAAGATACACGTTCGGTTCACAGTAAATTCTCTAAATCAGGGGTGGCCAACCGGCAGATTGCGATCGACCGGTCGATCGTGGCTATTAGTTCAGTCGATCGTGGCAAAACAAAAAGTATAAATACACAGAAAAGACTGCGCAACGTAATCACCAATTGCTACACGCATTGTCTTCATCTTGTATCATTTGTTAATTACCATTATGTCACATTATTTATGCTCTCTTCTATACAATATTTCTCTTTTATTATATAACTAGCTGACCCGGCAGACGTCGTAGTGCCTCAATCGAGAAATAAAAGACCTAAACTTTTGTATAAAATAAACTTAAAACAAACAAAAGGAATCCGTCCAACGGGGGAACCATCACAGGGAAAACAAAATTGTTATTTTTTATCTAATTCCGAGCATTTTCATATTTATCTACCTTTTAAATCTTCTCTGGGCTTCCACAAATAATTCAAGACCAAAATTAACCAAATCGGTCCAGCCGTTCTCGAGTTTTAGCGAGACTAACGAACAGCAAAGGCTATCATAGAGTAAGATCCCAGGGCCCCCAGACGTCACGCATTTTCTGACGAACGAAATGTGGCCGATTGCGTAGTGTTAGTATGAACTAAGAACGCATGCCTACCTGCTAGCTTGCTTAGACGGCTAATTTTCAGGTATCAGGTACTCAAGGTACATAAAATCATTACCTACTTCACGTATTTTCTGAAAGCTGATTTTTACGTATATTTTAGGCAATATCATTAAAGACACATTACATTGGTAGATCGCAGTGTCTTTCGTCAGTAGACAGTAGATCTTGGTTCTAATTAAGTTAGCCACCCCTGCTCTAAATAAAATATTTCTTATTTTATTCTAATAAGACATCTAAAGCCATAAACAATTTTGTTTTATTTGTATTGTGGTATATATTAAGTAGATAACTCAAATAGCAACCTCTGTGTTTAGACCTATTACTTTAAAAACCATTTACAATAACATTTTCCACTTTAAAATTAAATTTATGCACATAATTTAAATTATCAAAAGAGCCTTGTAAAATTTTCCAATGTTTTGTGATTTTTGTCAATACGTTTTAGCGATTTGGGTCACATTTTCTATGACTTAATGATTCCTAAATATATATATGTGGGTAGAAGTAAGGTAAGCTGTCTCATACAAGGAGCAAATTAAAATTCAACAACGCATCGTCTTGTGGGGAAGTGAATGTAGCAGTTGTTAAGTGAATTGTGTTGAGTGTAATAATTTAATAATACATTTTGATGTTATCTATACTAATATTATAAAGTTGAAGAGTTTGTTTGTTTGAACGCACTAATCTCAGGAACTACTGGTCCGATTTGAAAAATTCTTTCAGTGTTAGATAGCCCATTTATAGAGGAAGGCTATAGGCTATATAACATCAATCTAAGACCAATACAAGTCGAGCACCAATGAAGAATGTTGCAAAATCGAGGTATTTTTTTTCTTTTGACAAACTTTAACATTCTATAATTCAAAAATATTTTCACTTTCTACGTAAATGAAGTGGAGGTAATATTTAGCGTTATGCCAAAGTAACTATTCCACGCGGACGGAGTCGCGGGCTAAAGCTAGTTATTCATAATAGAGAAAACCTAATGTAACCTAACCTAAATGAAATGTCTTACTTTTAAACACTAAGATTATTGTATACTTTTTAATTTATAATTACTTTAATAACCTAAAAGTACATGTTTTTATCCGCAACACGCTTCGTCAGATTACAGAAATAGAGTTATCAGCAACATGCTTCGTCAAAAAGTAAAATACTTACTTTCAGCTGCAAGCGTCGTCATATCTTTCTTATACCTTTAAACGAGCAATTATTGTATATAAATATATATATATATATATATACGAACCCGTCGCTTGCGACGAAGGGCTCGACGAGAACGGTGACCGGTGCTTGAAGTACCTAGAAGCACCGTTAGTGGATCGGGAGGATCCGAGATGACGTGTTTTGGGCGACGTCGACTGCTTTCCATTCTGTCCGCAGGATCGGGAATGGTCTCCTGAAAGGAAGCTAATTAATATGGCGCCATAGCAGCAAGTGGAATGATTTTAAAAACAGCGCCATCAACTATTAGAATAGGATATTAAATTAAGAAGGAAAGAAACACTACCTACGTAAATAGGAATATAAAGAAATATTTATGAAGAATCATTTATTACTGGTGGTAGGACCTCTTGTGAGTCCGCGCGGGTAGGTACCACCACCCTGTCTATTTCTGCCGTGAAGCAGAAATGCGTTTCGGTTTGAAGGGTGGGGTAGCCGTTGTAACTATACTAAGACCTTAAACTTATATCTCAAGGTGGGTGGCGCATTTACGTTGTAGATGTCTATGGGCTCTAGTAACCACTTAACACCAGATGGGCTGTGAGACCGTCCACCCATCAAAGCAATAAAAAAAAAATGTTTACCCATTACACATCGCTCTGTTTAAAACTATTATATTCATATCATTTCCACTTCCTATACTAATTGCGTTATTTCGGTAAGTCTTCTTCTAACAATAGCTCTGGGCTCACCACAGGGGGACACTTTTTCTACTTGTCCCCTATACGAGAGGGCGCTTCTTACTTCTATCCGCTATAGCTGAGTTGAATAATATAAAAAACATTGACGACATCTTTGAAACTATACCACTTGCAGTGGCGACGCCGTCCTGACTGGTCGCTTCGGACGTCTCGATGGACACTTTTCGTACATAGAGAGCGTGCCTCCCTAAGTGTGCTTTAAAATTCCACGACCTTATTTAGGCAAATTATGTTTATTATTTCGTCATCTATGCGTTCTCTAGAATCCGCTAATTTGGAAATACAACGCATCATTTTCATCTCATTTCATTTTTGATAATTCATTTCAAATTACAGTGAGATTTCGAACTCACATCTTACTATATACCCCTCCAATCGCTTGATATAAAATGTTCATATTATCTGTTTAGAACAAAAAAAAAGGAAAAATGTATCTATACACATGTGACCTCTTTTGTCGCTGGAAGAAAAAGCCGCATCAAGTATGATTAAGTACTGATTGAGTTTGGATAACAGATATGAAGTTAGTTTGATCATTTTTCAGATTACTCCTGTTGTTCGTATTGTTCGGAGAGCTGACAGCCCTGATGCCGGAAGAAAATTTCAGTGCTGCCAATATTAATAATTCTAACGTACCGGGTATGTTGGTTTTTAACTAATGGCAACAGTGTCCAAAGTATATGACGGAGAGGCTGGTTCCAAGGGGTTTTTAAAATGATGACATCGGCGTTTCTGATGCCTTTCACTTCATTATTATCATTGCCTTTTTTAGCGACAGTAATTAAGACTCATGAATTCCGTTTGTTATATCAAGTGTACCACGATAACAAGTACAGAGCTCCGCTCCGTTTGACTACTTGAGCTGGAATTTCTTGTGCGTTCAAACAATATCTGTTTGAAAAATAAAAGTGTCCGTCGAAAAGCTTCCAATCAGTGTGGCGCCGGCGTAGCGAGTGGTGTAATTTCAAAGATGGCGTCGCATGTTTTTTTAATAAAAATTTGAACTTTGCATTCTCAATAAACCACGCTAGCGCTATTAGAAAACTTTTTTAACTTGTCTCCATGCAAGCTAATTTATTTATGGAGCTAATTTAGATATGGAGGGTAGAAATAAGGAGAATCATTTCATAAGGGAAAAAAGTTGAAAAAGTGTCCTGCTGTATACTATAATAAATAACAGTTCAAAAACCTATCACAATCGCGCTGGTGTACATAAAGGGTATGAATGTAGGAATTGTAGATGAAGTATGCCGAATTAAAAATTTAATATCATTTCGGCTAAAGTATAACAGTTAATTGAAAATTTCAACAGCTTACGTTGGACAAAATAATGCAGTAAATATAAATTATAACCATAACGAATTATTACAAGAAAACGTGCTTCTATAGTGATTTTATTTCCACCACCTTAGTTTAATACATTTCGATGGACATTTTTCATAAACACAGATGATTCTCTTTACCTCTACCCTCCATAGTTTACAATCTATTTTCCTTGTTCTTTTTTTCTTAAATATGGCAACTGGCTTCTTCTTCTTGTTGCCAGTATCGAGTTTACGAAAATATTAAATTAATAAATACATATTTTTATGTGAAAAATGACATGAAGTTAATTAATTTAAGACAAAAAAAAATTGTAATGAAATTAAGCGAAACGAAATTAGCTGAAATAGTCTCAGTAAAACGGTGGTTATTTACGAAACATTTTGGAAGAACCCACGTCCGACCATCGTTATCGCAAGATTAAACCTAAAGATACCCTAAATAAAAAAGATAAAACATCTCTGATTAACATCGCATTGCATTCGCATTCCCTCCCGCCTAAAAATCCTTCTACCCTCCATAAGCGCGGTTTTCTAATGTCTTTTCACAGATACGGATGCAACGCAAAGGAATTGCACGACAGGCAATGGAACACCGGGGTCGTGCGTCCTCCGACGTTATTGCGACTACGGGACTGTCTTCATAGATTTTACACTGTACGCTCCGCGAAAATATGTCAGGTAAAATAAAAGTTTTCATAGGCTTACACACACACACACACACACACACGCACGCAAGCATACACACACGCACAAAAGCACACAAGCACACACACACACACACCTCCAATCACCAGGTGAGCCCCAATCGACGGCTCTCCCAACCTTGTGAAACAGCAGGACCTGAAATTTATCGAGTGCCATCTTGAGTCCCAACTTTTGGATCTTACCGACTATGAGTGCCACCCCTGCGTAGGCAAGTCGGTCAGACTCATGCTAGTCTTTTCCCCGAGTGATGAGCAGCGTGTCATCCGTGTAACACACAACACGTAGGCCCTGAGAGGGCTGTGAAGGACGCTTCGTAGGACCCAGTCGTAGCCAATATCCTGAGGTTCATGGACCAAAGCCTGTAAAACACTACCGAAAAGTGGAGCAACGCACCTTCGTATCCAGTGCACACGACCGACCTATCCTCGAGATAGGGCCCGAACAGCCAGCCACTCATCGTTTGACTACTCCGCTATGGAGTGGAAAAAGAGATCGTACGCCATAGCAGGGTGGTTCAAATTCGCTTGGAGGAAACGATGTACGTGACCCATTATTGAGGGGGCCACGCTCATCACTCCTCCGTCCGCCACGGCCGACAGTTGTCGGGTAATTGGCGAGACCGTGTTTGATGCCGAAACACTGGAGGCATTACCAAGATCTTGCCTCCTGCAGTAGCACGTAAGAGAAGATTCAGCCCACGTGTAGCCCTTCAAGCGTGTTGGCAGGCTTCCCACTGGGAAGCGTGTGGGTGGCTGTCCACACGGGGTACTGCTCCATGCGGTACAGGCTCTGGAGTCCCCTCTCCTTAACATGGGCAAGGGCGTACTTCTTCTGAGGTGCGATGGCGGTAGTCACTAGTTCCTTCGTGACGCAATCATCGAAACCCGTCCATTTGAATTCCGCCGTTTAAATTTGTACATATACATGTACATGTACTTTAGTAGTAGTAGGACGTATTATGAGAGCAAGGCTGGGTGCCGCCACCCTGGAACGGTGCTTTTAGGTACCTCAAGCACTGGTCATCGTTCTCGTCGAACCCGTCGCTTGCGACGAAGGGCTCGACGAGTAAATTAACCCACAGACACAGCCCACTGAGTTTCTGGCCGGATCTTCTTAGTGGATCGCGTTTCCGATCTGGTGGTAGATTCTGCGAAGCACTGCTCTTGGTAGGGCCAGTGTTAGCAACACTCCGGTTTGAGACCCGTGAGCTCACCTACCAGTTAAGGTTACACTGAAATAGCCTCTCAAGGCTCTCAGCTTAGGTAGGAGAAAAAAAAGGCACCCTGCGTATTTCTACCGTGGAAAAGTAATGCGTTTTGGTTTGAAGGGTGGGCCAGCCAGTCACACTGTAAAAACTGATACTTTAAAATTCATATCTCAAGATTAATCTCGGCATTTACGTTGTTCAAGTCTATGAGCTCCGACAAACATTTAACATCACACGGGCCGTGAGCTCATCCGCCCACCTAAGCAATAAAATGAAAAATTAGACAAAGAGCTAACCTGTTGATCACAGGAACGTTTGCCCAAGCTATCTCAAATAAACTCAAGGACTGAGGTCCAGCAGTCAAGGCGCTAACTAGTCAATCAAAAGAGTAAAACCATTTGCACAATGATGTGCCACATCATAATTGGATTTTTTGAAAAAAAAAAAAAAACTATGTTCCAAATGTCAGTTTAATTTATTCAAGAATTAAAAGGTCAGAAATTGCTTCTCCATTCAGCAATCATGGTACCACATGTTCTCGGCCAATTGTTTCACGTTAAACCGTTGTTTGCAATTCGTACAAAACCAATCGGGCTCGTTCTGGTGGTATATGTTATAGTGCTCCACGATTGTGTCTTCAATTGATTGACCAGTGAACAATACTTCACAATAACCACACCTCAGCTTCAACCAGTCTTTTGTGGGCATATTCTTATGTTCAAAGAAACCGTACTTGTTGTATGATATTTGTATCCTCGGTACAAGGGTTTCCTCTATTTGCAAATCATATTTGTTATCATCACTGACCCACTCGTCTGTGTAAAGATACCTGACATACGCATATTGATTTAAGATCTTGCTGAACGAACAAGAGTTAACTATTGGGAGCGGTATCATATCTAACTCATTCCGCATTAATTCAAATATGGTTTTGTAAAGGGAATAACCGGGGTGGTCCTTATAAAACATCATTAAATCTGTTAACAATCGATTAATGAAGGCTTTATTTAAATTTCTTTTGGCCGAGTTACTTCTGACCATCAGAGAAGTATTTAAAGCCTCTTTATTATAGACATGCTTAGTGTGCATCTTGTTGACTAGAACATGTTTGAGTACGTGTTTCATTTCACGTACAAAGGATATACACGGTAAATTTATATTTATCTGAACTTGTAATTTTAATATTGATTCTAAATCCCACATGTGTAGTATGATACGGTTGTGTATATTTTCAGTTAAGTTGAATATATCAGTGGAGTTCTCTGCTTGGGGGTTCCTGTGAATTAACTGGTTCAGCTGATCTCTCGAGCAGGACACTTCCATCATAACTTCATTCATTTTGTTGCTGTCTTTGGTAACTTTTTGAACTTCCTTCACTGCTTCGTTCGCAAGAGGCTTCGCAATCTCCAACATCTCACCCAAATACAACTTTATATTCTCATACTTACGTTCCAAAATCTTCTTAACGTACTCAGGTGATTTTTCCGCTTGTAAATTAGTTATTTGATCAAACTCGTCCCATTCAGGCCATTCTCTTAGATATTTTTTAATTATATTCACGTACACGTCCACTGTTATGCTATGAAGAGTCCCAGTGTGAATATCAAAATCTTTATGTAATATCTGAATTATTTGTTTGTTTGTCAGCGTTAAGTTCATACTTGTGTAGTTTATTAACCGTTTGAATAGTTGCATTATTGGGCGATCTGAAACAGTAAAAGCATACTCTAATTTGGGTCCAGCTAGGTTTTTTTTTATTGCTTTGATGGGTGGATGAGCTCACGGCCTACCTGATGTTAAGTGGTTACCGGAGCCCATAGACGTCTAAAACCCAAATGCCGACAGTCATCTTGAGATATGAGTTCTAAAGTCTATAGTTACAACGGCTGCCCTGCCCTTCAAAGCAAAACACATACAAGACGTCCTACTACGTCCTCTACTTTAAATCTACCTAATATGACACTAGGTAGACTTAAGCAACNGATGAGCTCACGGCCTACCTGATGTTAAGTGGTTACCGGAGCCCATAGACGTCTAAAACCCAAATGCCGACAGTCATCTTGAGATATGAGTTCTAAAGTCTATAGTTACAACGGCTGCCCTGCCCTTCAAAGCAAAACACATACAAGACGTCCTACTACGTCCTCTACTTTAAATCTACCTAATATGACACTAGGTAGACTTAAGCAACACGATAGTAAGAAACTTTAATTGTGACATACAATATAGTCAAAGGTTATAATAATGACCTAATTTTCAATAACAGCCAGCATTTACAATGTCAACCCTAAAACTCATTGCTACTAAGTCTAGGAAATATTTCACTAGGTATTTACTGCCTTTTTAAGATTGCAAGGAATAAGTTTCTGGAAATAGTGAAGTCGTAGTACAAGACTAAACCTAAAATAAAAAATAATAATTCTATAGATCAATTCTAGTCATCACCTTTATTTTAGAATTGTTTTCTAAAATAATAATAAAACCTCTTTTATTGTTTAACTAGCTGACCCGGCTTCGTATTGCCTCAATCGATAAATAAAAGACCTATATTTTTGTATAAAATAAACTTAAAACAAACAAAAGGAATCCTTCCGACGGGGGACACATAAAAGGAAAAACAAAATTGTTATTTTTATTTAATTCCGAGCATTTTCATAATTATCTACCTTTTAAGCCTTCTCTGGACTTCCACAAATAATTCAAGACCAAAATTAGCCAAATCGGTCCAGCCGTTCTCGAGTTTTAGCGACACTAACGAACAGCAATTCATTTATATATATATAGAAGATTAAGATAGATTATTGTTTAACTATTAGTTAAGTTTTTAGGTTTTGTAGATATATTGTACGGTTTGATAAAACAAATTTTTTCAAGACTGACCTTCTATAGTTGTAATTCCAGAAACATTTGCCGCCTCCGGGTTTTTTACGTCGTTTTTCGAACTACACTCTGCCATATTTCAGATTGTTTAACAATAAGTAATAACTTGTGTTTGTTATGTTCTCATTTATTGGTCTTAGAGATCTTGAAACATATTATTTTTTAGTAAATAATTTTCAAAATAAATATTGCGTACCTATGTATACTGAAAGTAAACAATCGTGTATAATCTATGCAATCAATTTTTTTTATGGGTTTTTATGACCTGGTTACTAAAACCTTTAAGTCCTGTCTTAATTTAATTAATAATATTTTTATAAAAGATGATACTATGGGGTGAAATGAAATGAAGATGATTAATTTGAGACATTAATCAACTGGGATGAAATTAAATGAGAATTTTTCGGTGGAGTTTTTGGAGGATCCCGAGAAGTTTCGTCCAGCGGCTTCGTTTCGTTTTCTCACATTTGTGCACTTTCACAGATATTAACCAGTTAATAAACCACCGTTATTACACATTTAAACCTGAAAAAACACAAAATAAAACAAACCACACAACTTCACTCCTCGCGTTCCCGCCAAAAAGCCCAATGCAATTAATAAAGCAAAGTATAGATTATGTAACAGACTTAGATATTAAACTTAAAACAGATAATAATGCTACGAAAACGATTTTCAATATCGATCTTAGGTGAAATTTGAAAGGGTAAACAGGTTTCGTTTGAAGTCGTCGTGGCCTAAAAGATAAGACGCCCCGTGCATTCGTATTGATGCAACTGTGCCGAAGTTCGAATCCCGCAGGCAGGTACTAACTTTTTAAATGAAGTGCTTCTTCGACAACGAAGGAATAGCATCGTGTAATTAAAATCAAACTCGCAAAAATTACAATTTGCGTAATTTCTGATAGTGGGACGTCTTGTACGACGGCACGGGTAGGTCTACCCTGTCAATTTTTTTTTTTGAAACAGTATAACCATAATTTTTTTTGTGAAACAGCTTAACCAATCGTTTCGGTTTGACGGGTGGGGCAGCTGTTGTACTGTAAAAACGGAGACTAGAACTCTTCATGCTTCAAAGTGAGTGGTGGCAATTATGATGTTGGGCTTTCATATCCTCGCAAACCCAGATGAGCCTTGAGCTCGTCCAGCCATCCCTATAAGAATAAAATTAAGCGTTGGAAAAACCTCCAGTGCACTAATGAGAGTTGCGAGGCAATAAAATCCGTCAAATTGAAGTAGGTCGCGGCAATTACGTTGTTTTGTCTGTGGTTCTATGTCACAAGTGGGCAATGAACGTTTGGCCTAAAGGTCTAGATACCAGGCCATAAACTCAAGAAAAAAAAAGTGTGCAATGAACTGGTTTTCTAGGTACAACCATAGACCTATATAGTAGGGACACGACATATTGTTCTATACGTACCATTGCTTATATAAATAGCACCCATTTTGAAGGCACATACATAAACATATATCTATCTCGTTCTTACTCAGCACTTTAACTCGCAGGAAAACAATATAACAGTATTTCAGTGCGTACATAAAATGAAACATGAATATACGTAAATATCTCCGTCTCCGTCTAATGAGGCCGAAAATGCGCCATGTTTAGCGCGCCAAATGTCATTGTCACGTCAGTTCGGCCGTCTGTTTTGGGTTGTACATTATTTATTGACTATGATATCGATTTAATATGATTGATTATATAAAATTTCATAATTTATCATGCTTAAAACATACAAAAATAATAATTAAAACGTATTTTATAGGATCTCAAGAAAGTCGATGCCCTAAAACTATTATNTTTCTAGGTACAACCAAAAATAACCTGGTGGTATTTCGAGGAAATGGGCATTTGGTTGTCAAAAACGTTTTATGTATTATTTTCACAGACAATGCGGCGACAAAGAAGCTTGCTGCCCCTTCACCGCTCAGCTTCCGGTGCTCCAAGCAAACACTTCAGAAGATGACGCTTCGTTTGAATTTGACGAAAACGATTAAAATTGATCTTTTGCTGTTTGATAAGCTGTGATATTAAATTTTGTAATTTAACATCGCCCTATTATTCGCCCCCTAACTGCTTTATTTTTAAACGAATATAATCGAAGTACGATGGTAGTCCGAACGAAAAATTCGTTTAAGACGGTACGGATATTCATATGAGGCCTATAAAATCAAAGGCAGCTAAATCCAAGTCTATCAAATATTCAGGTAAACTACAAAAATCGGCCCTAAGCACGTCATTACGAATCCTCCCGATCCATCGAAGTACTGCTCTTGCTAGGGCCAGTGTTAGCCACATTCCCGGTTTGAGAAGCTGAAATAACTGTTTGGATAGCTACGATATTCTTTATTTTAAAGCAGATTTATAAAGAATGATTACTAATAATCTGAATTTTAAATGATAAAACTTCGTTTATTAGTACTTAGTACAGAGTAAAAATAATTTTTTTGAACTGAATTTATTAGATATTTAGCTGCATTTGTTATAACATGAAAACACTAAAGTGTGTCCAACTAACTAAACAATATAGCGCCATTGCTAATCCATTTTACGACCTTAAGGCGTTTAGCTGCCTTTGATTTTATAGGCCTCATATAATATCTCTTTAACGTACAAGAAAAATCTGGCGTGTTTTATTTCCCAAATAAATATAACCTAATCAAAATTAATCTCATCATCTCATCAAATGTAATCAAGTTTAATTTAAATATTGAAGTGAAAACTTCTTTAGAATCGTTGTGATCTCAAACCGGATGCAACGGAAAAAACGACAGGTAAGAGACACAAATACAAAAATGTGTAGGATGAAGCCAGCAAAGAATGAGACAGAAATATACATACTATTTAATACAGCGCCATCTGTGAGATTTTTTAATGCTAACGTGTGTATGAAAGCTCTTGTAGTGAATTTTAATTTAGGATTATACGTGAAATTAAAATATCAATACACAGAGGACGCTACCTTACAATTATTTACTAATGACAAAATTTTACATATACTTAAGACGTTTAGGATAATTGTATTTTAATTTTGGAAGGCTTCACTTCTACCACGTGTGAATTGCACACATTTTGTTTTTGTTTTTTTAATCCTACCTATGCTAATAGCCTTGAGATGTCATTTCAGCGTAACACTAACAAGCAGGTGAGCTCACGGGGCTCAAACCTGACGACGTTGTTAACACGTCCTGCTGGTGGTAGGACCTCTTGTGAGTCCACACGGGTAGGTACCACCACCCTGCCTATTTCTGCCGTGAAGCAGTAATGCGTTTCGGTTTGAAGGATGGGGCAGCCGTTGTAACTATAATTGAGACCTTAGAACTTATATCTCAAGGTGGGTGGCGCATTTACGTTGTAGATGTCTATGGGCTCCAGTTACCACTCAACACCAGGTGGGCTGTGAGCTCGTCCACTCATCTAAGCAATAAATAAATAAAAAATAAAAAAGTGACCTTTTTTTTCGTGTCAAACCGGGACGCCTACGGAATTTCGAATTTAAATAAATCCATATATAGGGTAGGTACGTCGGGGTAAGATGTTATATTAAAGAGCAAAATAAAAAATATGGTTTAAAAAATGACTTGAAATAATTTAGTAGGGTATCATACCCTCACTGACATTTTGAATTCTTACACCAACTTGCCCTTAAAATCATATTTATAAATAATTAAAAAAAAAACAATTTTCTGCAGCATACTTAGAGTTTTAGTATGTATTTTGTAATACAATAAGGATTTGGGATAAGTAAGTATTTGGTGAGTTTTAATAAACACATCCACGCACAACAGATAAATGAAAGCGGGACATTTTTGTTTTCGTTCGGAACAGCGCGCGGGACGGACAGCCTGAAAGCGTAACAATCCCGCCAAAAGCGGGACGTATGGTCGTGTTAGTTGTGGTTATACCTATAATTGAGGTGACATCTGTCACGTACCTACCATCTTGTCAGTTCGTCGATGTTTTGCACTGAAGTATTGTATTCAAGACAGAAGGATAATTTTCTCAAATATATTTTAAGTGTATAATCTATGGATAATTTTGTTGGTACAATTAAACACGGAGTATAGCAACCCTAACGCCTGCCGTGTAGGCAGCCGCGTCTGATCGCGCGCCGCGACCAATCAGGGACTCTCGTTGTCGGTTCTCGGCGCGATTCAAAGAGTAGCGACCGAGTGACTTTCCTTTTGGCAAGCCGCGCGTGCGCCTTTACTGGCGCCGACAGTTCACCCGCAACCACCGAAGCATACACACGAGAATACGTCCGCACCTCGCTCGCTACCATTCCTTTTCGAACTTGTTTGTGGGACCCTCTGGAGTATTCATACCCAGTGCTCCAGCTGGACAACACAAAAGGAGTTAATAAGTACTAACTCTATGCAATTAAATAAATTAATGTAATGACCATTTTATGATAAAAAAGAGATACGTCACGCGTGGAGCGAACATTTTATTGAGGCTAATGGGGCTCGGCTTTGTTTTCATTCGTAGAATACGACAAGCCACGAATTTACCTTACTGATGACCAAATGAAAATAACACAATCTAAGTTTAAAAGAAAATAATGAACCTCCGATTAAAATGGATATCTTAGCGACACAGCATCAAGTTAAGAATTTTAGTAAATTCTGGAGACCGAAAAACTGTAGAATATTAGAAGAAAATATAATTGTTTGCATAAAGCAGTCTTTACCAAGCCATACCGGTCATCGTTCGAATCCGTCGATTGCGACGAAGGGCTGGGCGACTAATAAATTAACCCACAAACACAGCCCATTGAGTTTCTCGCCGGATCTTCTCTGTGGTTCGCGTTTCCGAATGCCGATAATACACTTGTGCCGATGTTTTGATACCTTTTTCACAAAAGTATGACTCCGTCACTCCTTCATAGCTAATACCCCACCAAACCATTACTGAAGTTGGATAGTGCCCACGTTGCACTCCGCGACTAATTGGGAAGCTTCCTTAGAGCTTTGAGCATAAATACGGTCATTTTGTTTGTTAAAATGTTGCTCAATTGTAAAAAAATTCTCATCTGCAAACACAAATTTCTATGACCTCCCTTTGCGTACCGCTTCAGTAGTTGTTTCAATTTTACCACACTATTCTCTTTTAAATTATCAGTTAAGAAATGACCAGTACATACGTCTCTTATAGGCTGCAAGTCCTAAGTCATCTTTTAAAATACGCGACATGGTTCTAGGTGCTATCTTCATCTCCCGAGATAAAATCTTTTGCTTTCGGACAGGATTTCTTCGAATTCTTTCCCTTACTGCTTTGACCACCTTTTTCGTACGAACACTACGTGGACGGCCAGATCTTTTTCTGTCACAAACAGAGGAGGTCTCATCNTTATAGGCTGCAAGTCCTAAGTCATCTTTTAAAATACGCGACATGGTTCTAGGTGCTATCTTCATCTCCCGAGATAAAATCTTTTGCTTTCGGACAGGATTTCTTCGAATTCTTTCCCTTACTGCTTTGACCACCTTTTTCGTACGAACACTACGTGGACGGCCAGATCTTTTTCTGTCACAAACAGAGGAGGTCTCATCGCAACTATTAATAGCCCGGTACACAAACATTTTACTAGTAGTAGTGGTAGGACCACTTGTGAGTCGGCGCGGGTAGGTACCACCACCCCGCCTATTTCTGCCGTGAAGCAGTAATGCGTTTCGGTTTGAAGGGTGGGGCAGCCGTTGTAATTATACTTGAGACCTTAGAACTTATATCTCAAGGTGGGTGGCGCATTTTCGTTGTAGATGTCTATGGGCTCCAGTAACCACTTAACATTAGGTGGGTTGTGAGCTAGTCTACCCATCTAAGCAATAAAAAAAAACGTGTGCAAGAGGGCTTATTTTTAGCGTTCCTGTACCGTCTCCATTTCACCACTCGTGAGTCGTATGCTTATAGAGTAATGTACAGGAATAAAATAGCATGAGTTCTGCTACAGCACTGCCGAGTCGCTCCGACTGTGTCGGCATTTCAAACAGCTTCTTTTGTCTTTGCAATGTAGGTACAAATATGTGTTTGCAATATAGGTACAAATTTACATTTGCCGTAAAGAGATATCTGCAGATTATTTTGAGCCTTATTTTTTAGTGTTTTAAGCGTGTCGTAGTGGTTCCTTTTTAACCACTTTATTTTCGCTTTACAAGTGTAAGCCAATCAATCAAATTTAATAGGTTGGGGAAAAAGTCTTTTCGCATTATAGTATGCATGAACTTGTAATAAAATCTCTTTGACTATACTATTTGTGATTGGCTGGTTTTGGTATCATTAAAAGTTTAAATTCCTAATTCAAATTAGGAAAGGACCGAAAGGACGGAAGGAGGACTGCCAAAACCAATTGTCGCGGTATCTTGATCAGAATCCCCAAAATTTCTATAGCTATGAGATCATATCCCTATCTATAAAATGGCAAAAAGTTAAGGAACAAAATGGTACCTACATACTTTAGTTAAATGTAAATAAATTATATTAAAAAATGTTGTGAATTTTCTTCAAAAATGCGATGAAACTTTTTCCCCAACCTAAAAAAACACAGCGGGGGTTTATACAGTATTCAATTGCAAAAAAATTCATTAACAAAAAACAAAAAAAAATAGCAACAATGAACACAATATAATAGTGATAAAATTCTTTAATAAAATATAATCGAGGAGGCAATAGAAAAATTACAAAAATTTCAAATGACGTTTCCAGTCTCAAATGTCAAACAACTCTTTCGCGCGCCATTTTCGGTTTCACTCGCCAAAGTTGCACAGACTGCAGTCGGGACAGCGCCTCTGTGGCTTCCTGCCGCGACGCCCGTGCTTCGGCTCTGGCACCTTGTAGTGATGGTCGTTGGATCTCGATCGTGAACGAGAATAAGATCTGAAAATCGAATGAGCATTCCCGTTTTCAAACGCAAGCAATACGATACACACACGATATATACACGGTTCGGTTTAAATAAAACCTTTCATTCTGGTTAGGTTGCACGTCGAAGTTTTTTTTTTATTGCTTAGATGGGTGGACGAGCTCACAGACCACCCGGTGCCAAGTGGTCACTGGAGCCCATAGACATCTACGACGTAAATGCGCCATCCACCTTGAGATATAGTTCTAAGGTCTCAGTATAGTTACAACGGCTGCTCCACCCTTCAAACCGAAACGCATTACTGCTTCACCCCAGAAATAAGCAGGGCGGTGGTACCTCCCGTGCGGACTCACAAGAGGTCCTACCAGTAATTACGCAAATTATAATTTTGCGGGTTTGATTATTATTACACGATGTTATTCCTTCACCGTGGAAGTCAATCGTGAACATATGTTAAGTACGTATTTCATTAGAAAAATTGGTACCTACCCGCCTGCGGGATTCGAACACCGGTGCATCGCTAGATACGAATGCACCGGACGTCTTATCCTTTGGGCCACGACGACTTCAAAAAGTCTGCCGAGTTCGACGTGCAACTTAAGTCATGCATTAGCCCGCTGAATTTCTCGCCGGATCTTGTCAGCGGGTCGCGATTCTGATCCGGTAGTAGATTCAATCGCAAAGCAGCTGCTCTTGAGCTGTTAGGTTTGTTTTGAGGGCGTTCAGGTAGCTGTTAGCAAATCCCACCTCTCCTGGCTCAGTCTTTGCTCGCCCACCTGTCCCGGTGAAACTGGAAAGGCCTTTGGGACACCAGTTCAATCATAAAAAAAAAATAACTTTTGTGGGATCCAGGGACTAATGTTGGCCCCGGAATGGTATTGCCAGTTTTACGTTAATAACCTAATCTGTTACTAACCCGATTCCTCCCGACCAAGAAGTCCGGGTAGTAAGTAGTTGCTTACTGTTTTGGACTCTAAATCTAAATCTCAATGAATTTGGTGTGATACAAATTGTAGATGGTAAGAATGTAGGTACTTCTCAATCGACTAGTTTTGGGTATTAAATAATTACCATAACCGTTATTGTTTGGACGTTTTTGCTGACACTGTCGACTGGTTTGAGACGAGACGCCGTCAATATAGTAATGTGTAATAATGTTACATTTTTAGAACTAAAAATGAATTGCTTTTTTTTAAACTATTTATTGCGGTCGACACATGTAATTGTGTTAGCACTTAGCGGGTGAGTATTTGCAAATGAACATATTAGACAATTTTAAAGAATGAAAAAATAGTACTTCCAAAACTGTTCTTTAGATATTTAAAGCAAAGCCGATAGTAGCATACACATACACAGAAATGCGTGAGAACAAAAAATAAGCCTTTAAATACTTCACAATTTGGATCTGAATTTTTGTGCAAACGGTAATGAGAAATTAAATCATTATTATTATTATCCATTACTATCCCATAGGTCTCTTCTCAACTATTTTAAGAGTTAGGAGGTATTAGGCCGTAATCCTCAATGAGAACACTACTGTTAGCCCAGTGATTACGGCTTCAGACTTACAATTTGTACTGTAAGAGAAGATTGACAGTGAAAAAAAACGCAGAAAGTGCTATTTTGCGCTTTTCTTGAATCTGATATTTGTAGTGGTTTAGTAATTTACACGGCAGTTTAAATATAGCATGTATTGAAACAATGTTACATTCAAAAAGAAAAAATACCTACTTACCATTCTAGCTTGCTCCTTACCATTCGGTTAAAATGTGAACGGGAAAAATGGTAAACAGTAAAATGGTGAGTAGATATTTGGAAACATTTGTGTGCGTTACATTATTTATTAGACTTATGAGAGTAAATACGTTATCAAACGAGAAATAATCTTATGGCAAATATTTAGATCATTAATTAAATTAATCTGAACAAATAACGTAGCTTTAGAAGACACGAATGGTAAGGAGATTTTATTTTGACCTGGACGATTTTTTGTACATTATTCATTTTTCGTTGGCGCCAAATCGCTCTTTAAGCCCTGTGATCTGCTCAAGTCACTAGCGGGCACTGAGGTCGTCGTGGAGTCATCGTGAGGGTTACATTTACCATTGGGTACAATTCTATTTCACTGTCAGTATTCGCGAACGTTAAGTAGTACGAAGGGTGGGACAATTTTTGAATTGGTATAAAATTAACTGAAACTGTTCTTTATATCATATATTTTATTTCAGTTTATACATTAACTTTTTTTTTTTATTTTCCACAGGAGAAAATCGCCGGATCCCCACCCGCACGGCAGGTGGGGTATGTGGGAGTTGAACCTCACTAAAAACTCCTGCCGCTCGCAACCGGCGCCCTACCTCGGACCGGGCCGGAGCCCAGTCGGGGCTATTGAGACGGCGGGACAGGGTTGACGCAGAGCACATTACATCCATCCCACCGTCCCACGGACGCCGGACCGGCGGCCGCCAGCGACACGACCACCGGTTCCCTCGTTCAGCGGACCGAGAGCCCGCCTTGATGGCGCCGCGTTACACCTTCCCCCAGAGCGGTCGGGGGAACGCGGTATACCATCAACCGGCTTCCTACTGCGGGTGAGCGTGCAAAGCACACCACCCCACGTCTGGGTCTCTCCCCGCACAAAACGGGTGGGACCCCTAGCTCTTATGGGGCCAGGTCACGGATACGACCCCGGTCCCGACCCCCTGTTTGGCGGCGGCGGGTTTCTGCGTAGTGAGGAGAGCTTTGCCTCACTGGCCCCGCCGCCTCCTTCTGCGAGATGGTGTACTCGCAGAAGTCGAGCATAGCCTTCCAGGACTCATTGCTGCCAAGCATCGATGCCACAACGCCAGGCAGCGACAAGTCAGGTCCTATCTTTGCGACCAGGACACGGCGCCGCACCTCCCAAGCGGGGCAGACAGCGAGCGTATGCTCCGCCGTGTCCAGGTCGTGTCCACAATGGTGACACCTCGTCGTCGGCTCAGCCCCTATCCGGTGCAGGTACTTCCCGAAGCATCCGTGCCCGGTTAGCACCTGCACCAGACGAAAGGTGAGACGTCCTTCGCCACGTTTCACCCAGTCATCAAAGACTGGGTAAAACCGCCTCGACGGCTCGTAGCCCCCACGTGGGGTTGGCCAATCGCCTCGACCACGACTCGACCACGGACCGCCGAGAATGGGTCTTCCGCGCCCGCAGCTCACTTTCGGGGAGACGCGCCACGCCCCGAGCACGAAGCTCGCTGCGCCACCGATAGTCGGCAGCGAGCGACTCCGCCTCCAGCTCCCATGGGACACGAACGGTAATGAGGTTTTGGGAACTAACTTTTTTATAAAATGTCATAAAGCTTATAAAATATAATAAATTGATCTGCAATATGTACCCCACTTAATTAACTATGTATATAAAAAAAGTGATCAAAATCGATTTAAGTTTAATGTGTTATTCACAGCGAGACATCAAAAATGTACGTTTTCAAATATTCACCCTAGTGTGAGATTAATATTGTAATATAGTGGGCTAATGTTCGCACCCAATAAATTATTTAATAAAAAAAATCCGGAATATTTTTTTATCAAAGTTGAAAGTCGGGCACCGAAATAATAAACCAATTTAAAAGCAATTTTGGTTTTTTAAACTTTGTTCTAAAAAATATCTAATATTTAAATGGAGTATTATCGTGGCCATCCAAAAGCGAAAAACAAAATTCATTTGGAAAAATTAAGTTAGATGATTTTAATATTTTCGTGAGCTGACAACTTGTATCGAACAAAATTCGGTACTTCCCCGAATATCGATCGAAGTATATTAGAGGTCTATTATAGGCGAAAATACGCTCTTCTCCATTGTTTAATGTTGTAAATTATATCTTTGGCTGCGATTAAAATACACCCCCTAAAACAATACTGAAAAAGCTGGCTTACCTAGATCTAGACCTAGATTTCCGTGTAATTCCCCTATAGTCTTCCTCCTCTTCGCATTTGAACATTACTCCCCAGTACTGATAAGCGAGGTACATTACAGACAGCAGAATTGCCACCTTAAAACGAAATGCAAATATTATTATTATTATTTTTATTATTGCTTAGATGGGTGGATGTGCTCACAGCCCACCTGGTGCTAAGTGATTACCAGAGCCCATAAACATTTACAGCGTAAATGTGCCACCCACCTTGAGATATAAGTTCTAAGGTCTCAGTATAGTTACAACGACTGCCCCGCCCTTCAAACCGAAACGCATTACTGCTTCACGGCAGAAATAGGCAGTGCACTGGTGTTCCTACCCGTGCGGTCCTACCACCAGTAGGATAATAAGGTATTAGATAATGGTTTCTTAGCTAAGCAGTCATGATGTACATCAAGTTCAATGACATTGCAAGTCCTTTGTGATGGGTAGCTTTGAAAATCAACATCTTTATCCATATCGAAGNCCCTTCAAACCGAAACGCATTACTGCTTCACGGCAGAAATAGGCAGTGCACTGGTGTTCCTACCCGTGCGGTCCTACCACCAGTAGGATAATAAGGTATTAGATAATGGTTTCTTAGCTAAGCAGTCATGATGTACATCAAGTTCAATGACATTGCAAGTCCTTTGTGATGGGTAGCTTTGAAAATCAACATCTTTATCAATATCGAAGGGGTAAAAGGCTGAAAGGCTAGTTTATCCTTTCACCTGTCGATATCTTATGTCAACGATTTGATATTACCTACAGTATAAATAAAATAAATACTTGGGTAATTTGGTTTTATGGGTGGCAGGTCGTAAGGTTCCCCCACCTACTTGGTGGCGTTAATTGTTTCCCATAGACATCTACAACGTAAATGCCACCACCCACCTTAAGATATGGGTTCTAAGGTCCCAGCTTTTACAGTACAACGGCTGCCCCGCCCTTCAAACCGAAGCGCATTACTGCTTCACGGCAGAAATAGGCGGGGCGCTGGTGTACCTAACCGTGTGTTATCGAGCAACACTTCCGGCCTCACATAATAAATTATTTACGAACTTAGGAAATATATAGATCTTATTATTGTCTTATAATATAATTAGTAATTTCATAATCAAGTAAATAGTTCATTCATATTTCTTTATACTTATAATATTTTATTGGCGCCTTCCGCTTGACAGCTTCCGGCGCAATAAACCTTACGGCGCAATAAGCCTTAATGTTATTTGTGTTACATAATTCGATATTATTAAATAATAATTGTACGTAAATAATCAGCAGAATGATTAAGATGAACAATGTTTAATATTACCTACTAAGTTTGTATTAAATCAGCAGAATGATTAAGATGAACAATGTTTAATATTACCTACTAAGTTTGTATTAAAATAGGTCAAGATGATTGTATAAATACCGGCGGTTAGCATATCTCTACTGCATTCGTATTCTACCCACCGTAACGTGTACAGAAGAGAATATATTATTTGGTGTGGATGTAAATTGTCTCAATTGTCGCCGCCACCCTCATCCGTTTATACATGCGGACTCACAAGAGGTCCTACCACCAGTAATTACGCAAATTATAATTTTGCGGGTTTGGTTTTCATTACACGATGTTATTATTCGCCGTGGAAGAGCATTTGTTAATTTAGTAAGTACCTATTTCATTTGAAACTTTGGTACCTATCTGCGGGATTCGAACACCGTTGCATTGCTAGATACGAATGCACCGGACGTCTTATCCTTTAGGCCACGACGACTTTAAAGGTGAGTAAGGGCGTCCATGAGCCCGTTCTAAATGTGAACAAACATACTTAAAAAACAATCAAGGCCCACTGAGTTTCTCGCCGGATCTTCTCAGTGGGTTGTGATTCCGATTCGGTACTGGATTCTGCAAAGCACTGCTCTTGCTAGGGCTAGGGCTAGTGTTAGCAAACTCACTCAGGTTAAATCCGCGAGTTCACATACCCGGCCTGGGCGTTCATGGAATCGCCCCCTAGGCTACCAACAAAAAAGTTGGGGAAAAATACAATTAATGTATCTCAATTTTCCCGATAAAGTTTCGGTATCAACAATGCTATCGTCTAATGGATTCCCCGATAATACAGATGTAATTGATGACTTCCATTAGCAAACAATTAACATTATAATTCGTCCATTTGGACCAAACAATACGGAGCTTACAAAACTAGACGCGGACAGCGATGTTGCCTGCTAAAAATTTATCATTATAAATTTTTGACCAACGACTTGTAGGGGTTTTTTTTTATTTATTTTTAAAAAAATCCCCCCTTGAGTCAGGGGTTTTTTTTTTTATTAATAAAAAAAAACCCTCCCTTGCGTAAAACGACTTGTAGGGGGATTCTTTTTATTTGGTAACCTAAGGGCCTATTCCAAATGCGTGGGGTTTCGTAGGTGAGTGTACGGAGCTCAACCCTGAGAGATTAAAATAGCACTGGCCTTTGGAATGGACACCCCTCCACGGTGTTATGACATGTCCTTCTTCAAACGAGGCTTGTGGAGAGTACTAACGGTATGGCCCTGCCCCTGGCATTGCTGAAGTCCATAGGCAATGGTAACCACTGACCATCATGGGCCGTATCCTCGTGTGCCTACAAGGGCAATAAAAAAAGATGTAGGAATCATTATAGAGGAGTGAAAGGGTATTCGGCTTAAGCGACATTTCGGATAATATGCGATAATTAAAAACGTATTTTGTTTAGTATTAGCAACAACAATTCGATGTTTTTAATTCAACTTCAATTAAGTTTATTTCATTCAATTATCTGAAGAAGTTTGTTCTTGTTATGATATTTTTTACCAAATTTTAAACTTTAAATATATCCTTTCACCCCTCAATATAGGTAACAATAATAAATCGCGTGGAAACCAAAGAAAATTCCACTAAAAGGCTTCGTCAAACAGAACGCGTACTTAGCGCGCGTTAGAGCGCTAAACTAACGCCGCGCTATGACGCCGAGTTGTGATGGATAACTGTGGTAACATACCGTCAAACAGAGCTGGCTATAAGCTATAGCGCTTATAGCGCTGGCGTTCTGTGTGACGGTATGTTACCACAGTAGTACATCACATCTCGGCGTCATAGCGTAGCGCTCTGACGCGCGCTAATTACGCGTTCTGTTTGACGAAGGCTTAATATATTTATGACGTTATATTCTATAAGAATAAGTTTTTGTAAACGTCTTCAATAGACAGACACGTTTCTATTAAAGTTTTATATGTGTTTATATTAACAAGTATATTTTACATAAAAGAAAATACTTTGCTTACAATCTGAGTCACATATCATCGTGCCCAAAGCGCGGTATGTTATTTTTGAGGAATTGTATTTTTTTTTTTTCTTTACCCTTTAAGTCAGCTAAGTAATTAAGTAGTTTCCATGCATTTTTAGATAAAAAAATTTCGGGCCGGGGATGAACTTTTTTTTTTATTGCCCTTGTAAGCAGACGAGCATACGGCCCACCTGATGGTGAGTGGTTACCGTCGCCCATGGACTTCAGCAATGCCAGAGGCAGAGCCAAGCCGCTGCCTACCGCTTAATACTCTCCACAAGCCTCGTTTGAAGAAGGACATGTCATAGCGCTCGGGAAACACCGTGGAGGGGAGCTCATTTCATAGCCGGATGGTACGTGGCAAATAAGATCTCTGGAAACGCACTGTGGATGACCGCAGTGGCTCCAGGCAGTATAGATGAACTCTAGTCCGGTGGCGGGCGGTGCGATAGTAAAAACAAGATGATGAATTTTTTTATTTTTTATTGTATAGATGGGTGGACGAGCTCACAGCCCACCTGGTGTTGAGTGGTTACTGGAGCTCATATACATCTACAACGTAAATGCGCCACCCACCTCGAGTTAAGTTCTAAGGTGTCAAGTATAGTTATATATTTTTTATATATATTAACAGATTCACTTAAAAAATGACTACAACTTAATAAATTCATGACGACATATATTATTTATATAGAAAATACGTACTGTAGGTAAATGATAAACACTTCAGCTAAGCACGGATTGTTAGGTGAGCTCACGGGGCTCAATCTGTGAGAACTTGTTAGCACTAGACCTAGCAAGAGCGCGAAGCTACGCGTGTATGCAGTGGTGGATTTACATTAGGGCAGTCACCTAGTCGGGACAAGTGCCTAGGGTGGCAAATTTTTTAGGGCGGCAATATTTTGAAAGTAATATATTTTTTGTCTTATCAAGATTGCTCAATATAATTATATATACTCAATATAATAATTAATTCTAATAATTAATCATTTTCCTTTTAATTGATAATTCAAGAAATTCAATTCATCCATTATTTGTGAATTATATAATTTTGGCACTTTTGGTAAAAATTATGAATCAAAATGATTTAATCAATTTATTTCCTTAAGCCGAATTTACATTACGAAATTAGTGGCGTGAAATTAATTTCGTGACATTAGTTTTACTAACAGTTTCACGTGTAATTTAATACTTTCGTAATGCATGCATTCATTTCATGTATGGAAATTAGTTTCGTGCCCTGCGCGATTTTTTGGTGAAATTAGTGTCATGCAACTAATTTCATAGTGTAGACGCGACGTGAAACTAATGTCGCGAAAGGGCCTGCGCTGTGCGGACGTGTGTATTGTTAGTTCGGACGCGCTTCAAGCGTTGAAAATGGCAAACCAATGATGGAGTACAGAAAAAAATATAGATCTTATTAATNTCATGCAACTAATTTCATAGTGTAGACGCGACGTGAAACTAATGTCGCGAAAGGGCCTGCGCTGTGCGGACGTGTGTATTGTTAGTTCGGACGCGCTTCAAGCGTTGAAAATGGCAAACCAATGATGGAGTACAGAAAAAAATATAGATCTTATTAATGAATATCAATGACAAGGGTCCCGAAACACCTATAGTAAAAAATCTAAATTATCTTCACTCATTCGAAAATAGTTTTTATAACTCTCAGGATCTTCATCTGCTAATTCAGAGACTAACTTCATTGCACCTAAATGCCTTCTTGTTGACCATCCTCGAATCTACCAACTTTTTTTTTTTCTTGATAGTCTTTTTTTAAGTTTATAGGTATATAAGCATTTCTTTAGCTATATTGAATATAGCAAATTATAGCTTTGATGCTGAAGGCGCCATGGTTACTGCGATACTGTTGATTTCGCGACACTAATTTTTTAACGAAATTACTTTCGCATATATCGAAACTACTTTCGTGAAACTGAGCTCAACATGCATGACACTAATTTCGTAATGTAAACTCGGCATTAGAGATCTAAAATAATAATCGATTTTTCTATTGTCTGTAATTAAAGAAATTTAATTAGTTTCTTTTTTTAATGTAATATATTATGAGTCACCCTTAGTCAAAATTTATAATTGTTAGAAAAAAAACAACAAATATTTATTTATGTTTTTGGAATATGATAACGTTCCCGCAATAATTATTTTATTTTAATTTTGAAAAATAAAATATATAAACTATAAGTTTAGGTGAAATTCCAGTATTGGGGCGGATTTTTTTCCTGTGCCCAGGAGAGGCATTAAGTTTAAATCCGGCCCTGCGTGTACGACTAATAATAATTAGATAACTCTACAAGCAAAGTGAAGTTACTCATCTACATTTTTTTATAGGTAAAATGACAAAGAGGAAATATAAAAACTTAAGGAAACATACCGCTATATTTAGTTGTCGGACGCGTATGAAGTCCGCGATGCTCTCGGCGAGGGAGTCCATGACGGCTGTGTACAGAATATACGAGGAATTCTGCAATGAAACGACCTTACACGGCCTCAAACATACTGTCGAGAAGAGCTTGCATTGGTTTGAGAGGTAAAAATAATAATATTGAGATTATTGTTGTTTTTGATTCACTTCGAATTTTCAGCCGCGGCCATATTATATTTATTACATTTTTGACATTTGTGACAGATGATTTTCGAATTAGATATATTTTTTTCTATTGATTGTGTATTAAGGAGGTTAATAAGTATAATAAAAAGAACCATTTTGGAATTTGTATTGGGTTGTGAAATTTAATGTTTTCCGTGACTTTTGTATTTAGTTTAAAAATATGCATTATTTAAAATGTCAACTATTTATTTGAGATTCAGAACAATTTTAAAATGTTTTTTTTTTATAAAATATACAAAGAGCTCGTGGCTCGCGACCTGCAGGTTGCCGACCCCTGAGTTAGGTCCTTTAAAATTTTTGCCGTGCCAAATTAGGTAGAACTGTAGATATATTCTACGTAGTTTAGGTACTCTATAATTTTACTGAAACAGGGTTTGCACATCAGTGAAAATAATAATTTTTTTTTTTCTTTGGGTTACGTTATACAGAGTTACTACGGTTCTTAAATATTGTGAATGGACTCGTTATAAGGCCCCATTTAAACTCCTTTCGGCTTTACGGGTAGTTTTGTAATACAGATAACAGAACATAAAATGAATATATTAAGTAGGCAAGTATTTTAACGTTTATAATAAAGTTTGCTCATTTGAGTGATTATTAATGGCAACGTGGACAAAATTATTTTATTCTTTTTAGCCTTGTAGCCGTTCTCAATATTAAAGGCACAATGTGAGATATAATAGTTTATATATATATAGACGTTGCTATATATAGGCGCTGTACATTATTGTTACAATCGTGTTTCCTAAATCGGCCTATCCTGCAGTCGCCTCGTCCCAGGCGCGTCCTGCTGATCGTCGTTCCTTAGTTATCCTGAATCAGCCTCCGCGGTCAAGGAGTCGTCGTTTGTCCTGACCACTTGGGCATCTGACGGTTTTGGGACAGTCTTGATTGGCTTATGCTTCGTTATCTGAAATATACCTATGCGTATAGAACCAGTGTATAGATCGTTTTACAGCTTATTGGGTACATTTTTATAAAATTTAAAAAAAAATCGGAGAGCTCTCATAACCGTGATCCTCATTATTCTTGCTGATCCATGAGCTGCAGAAACGTTGCGCTCGCTGTTTCTGTGAATAAATCAGACAGAGAGCATCCCCTCTATCAGAGCTGGCCGGAGGCATCACTGAATCGTACGTCCCCAAACAAACCATTGAACAGAGGGATCACTGAATCGCATGTCCACAAGCAAACAATTGGACAGAAGCATCACTGAATCGCATGTCCACAAGAAAACAATTGGACAGAAGCATCACTGAATAACATGTCCCCAAGCAAACAATTGGACAGAAGCATCACTGAATCACATGTCCACAAGAAAACAATTGGACAGAAGCATCATTGAATCGCATGTCCCCAAGCAAACAATTGGACAGAAGCATCACTGAATCACATATCCACAAGAAAACAATTGGACAGAAGCATCACTGAATCACATGTCCACAAGAAAACAATTGGACAGAAGCATCATTGAATCGCATGTCCCCAAGCAAACAATTGGACAGAAGCATCACTGAATCACATATCCACAAGAAAACAATTGGACAGAAGCATCACTGAATCACATGTCCACAAGAAAACAATTGGACAGAAGCATCATTGAATCGCATGTCCCCAAGCAAACAATTGGACAGAAGCATCACTGAATCACATATCCACAAGAAAACAATTGGACAGAAGCATCACTGAATCACATGTCCACAAGAAAACAATTGGACAGAAGCATCATTGAATCGCATGTCCCCAAGCAAACAATTGGACAGAAGCATCACTGAATCACATATCCACAAGAAAACAATTGGACAGAAGCATCACTGAATCGCATGTCCCCAAGCAAACAATTGGACAGAAGCATCACTGAATCGCATGTCCCCAAGCAAACAATTGGACAGAAGCATCACTGCATCACATATCCACAAGAAAACAATTGGACAGAAGCATGATTGAATCACATGTCCCCAATCAAACCATTGGACAGAGGCATCACTGAATCGCACGTCCACACCATTGGTCAATAACGATAACTGGTACTTTAAGCTTTTCCGAGCATGACAACTTATAAGATCTGTAAGCGACAGGTGTGTCGTTCGTGGCTAATGGAAATTTCGCCAGTAGTGACGGTAGTCGAGGCAGTACCCGAAATAAAGTAGTCCGAAAACTTTTTTATCAACTCAGTGAGCTGTTCGAGTCCGGTGCCTTGAAGTGGAATGCGGATTTGTAACGTTTCGTCAACAGACGCAGTATGAACAGCTCGTAGATCTAGTAAGATGCTGTCTATCTTTGGTTCTTATGTATGTGATACCCTCACGGTTGAGGCTGTCCGTGCGTGCCTATGATTATGGGGGCAGTCATGCTAGTTCCTCCATGTGATTCAGTGATGCCTCTGTTCAATGTTTTGGTTGGGGACATGTGATTCAGTGATGCTTCTGTCCATGTGTTTTCTTGGGGACATGCGATCCAGTGATGCCTCTGTCCAATTGTTTTCTTGGGGACATGTGATTCAGTGATGCCTCTGTTCAAGGTTTTGATTGGGGGCATGTGATTCAGTAATGCTTCTGTCTAATTGTTTGCTTGAGGACATGTGATTCAGTGATGCCACTGTTCAATGTTTTTTTTGGTTGGGGACATGTGATTCAGTGATGCTTCTGTCCATGTGTTTTCTTGGGGACATGCGATCCAGTGATGCCTCTGTCCAATTGTTTTCTTGGGGACATGTGATTCAGTGATGCCTCTGTTCAAGGTTTTGATTGGGGGCATATGATTCAGTAATGCTTCTGTCCAATTGTTTTCTTGGGGACATTTGATTCAGTGATGCTTCTGTCCAATTGTTTTCTTGGGGACATGTAATCCAGTGGGGCTTCTGTTCAATGTTTTGATTGGGGACATGTGATTCAGTGGTGCCTCTGTCCAATTGTTTTCTTGGGGACATGTTATTCAGTGATGCCTCTGTTCAAGGTTTTGAGTGGGGGCATGTGATTCAGTGATGCTTCTGTCTAATTGTTTGCTTGAGGACATGTGATTCAGTGGTGCCTCTGCCCAATTGTTTTCATATACTAGAAAGTGTAAAGGCGGACTTAATGCCATAGACATTCTCTAACAGTCTACCTTAGGGGAGTGCAGAGATGAAGCTTGGTAGGTGTAGTCTGAAGGTGATATTACTTAAACATATGTGTGTATGTATATAACATACATAATATTTATAGATACAAATACTCGTACTTAAATAAATACAAATACATAAATATATAGATATACATAAATATATACATATACATATCATAAATATATACATATAAAAACATATATAAACAAATATTATCAATTAGATGACTCTGCTAACTCTCTGAGAAACAGTTCTCGAACCTTCGTCTTAAACGCTTCACGTGTAGTGGTCGACCTTATTTTGAGTGGGAGCGCATTCCATAGAAGAATAGACTGAATTGTGAATGAAGAATGTAAAAAGTCAGAACTATGTGGAGGATTTAGTGATATCTCTGTCCAATTGTTTTCTTGGGAACATGCGATTCAGTGATGCTTCTGTTAAATTGTTTTCTTGGGGACATGTGATTCAGTGATGCTTCTGTCCAATTGTTTTCTTGGGGACATGTAATCCAGTGGGGCTTCTGTTCAATATTTTGATTGGGGACATGTGATTCAGTGGTGCTTCTGTTCAATTGTTTTCTTGGGGACATGTGATACAGTGATGCTTCTGTCCAATTGTTTTCTTGGGGACATGCGATTCAGTGATGCTTCTGTCCAATTGTTTTCTTGGGGACATGTGATTCAGTGATGCTTCTGTTCAATGTTTTTATTGGGGACATGTCATTGTGATTTAGTGATGTACCGTACTTATTGTATGCTGTGTCGTGTCGTATCGTGTCTTATTGTACTGCATTGAAATTTACGTGACCAACAGATTGATATGGTTCGTGTTGACAATATCCGCCTTCACCGGAGCCGTCTACTGCGCTCTAAGTCAGTACAGCCGCTACAACTCCGAGCCCGTCGTGGTTTCCATGCAGAGAGACTACAGGAGCTGGTGGACTGCGTTTCCAGCCGTGACGGCCTGCTACCTTAGCAGGGTGCATCCGGATAAAGCTCAACTGATAATAGAGAAGTGATTTTCAAGTTAAATTTGAAATTAATCAAGACAAGAGTTAAATGCGATGATAATTTGTAACGGGTAGCTGTCATATAAGAGAACTAGCTTTTGCTCGCGACTTCGTCNGCAGAGAGACTACAGGAGCTGGTGGACTGCGTTTCCAGCCGTGACGGCCTGCTACCTTAGCAGGGTGCATCCGGATAAAGCTCAACTGATAATAGAGAAGTGATTTTCAAGTTAAATTTGAAATTAATCAAGACAAGAGTTAAATGCGATGATAATTTGTAACGGGTAGCTGTCATATAAGAGAACTAGCTTTTGCTCGCGACTTCGTCAGTGTGGAATAGTTACTTTGGCATAATGCAAAATTTTACCCCTCACTTAATTTACGTAGAAAGTGAAAATATTTTTGAATTATAAAATGTTAAGGAGCTATTTAAACCCCTATTTTGAAACATTCTTTATTGGTGCTCCACTTGTATTGGTCTTACCGTGATGTTATATAGCCTATAGCCTTCCTCAATTAATGGGCTATCTAATACTGAACGAATTTTTCAAATCGGACCAGTAATTCCTGAGATTAGCGCGTTCAAACAAACAAACTCTTCAGTTTTATAATGTTATAAGTATAGATATAGTATAGATACGATTGAACTAGCGTACACGTACGAGTCCTTCATTTGCCCGTTAGGCGATCACAGACAATACCAGACATTACAAACATAGACAAACTATATTTTATTTGAGCGCGTCGCTAACAGCGCTTTTCTATTCTACTCTTCTTTCATGATTAGGCACTGGAACGTGACAGAAGATTCAGACCCCGGCAAGTACCAATACTACTACGATTTCATTGAACTGGTGGCTGATGTGTCGTTCAGAGAAAATCTGCAGAATTTCTGGAAGTACCAGTCAGACGAGACCGTCAAGGAATTGAATCTGCTGCAACTAGCTTTGTTCGTTCACCCGGAGATTGAATTAAATGTTGTTATGTCCCAAAAACAGGTCGGTTTTGATGCTTTTCCTCACAAAACAGCGAAACGTAGTCAACGTTACGAACTTTACTGGTGGTAGGAGCTCTTGTGAGTCCGCACGGGTAGGTACCACCGCCCCGCCTATTTCTGCCGCGAAGCAGTAATGCGTTTCGGTTTGAAGGTCGTGGCAGCCGTTGTAACTATACGGAGACCTTAGAACTTATATCTCAAGGTGGGTGGCGCATTTACGTTGTGGATGTCTATGGGCTCCAGTAACCACTTAACACCAGGTGGACTGTGAGCCACCTACCATCCGGCTATAGAATGAGCTCCCCTCCACGGTGTTTCGTAAGCGCTATGACATGTCCTTCTTTAAAATAGGCTTGTGGAGAGTATTAAGCGGTAGGCAGCGGCTTGGCTCTGTCCCTGGCATTGCTGAAGTCCATGGGCGACGGTAACCACTCACCATCAGGTGGGCCGTATGTTCGTCTTCCTACAAGGGCAATAAAGAAGTAGCAATCGTGATAGAAACGAAGGACTTTAACAACATCACATCGAGGGGCGATAGAATATTTGGGTTAAACGACATTTTTGCAACATAACAAGAGAAGCCATTTAAAGTTTAAATTGTTTTATCTCATAACAAAAAAAACTTCTTCAGTTATTTGAATTGAGTTAAACTTAATTGAAGTTCAATTAAAAACATCGAACTGTTGATGCTGTTACCAAATAAAATGCACCTTTAATTACAAAGATAAATTTGGCGTATTAATAGCCTTTCGCCCCTCAATATAATAATTTTTGGCGCCATCTTGCTGTGGTTGGCCTTGATTGGTCGCATCTCGACAGACATTTTTTTTTTTCGTACACAGATCGTATTACCTTTTAGGCTCTTACCTCCTTACCTGCTTCTTCCATAATAGTGGAGTAACAAACCAACATTTTCGTTCTTCTAAGCCGAGACCAATATTTGAATATCGAAAAGATGGCCGCAACTAGATTTTTTTATTGTTGTAACCACGGCCCACTTGATGTTAATTGACCACTGAAGCCCGTAGACATCAACAACGTAACTCCCGCCGTCCACCTAAAGACATGAGTTCCAAGTCTCAGTTTTTTAGTATTAATACGCGCTGGGGTTCGAGATAAATAAAAAATTTACCAAAGTACAACTCAAAACTGTATTTAACACATAAAGCACTTAACGAACACTTTAAAATTCTCAATTCACTTCTTCCGCTTCGCTTCAGGTGATCCGTTCGCTGTTTCGCTTCGAGTAGAATCGATTACGATACGACATCCCTAGATTTATCGAGAACATTCTGGGCAACTAGAGTAGCTTCGATGTGTGTTTCCGCTAACTGAGAATAGATGGCGTTGTACTTCTCGAGCGTTCTCGATGTTACTAATTCCTTTGATATTCATTTCTGCTATTCGGCGATAGATGGCGTTACTCTTAAAGGCGTAACAGTATAATACAACGGTTGCCCCAGCCTTTAGACCGGAACGCATTACTGCTACACAACAAAAATAGTCAAGTGGGAAACCTCCTACCATTGGTAAGCATCGAATTAAACAATAACTACTTTCAGGAAGTTATCTGGCACCCGGTGATGACCGAAGTTGGAATGTGTCTGACATACAATTCGAAATACGCCAAATATCAACACATGCTTCACGACAAGGAATGGATCCCGAGTGAGCTCCTCAAGTGTCACTATCTGAGTGGCCAATGCTACGTGAGGATCGACTCCGTAAACAATGGAGTTAGGGTAAGATATATGTAAACTGAAGTGACAGCGGGTATGCCACACAACGCGATCGGACGGCCGATGGGGCAGAAAGATCCTCGAGTGGAGACCATGTAGGTACTGGCGAACGTAGTGTGGGATGACCGCCTACTAAATGGACCGACGACCTACTGAAAATCGCTTCTCAGACACAGCCCACTGAGTTTCTCGCCGGATCTTCTCAGTGGGTCGCGTTTCCGATCCGGTGGTAGATTCTGCGAAGCACGGCTCTTGCTAGGGTTCGTGTTAGCAACGTCATCAGGTTTGAGCCCCGTGAGTTCATCTACAAACAATAGGGTTACGCTGAAATAGCCCCTAAGGCTATCAGCTTAGGTAGGGAAAAAAAAAAGGTGGGTCACGTTGGATGCAGAAGGCAACGGACCGGCCGCAATGGAGATCAGTTGGAGAGGCCTATGTTCATTAGTGGAAAGTGAACAGGTTGAGATGATGATGAAACTAAAACGAAGATTAATGGTACCATCACCTCTGACTGGGGGGCAGTATTGTGAACCTTTACAGATTAGTACCACAGCTCTATACAGGGTGTCCCAGAATGAATGGATAATCCTTGAACCCCGCACGGGACAGCTCTCCAGCGCTCAGAAAAAAATATCTAAAAAAAAGAATTCCAAGTGATACCCAAAATATGATTTTTTTTAGAAAAATATACCTTATTTTTACTTTACTTCACATTCATGTGCACAACGGCCACAAAGTTATGAAATTTGTGGCGTTTTTGGTGTCATCTTGTTCCTGATAGACTATACTACTAGAAATACATTAAATAATATAAGTATCTATAATACTTTTTTCAAAAACAAAATAAGAACTTTAATTTTTAACCTGAAATTTGATATCAAAATAATTTTGGCGTAGTTTGAGAGTGTTTCATGTAAAAAAAAAAAATGAAAACGTAAGTGGCCAGCTATTTAAAAAAAATGCGCAGCTCATACAGCTTACAAAATGGTATCATACATCTTTTTATCTAATACCACTACGAAGTTATTGCTATTGAGATGCAAAAAGAGTAAATACGACTAAAAATAAAAAATAAGTCTTAATAAATTTTAATAATAATAAAAAAAATCGGGTGTACATAAATCAAGCTTTATTCACAACAGGTGTTCAAGCTGTCTGCCACCGACTNCGCCACAAATTTCATAACTTTGTGGCCGTTGTGCACATGAATGTGAAGTAAAGTAAAAATAACGTATGTTTTTCTAAAAAAAATCATATTTTGGGTATCACTTGGAATTCTTTTTTTTAGATATTTTTTTCTGAGCGCTGGAGAGCTGTCCCGTGCGGGGTTCAAGGATTATCCATTCTTTCTGGGACACCCTGTATATTTATGTCGCATTACATACGTTCTGGTTTGGAAGGTAGGGCGTGTAAGCAGCAGGGATTCTCAAGGGGTCGATATCGATCATTTACATACTAGACATCAAACAAGGAAAAAAACTAGATTTAGGATTTTTAAAGTATCATGCTTTGGGTGTCTTAAGAATCTGCTGATCATTTAAAAGGAGTGTTTTTGCCCAAAATCACGAATCCTTGAACTAGAGTGTGTGACAGAGAAGCGAACGCGAGTCTGGGCTCACTCAGCATTCATGCCACTTAACAAAAGAGGATCAACAAAGAAATGAGAATAAAAAACTATAGACATACAGCCTTGATAGCACTCGCCAGCAAAGTATTCTTTCATGTCATCAATACCAGACTGGAAACTTTTCTGAATCCCTAAATAGTTGTTGAACATGCGGCATTCGTCAAGAATCGAGGCTGTCCCTTCGATTCTTTTTCGTTGCTTTCATCATTACTGAAGGTCGTCTCCCTGAAACTTGACCGTGGCCTATCTCGTGAGCTTTTTCCACCCCGTCCGGTTCTCAGCTTCTCGTAGGGCGGTTGCGACTGGCAACCCAGTTAGGATAGTTATTTGGCCACCTTGCCCTTGCCCCTTGTTCCTTCGATAGAAGGTGGCAGTATTTTTTCTTTGTCATTTGACACTTATCATTATATATAAGACAATTGATACTAAATATATTCTCTTAAATTATAGCCTACGTGTTATTCTGATGTGTTAGCTATAATATTGTAAAGTTTCATCAAAACCCATTCAGTAGTTTTTGTAAAGTAACAAACATACATCCATACATTCTTACAAAACTTCGCGTTTTTAATATTAAAATATAATATATATTATGTAGGATATATAACTGTTCCTTTTTATTTTCAGTATTTCATCCATTCACCTTTCGAAATTTCGACGGCCATTTCAAATCCGACCGGAGAAGTTTCACCCGGGGAAGAACTTATCATTGATTTTAAGGTATCAAAATAAATTGGTTCTTTTTTTGTTAATTCTATTGCGGCTTTAAAGGGCGCTTTTCAATCGGCTTATCTGGATAAACGCCATTTTATATTCAATTCACGGTTTTAAATTTAGAGTTTACAATACGCATATTATGTCGCGGCCTCATTGGAGGATCCAACGAAACCTTCTTGAAGAAGGCTTACGATTTCCAGAAATTGATAGCCAAGGAACGCCATTTTGAATTCGGAACACACGCACGCTCCATTCGCGTTTCGACTTCTTCACGTGCAACACGCATCCAACTCATCTTAAAATAAAGCCCGCTTTACCGGTATCGATAACATAGGGGTAATTTCGTTTTAGCTGTGCCGCTATGGTCGTCTTCCTTTTACTGCCGATAAACCACTGAACCCTATCGTTGGAGAGCATGAGGTCTTTGAGAGCCTCAAGTGAGGGACGAGTATACAAAATACCCCTACCGCCAGCGCATTCCTTCGCACAACTTCAACCACTTTCGATTAGCCTCACATTGTGTAGCTATTTACCGCCACACCAATAATCTTACTACGAATGAGGAATACAGTTTCATCGCTGTTAAGAGTCAGGGCGACTGTTAAAACGGTGTACTGTTAAAAGTGAGACCTTGAAACTCATGTCTCGCGGTGGGTGGCGGCATTTATGTTGTAGATGTCTATGGGCTCCGATAACCATTTAACATGAAGTACCTACGCCGTGAGCTCATTCTCACATCTAAGCAATCTATATATTAATACGTGAAGCAAAAACTTTGTATCCCTTTTACCGAAAATTGCGCGGACGGAGGAGTATGAAATTTTCCACACTTATAGAGAATATAGAGAAGAAGTGCACAATGCTAATATTTTTTAAAAATAATGCATAAAAGATACATTAAATCAATAAAGAAAACATTACACACACTACATACCATGTATTTGACACACACACGTATGCATATTATTTATTGTCAAACTTTTGTTCGTGACGTCTGTTGTCAAATTGAGAATAGATTAAATATTGTTTGTCTTCGTTAATATTTTTTATAGTGTAGTCTTGGCGAATTTTGTGATTATAGTAGTATAGAATACAATCATAATAGTGTATAAACTTACAATTCCAATTAATTACAGTCGAATTTCCACTACTGCGGGACCTCTAGTAAATAAAAAAATAAAAGCTCGGGTATTAGTCCATTCGGTGAGCTTAGTTAGCTCACTGAGTTTCTCGCCGGATCATCTCAGTGGGTCGCGTTTCCGATCCGGCGGTAGATTCTGCGAAGCACGGCTATTGCTAGGGCCAGTGTTAGCAACACTCCCGGTTTGAGTCCGTGTACTCACCTCACGTCAAGGAGAAGCTGAAATAGCCTGAATAAATTTAATCTTTAATTCCTTTTTCTTACTAAAGCTCTGTTAGGTTTTAATATTAAACGTTGAAATGTGTAAATTGTTTTTGAAGTGAAACTTCTTTAGGCGCATGAGGGTAAAATTTTTACAGAACGTCAGGCAGGTATGCAACGGAAGTGACATCAAACCACTGAAGTAGCATCAAACCATAGGTTTCCTACTTCAGTGCATCAAAATAATAATGAAATTAAGTACTTGTCAAATGTCAGTAGTAGTAGTTGTTGTATGTTTCCAACTGGAAAGGCAAATGTATCATACCATTTGTGAAAAATGTTAATAGGAATTGAAATGAAATGAAAAGAATTTGGAACATTAACCAAATAGCATGAAATAAAATTAGTCAATTCAATTGGCAAAATATTAGTCCTTTACAATTTGGAAATCTAAACATAATGTGACTGTCAACATTGAGGTTTGAGATGGACATTTGACAGACTTTTGGCGGGAACATATCTTCCTTTTTCCCTTCCTCTAAGTCTTGGAAATCTAAAGTTTTAGATTTGTATAAATATAAGCAAGACTTATAAATTAGTTCGCCAAAAAAGTTTCACTTCTGACATGTGTACTTTGTACGCACGCACTTTTTTTTTTTCGATTACACGTAATGTAATCTAAATTTAAAAATCACATCGAAATCGAATCGTTTCCAAAATCGATACGGCTTAATATTTCATTCATATTTGTTTACATTCCGTGAAACGATTTTTTTGTTCTACACGCGGCATTATGTTTTCTTTAACCCTTTGCTTAGGCCGTGGAGATAGAAGTGTCTCCAAGCGTCAAGGAATTGAGGCCGGAACAACGCCGCTGCCGTTATCCCGACGAGAAACTCAGCGATTCCATAAAGGTTTGTTGATATTTACGAATAATAATCATGTTATAATTGGTTAATCTGTGCCTAGACGTAGAATGCATAATAATATTTACTATAGAGGGTAGAGGTAAGGAGGATCGTCTCTGTGTGTGAAAAAGTGTCCGTTAAAATCTGCTAAATAAGGGTGGCGCTACAGTAGCAACCGGGTAACATTTAAAAAAGGCGCTGAAAGTTATTAGAATAAGATAGAGAAATAAAAAGGGACGAAAGAACTGTAAGCACTACAAAATCACAATTTTTTATTTATTTAAAGCTGATCAGAAAATGCATTCGATGTCTCCACGTTTTACCACAGCAATAATTTTAGGTTATATTGACGAAATTAGTTTGGACTACGTAAACATGTGAGGTCTTGTATCTTACACTGTCACTAACTATTCTAGTCAATAAAAATATAAAATTTCCTAACTCAGCATACTTCAATCAGTTAACAACTGCTCAATTCATATTATACCCTGTGCCTATGCTAGCGCCATTGTGGAGGATTTTTGAACTGTTATTTAGTGCTGAAAATGGGACACTTTCTCAAGCTTCTCCCATATGGAGACGGTTTTCCTTACCTCTACCCTCCATACTTTCTTACCGTACCTCTCACTCACAACATAACGTTCTGTTTTACGCTCTTTTCATACGTTCCGTTCTTACGAATCCATTGTAACTGTATTTAAAAAGTTTTGTATTAATATTTAGGCATACAGTTTCGCTCTCTGCCAGATGCATTGTCGCAGTCGGATGGCAGTTATGTTCTGTGGCTGCAGACCATACTTCCACGTCAAAGGAGGTCTGTATTCGTTCATAAGTTACCGTAGTGAATCAAACCGAAATATTGTTTTCTATAGTTATCAAAATTTATTTTTATTCGTGTCTGTGTGTGCGTGCGTGCGTGATAATTGTATCAATGATTCTACGTACACCATAGAATAATTGATTTCAAGAATTGTTTTTGAAATATAAATGATTTAATGCAATTTTAATTACGCAGCATGCGTATTCTTCGATAGATTAAAAAGACGGTACAGATTGTAGTTCTGACTTGATGACTGACGGTTGATCGTAAAATGTCTGTCGTTTTTGACAGTTCAAGAATTATGTGAATTCGAAAGCTAACAAAAAAAAGGAAAAAAAAAGGCGTTCCCTGATAAAAACCAAGAATTCATCCTCTCAATGCTATTGACGGCAGTTACAGAAAAAATATTAGTTCAACAACAACAAAAAAATAAATAAAAACAATACGACATTTTAATTTTTGTGGTCTAAGTCAATTAAATATGCATTAATAAAGATAACTCAAAAAATTCTGGTCGAATCTTTAATAGAAAAATACGGGGTCCATATGAGAATCAGCAGATTAAAAAAAGTTATCATTAAAATTGGTTCAATTATTAAAAGGTTTTGAGGTAAAAAGTACATAAAGTAAACAGTGTACCTAATTGATAGATTCCTTAGTCTGTTAAAATACAACCTCTACAGAGTCCGCCTTCATACCAATTCATCAACTGACAGGAAATCTGATAACTGATTTGTTCACTGTATTCTCTTTGATTGACAAACAACAGATCCTGTCAACGAATTCGGATCAATTTAACATAAACAAAAATATTTTCGTTGAAATCAATCAAATTCTTAAATCTCAAACATTTCGTACGCCATTTTGTATTTACATATCGATATCAAGATGGCGTCCCATGCGACGCGCACGGCATGGCGTGTATCGGTCGTAACGTCGAGATCCTTATCAACATTCCGAAGAACCTCGCAAAATGTTCTTGCTTGCCCCAGTGCGCTGAACTCAACTATTATTCGCATACCAAAAAGATCGTTGTTCGGTAAGTTTATAGTTAGTTTTGTAAGATTTATTAATGACGGGTGATAATTCGAGTGAAATCAAGATTACGATATTGTGTAAGGCGAATAGCAGGTTTTATGCTGCAATATGCTGAGGCTCGCATTATGATACCTTTTGCAATGGGACCTGATGTAAAAAATTTGTTGCCATCAAAAAATATGTACCTATTTTACGAACGTTTTATTTGCAATAGAAAACAGCTGACTCGTAGAGCCGTCCATCGTGTTTGACGCGCATGTTTTTTGTTTACAGAGTTTGAATTAGTTAAAACAAAAATGTTTGTGCCTTAGCAATTGCGACGTCTTTCTTAAACGGTAGTCAAAGACTGTAATTCTGTAAACCATATATAATATACTTAATTAAGACTGTAGACAAACACATTTTATGTATCTATATTTTGAAATATCAGAGATCGACTGATTGTGGTCGTGTATCGATCGTTAGACGAACAAAAAATTTATTAATCCGGTGAGTTTTACATATAACATATATCTTTTTTGTAATGTAACTGAAAAATATTTGCTTCCGAAAACATGAATGAGAGTTTATCGGAGTCTGAAGAGGGTGCACTGGCCACTATCAGGGTCAACCTGATGCCGCCGAAGTTTCGCCTTCACAGAGATGTCATCTTCACATTAGAAGACCTATACGGTGCGTAAAAATATTATTTTGAAAAAATCGTTCGAAACTGGCTGTATAGGCTTAAACACCGTTGTATTTGTGTACCTACCTCAAATGTTTTATGTTGGTTTGCCAGTTTTCTTTTAATAGAAGCACTAAAATATGGACGAAAGATGAAGCTAAGTAAAATTGCCATATTTATTTTTAGAAAATTTAATTTGTTTACTGCTTACTCGAATATTAATTTCGTATTTAAATTTACCTAGTTTGATACGTAGCCGTGTTTGTGAATTAATATTAAATAGCCTTCGATTCGTAACTGACATCATATATTTTGAGCCAGCATGCTTCCACCATCCCCCAATTTTGTTAGTGGGACAGTCATCGTGCAATATAACTTTGCTGGCTACGCTGTGTAGATATGGCTTTAGATCTATGTTTTAACTTCTAAATCGGGCCGTCTTAAGACGGTTTCAGCCAAACGGACCAAGGTACTAGTCGCAAAGGGTCAATATATGCAAAATAAGCCCGGAACTAAATATTGCAATTTCAAACTTATCTCATACAGTTTGGTATATTTATTAAATATATTTTTTTCATTGCTTTCATTGATGGTGAATGACGTCACGCCTTTTGCGACTTATTTCCAAACTGGACTATATGACCGCGTCATATTAAAGAGACACCGTGCGGGCTCAAAATATATCCTATTTGTAAATACCGTTTGTTGAGCGCATATCATTAATACACAAATCATGGAATGCTTTCAGGTTTTCTGCAAGTAGTACTATTGTGACGTGAAATGTGTGATCGGTGTGCCTTTGCCTGCGTGAGTTCGAAAAAAAAACAGTATTGGTTGTTTTATGTCGGTACCTATTTTATTAGCAATATTGAGCACTATCCTGTTTAAGGGACATGTTGAAAAAGTGTCCACTTGTAAACAGCGAGTTATTGTTGGAAGACTCAACGAAATAGCACTAGTGTAGGAAGTAGAAATGATATTATTATTAATTATAACAGTTTTGAACAGAGCCAAGGGTGCTGGGTTCCAAAATTTAATACTTTTCGTGACTTGTGTAGTTAAAAAACATGCAGTATTCTAAAACTCAATTATTTATTTTTACTAACTACTCTTTACGTGTTATAAAGTGTTTCTTTCCTTTTTTAGTTTAATATCCTTCTTTAATAGCTAATGGCGCTATTTTTTAAATCTTTCCACTTGCTACTGTGGCGCCACCTTAAATGGTTTCCTTTCAGTGGACACTTTTTATCCATAATTTAAGTCGCTTGATTATGTTTTGTCGGATGGTAGAGGTTAGGCAGATATTTTATATGGGAACTAGTTGAAAAAGTGTCCAGTTGCAAGTAACAAATTACGACCCTAAAAGGCACCAAATTAACTCTAGCGTAGCAAGTTGATAAATATATCGAGGGGTGAAAGACCATTTATTTGGTATAAATTACATTTTCGGTAAACGTTCCAACTCCATAGCAATTTGAGTTAACTTTTACGCTATCGAGAACGTTAAAAAACTCGCACTAAGCACACTGAACGGAAAAATAACGTTTTCTTGTTTAAAGGATGCGTTGGTACATTCATTCATGGCTGTAGTGATGTTACAGTCCGACATCTATACTTCTATACTAATATACATCTACAGTGGTTTTTACGGATGTTCCGTTATAACTACTGAACCATGCATCTGAAAATACATGAACTTAATGGATAGACTAATATTTATATGAGTGTTGGACTCCCTAATAATAATGACAATAAATAATAATATTAATTTTAAATGTCCAGCGAAGCGGGCGAGTGCGGCTAGAATTTATATAAAGTACAGAATTCTGTTGGCTTTTTTTCCCCTAGATATGCTGGTAGTCTTGAGAGGCTATGTCAGCGTTACCCTAGCGTGTAGGTAGGATAAAAAAAGCTGCTAAGCTATAGATTTAAAAGCCAAATACGTCATAAGTACGTCAAGGTCATCAGTGACATGTAACTATCAATAATTATTTATCTACCAAAAATCACTTATACCTACCTTCCTAAGATGTTATCACTTGCAGCGTCTTTAGGTGGCACCACAGCGCTGTTCGTTGGAGCCAGCGTCCTGACAGTGGTGGAGACGGTGCTCTTCATCATCCGAAGATTGGTTTCTTTTGCGTTTAAGCGAAAGCTTTGCAGTAAAATCTAGTCTTAATACATTACAGTCATTGATTGGAGAGGTTAAAACAATAATTTTGTCTATCAGTTATCTTTCTATGCTTCAAACGTGCCATTGTAATATAAGCCCACTGAGTTTCTCGCCGGATCTTCTCAGTGGGTCGCGTTTCCGATCCGGTGGTAGATTCTGCGAAACACTGCTCTTGCTAGGGTCAGTGTTAGCATTACTCCAGTTTGAGCCCCGTGGGCTCACCTACTATTTAAGGTTACGCCGAAATAGCCTCTCAAGGCTATCAGCTTAGGTAGAAAAAAAAAAAAAATATAATGTATCCATCAATAAATGAATCTTTACCGATAATTTGTTTTATTTATCTGTCTTTAAATTGCCTTCTGTTAATTTTTTCAAAGCGAAACTTCTTTAGTCGCGTTTAGTGAAAAATTTAACTCGCGACAGATTCGTTACGGCTAGAGAGAAAAGATACCATTTAGGAAGAGCGGGAGTGAGAAAATAGACAGACCGTCTCGCGAATCACTTGACCGTGAAGAGGGAGAAGCGAGCTAGGTTGTTTCACTTAGATACATTCTGTTTACGGGCGTCGGCCACTAGGTGGCTTGTTATTAATTTCTCATTGTTCCTGTAGATGGCAGTAACATATTATTAACATATCTCATAAAAAAAAATAATGAAGGATTTGAAAAAAAAACTAATTCTTCTATATATAACTTTAAAAAATATATAGGAATAAATCGTTATTCTTATAAACAGCATTCCCTATTACAAGAGAAATTTGATTTAAGGATGAAAAATGAAGAAAACCACAATACTACACACCGCAAAATAAGCTTCTCCTTTGACGTGCATCAAATTGCACGCACGCGCACCATTTTTTTTTATCAAACAATAGTCAACCAACTACCTATTTGGTTGTTTAATAATTTCCACTCAATCCTAAGATGCATGTTCGATGAATAAAAATGAAAACTGCGCATTTTATTTGATTTGTGATTGAGTACTTATCCCAATAAATAACCCAAGCTATTGTCATCCTAAAATTAATACGTAGATGTTAGATTATACAGATTTCTTATACCGGTCACTCACATTCGTAGGAGGACGATATTTGCAAATGATTATGCAAAGTTTTCGCTGCATTCGCGGTTTTCCAAGCTGTATCGGTTTTATAATGGACATCAAAGCGCGCGTACCTCGATCATTCGTGTAGTCTCCCACACATTCGTGTGACCAGTTGCGCCCACGATTGCGAAGGTAACGGACATATCGCCATTTTCATAGTTCGTGACATTTACTGTGTAGCGTACCTTCATCATGGATTGGAACAACACCAATTTGTAGTAGTCGTCGTGGCCTAACGGATAAGACGTCCGGTGCATTCGTGTTGAACGATGCACCGGTGTTCGAATCCCGCAGGCGGGTATAGTAATCGGCAAACTTCTTGAGCAAATGACCTTGACTGCGCAGAACCGAATTTTAGATCACTTTGGTGGTGAGGGTGAGGCGCGACGGCAGGGGAAATCGTATCGAGCGCGTTATTGGTAGATCAGTCGAACCTTGCGTCCCGCACCGCGCCCTCATTCCGCTTGCTCCCAAAAGTACGCTTGCGTACAGTGGAAAGTCTANACTGATCGCGCGTTTCTCTCATTATTGTATTTTCATATATTTGTTAGTCGTTTGTTTTGTGTCTCGTTAATTTGTTAATAATCTGTAGTGTATCGTGTTGTCGTAATATAGAACTATTTCTCGTATTGTTTCGTTTAATTTTTTATATCCAGTAAACTCCAGTCGTGCGTCGGAGCGGACACACACACTTTTTTCATTGCTTTCATTGATAGTGGATGACGTCACGCCTTTAGATACTTATTCCCAAACTGGACTATATGAACGCGTCATATTAAAGAGACACCGTGCGGGCTCAAAATATATCCTATGTGTAAATACCGCTTGTTGAGCGCATATCACTAATACACAAATCATGGAATGCTTTCAGGTTTTCTGCAAGTAGTACTATTGTGACGTGAAATGTGTGATCGGTGTGCCTTTGCCTGCGTAAGTCCGAAAAAAAAATTAGTATTGATTGTATTTTATTAGCAGTGTTGAGCACTATTGAACACCATCCTGTTTATGGGACAAGTTGAAACATTGTCCGATTGTTTGTAAGCAGCGAGTTATTGTTGGAAGACTCAACGAAATAGCGCTAGTGTAGGAAGTGGAAATGATATTGATTATAACAGTTTTGAAACAGTGCTGGGTTCCAAAATTTAACACTTTTCGTGACATATGTAGTTAAAAAACATGCAGTATTCTAAAACTCAATTATTTATTTTTACTAACTACTCTTTACGTGTTATAAAGTGTTTCTTTCCTTTTTAATTTAATATCCTACATTAATAGTTTATGGCGCTATTTTTAAAATCTTTCCACTTGCTACTGTGGCGCCACCTTAAATGGCTTCCTTTCCTCGGACACTTTTTATCCTCCATAACTTAAGTCGTTTGATTTTGTTTTGTCGGATGGTAGAGGTTAGGCAGATATTTTATATGGGAACTAGTTGAAAAAGTGTCCAGTTGCAAGTAACAAATTACGACCCGAAAACACATCAAATTAACTCTAGCGTACCAATTTTGAAAGATATATCGAGGGGTGAAAGGCCATTTATTTGGTTTAAATTACATTTTTGCAACTTTAAAGCCTTTTAAAGTTTAAAGTTTAGATAAAATATCACATCAAAAAAAACTTCTCCAACTATTTCAATTGACTTAATTGAACGTAAAATTAAAGTTCAATTAATAACATCGAACTGTTGATACTAATATCAAATAAAACGAACCTTTAATTATATATTTAAATGTCGCCTATTAAGCGAAATGTTGCTTAAAAAAATAGTCTCGCAACTCGTTGTGATATTAACTTTTGGCGCCATCTTTGAAATTACACGAATCACTATGGTGGCGTAACATAATATTCGCTTATCATCCGACACTTTTTTGACAGATGAAATTGTTTGTTCCATATATTATACCTACACATTAATATTTGTTAGTTCGATTTGCTTTAACGGCGTGTTTTTTATCGTTTTTAAACTACATAATAATATATTATTTGTATTTAGTGTTTAACCTCTGACAGCGGTTTAACTGTATTCTGGCATTAGTGATGTGGTTCGCCCGCCTAGCTTTAATAGCAGTAAATAACACCTAAGTGTGCTTAGAGCGAGTTTTTGACGTTTTCGATCGCGTAAAATTAACTCAATTATGTATGCAATTTGAACAGCGCCCCCTAGAGGCAAACGTAAGCGAGGGCAAACGGTCCAATTCCATAGCGATTCGAGCTAACTTTTACGCTATCGAGAACGTTAAAAAACTCGCACTAAACACACTGAACGGTAAAATTAACGTTTTCTTGTCTATAGGATTCGTTGGTTCATTCATGGCTGTAGTGCTTTCACAGTCCGACATATTTATAGAAAGTAAAGAATTCTATGGGCTTTTTTTTCCTAGATATGCTGATAGCCTTGAGAGCCTTTTATATATAGCCTTTTACCTTTACTGGTGGTAGGACCGCTTGTGAGTCCGCACGGGTAGGTACCACTACTCTGCCCACTTCTGCCGTGAAGCAGTAATGCGTTTCGGTTTGAAAGGCGGGGTAGTCGTTGTAGCTATACTGAGACCTTAGAATTCATATCTCAAGATGGGTGGCGCACTTACGTTGTAGACGTCTATGGGCTCCAGTAACCACTTAACACGAGGTGGGCAGTGAGCTCGTCCACCTATCTAAGCAATAAAAAAAGGCTATATCAGCGTTACCCTAGCGTGTAGGTAGGATAAAAAAAGCTGCAAAGCTATATATTCGCGCATCCGCAAATTAGTAGGTAGGTATATAAAAGTAAAATACGTCACAAGTAGGTCAAGGTCATCAGTGAATTGGAACTATCAATTAATATTCACCAAAAATCGCTTATACCTTCCTAAGATGTTATCACTTGCAGCGTCTTTAGGTGGCACCACAGCGCTGTTCGTCGGAGCCAGCGTCCTGACAGTGGTGGAGACGTTGCTCTTCATCGTCCGAAGATTGGTTTCTTTTGCGTTTAAGCGAAAGCTTTGCAGTAAAATCTAGTCTTAATACATTACAGTCATTGATCCTTGGAGAGGTTAAAACAATAATTTTGTCTATCAGTTATCTTTCTATGCTTCAAACGTGCCATTGTAATGTAAGCCCACTGAGTTTCTCGCCGGATCTTCTCAGTGGGTCGCTTTTCCGATCCGGTGGTAGATTCTGCGAAGCACTGCTCTTGCTAGGGCCAGTGTTAGCATCACTCCAGTTTGAGCCCCTTGAGCTTACCTACTAGTTAAGGTTACGCCGAAATAGCCTCTCAAGGCTATCAGCTTAGGTAGGAAAAAAAATGTAATGGATCCACCAATAAATGAATCATTACCGATAATGTGTTTTATTTACCTGTCTTTAAATTGGCTTTCTGTTTATTTTTTAAGTAAAACTTCTTTAGTATTTACGCGTTTAGTCTAAAATTTAACTCGTGACTGATTCGCTACGGCTAGAGAGGAAAGATACAATTTAGGAAGAGTGGGAGTGAGAAAATAGCCAGAGCGTCTCGCGAACCACTCGACCGTGAAGCGGGAGAAAGCGAGCTGGGTCAAGGTGGGAGCTCATAGACACATTCTGCTTACAGGCGTCGGCCACTAGGTGGCTTTTTATTAGTTTCGCATTGTTCCTGTAGATGGCAGTAACATATTAACCTATCTCAAATTTTATTCATAATGAAGGATTTGAAAAATTTTTACTAATTCTTCTATATATAATTTAAAATATATATAAGAAGAAATCGTTACTCTTATAAACAGCATTCCCTATTACAAGAAAAAATTGATTTAGGGTTGAAAAATGAAGAAAACCACAATACTACACGCCGCAAAAGAAGCTTCACCTTTGACGTGCATCAAATAGCACGCACGCGCACCATTTTTTTTATCAATCAATAGTCAAACAACTACCTATTTGGTTGTTTAATAATTTCCAGTCAATCCTAAGATGCATGTTCGATGAATAAAAAATGAAAATCGTACATTTTCTTTGATCTGTGATTGAGGACTTATCCCAATAAATAACCCAAGCTATTGTCATCCTAAAATTAATAACTAGATGTTATGCCGGCACACTACTAGAATTAAAAACTCTCTTTCTATTCAATGTTCTATTGGCGAATTAAAAAAGAAGAGAAATTCGTGAGACATTCGTAAACAAGTGTAGGAGGAAGCGCAAAGGGGTTCGCAAATTGAGCACCGAACCCATTTGCACAGCCGCTAAGTTTGCGAATGAATGTTTGACGGCCCTTCACATGCGCGCGAACATTCGTACAAAGTATGAATATTTGCGCGCATGTGAGTGGCCGGCATTACAGTCGGTTCAATTGTTATTAGTCAGAGAGAGAGAGATGAATTTTCAACGTAACAAAAACTCTAAATTGTTTATTAAACATATTATTATGTATTTTTTTTCATGAAATTTTAACTGGTAATCATAGACTATTTTATTATCTATTTACTTATAGTGATTTAATTTTTTAGAAGCTAAATGATGACAATGATATTGTATTAGTTTCGAATTAAAAGTAATAAAATTGTTAAATACTGAAATTGCCACAGTTAAAGTAAAAGATTTGGACTTATTAAAATCGGTCTAGACTCTGATGCCCATTGAAAATTCTAGGATCGCTATGAAAAATTTTGTGTATTAGTAATTAGTACATAAATTTAGTATATTATTAGAAAATAAACAACAAAACATTGAAATTTTAATGAAATCATGAAAAACGCGTGACGGTGCGAACGTTTAGTTGTTCTTGATATTCATTCTAATATTCCCTTGAACCGTTGTTGCACTCTTGCACTAACAAAACGTAAATTGTCAAAATGCTCCACCCTAGTCCGCAACTACCAATTTATTGATTTTCAAATAAACTGGAGTAATATGTGAACTCATAGTACCTACATTAACAACGAAACGATCTCAAAAAGCGACGAACGAACGAATCTCAAAATGTTTTCGAAACTGTACACGATGTGCCAAATGTTTTGGAACAACATGTACTATTTATTTTCGTTTATAAACCTTTTAATTATTTATGTACATTTAGTTTTGCCCTTTGGTCTGGATGTCGGCTTGGCCTTTGCTGCGATGTATTACATCACCGCCCTGGAACGTCCTGATAAAGAGAGGGTACAGAAAATTTTTGGACACGACCCCTGGAGTAAGGAAGAGGTTAAAAATTCTGAGGAAGTGGTGCATTGCATCGCTCACCGAGGAGCTGCACTTGACGCGCCGGAGAACACAATCGAAGCATTTAAATATGTACGTTTTTTTTTATAGCCAGTACTATTGTCAAAGAGGTTATATAGTTAATTTTCTATAGTTTCTATGAAAAGAAATAGGTAACATAAGTTTGAAAAAAAAAATTGTTTTCTTCACTACAGAAAATAAACCTGTAACAGTAACTGATTATTATGAGACGATCTGGAAGTCCTCGTAAAGCATCACATTAAAATATAAATTTATATTTCATGAAGTGAAGTAAAGTAATTGATGTTCAATTAAAAATATTACGTTGTTGATACTAATACCAAACAAAACAGGCCTTTAATTACAAAGATATAGGCTACCGGTATAGAGAAAAATAAAGAATAAAAGTGTAGCAGGATAAAAAAAATTATTACCAACGCATCCTATCATGCATTTTGTATCATTCACAGCTTGATATAAAGAACTGTTTGGAAATATCAGAAGAAAAAATTCACCTAACAGTTCACAAACATTCACAAATAATGGTTTGAAATTATTCCATATGGTTTAAAATTCCATACAAAATACTATTGCACTTAGGTATACCAAATGACAATATAGAGAAGAAATGAAAGATAAAATTTAAACTTAAAACTAAAGTATTATTTTATACTTATACTAGCAAACCCGACAGATGTTGTCCTGCATACACAAAATGAATAAATGAATGGATACACAAAAATTCATTAAAGTCAGTCCAGCTGTTTAGTTGCGGTATAGATAAATAACCTAGATACCGACTGCAGCATAATTATATATATAAAGATATTGCACCTTTAGAATTGTTATGCTTTAATCTGAAATTCTTTTCGTAAATGCTAAAAATGTTATTGAAGAATTTAAGTTTTTTGATTTTAATACTTTAATGTATGCACTTGATTTAAAAGAGACGAAAAGAGTACGTTTGACCTTTTCGGGAATAAAAGAATAATTAATGTTTTTATACTGATACCATACATGACTATAAGTCGTTCAAAGTATAAAAGTCATTTTCTTAAAATTTTTAGTCAAGCCACTTCAATTATAAAGGTGCGATATATTACTTTTATTATATTAATATTAATAAACTATATATTATTACTATGATATTATAATAGGTATAATGCTGTACGTTATGTGTGTGTATGTGTATGTATACAGTGTGTGAGTGAATATAAAAACTTATTCTTTTTTATTTTACTCGCAATGGACTGCACTTGCCTCAGGAGTCTACGCCGCTCTTATTTGACACTCTTATTTATACTATTGTGTATAAATAAAGTACAACTTCTTCAAGCACTGCTTACCGTCGTCGACCATAACTTCCTAGAGTTTGATGAGCGAGCTAACCCATAGACATAGCTCACTGCGTTTCTCGCAGGATCTTCTTAGTGGGTCGCAATTCCGGTAATTGATTGAGCGAAGCACTGCTCTTGCTAGGGCTAGTGTTAGCAAATTCTCTCAGGTTGAGGCCGAGTGCTCACCTACCCGTCCCGGCGTAGATGGAATAACCCCTTAGGTTACCTATAGATAGGGAATAGGTAGGGAACAAAAAAATACAAACAGCATCCTTATTGATGTATTTCATTTACACCGTTTTGGAACTCACACTACATTGCTAGATGCTGACCCCCGACCTCCCAACCCCCTATCCGATCAGTTAGAGCAGGGGTTCTCAAACTTATTTTTGTCTACTGCCCACTTTGAGAATAAATTATTTTTTAGCGCTCCCCCCCCATTTTTTCATCTACTTAAAAACCACTATAGTGAGAGTTCAGTTGGTATCTAAGGGTCCTCCTAGATGAAATTACAAATCGTCCCCCTCAATCAATCAAGCCTCTGCATAACGCCCCTATTTCTTTCTGGGTCTCTTACCGCCCCCCTTAAGGCCTGCAGCGCCCATGAGGGGGCGTAATTGCCCACTTTGGGAAAGGCTGAGTCAGGGGAACCAAAGATACCTTGCCTATTTGTAGTGCGTTGAACAAAACTGCAAGTTCGTCGAGATGGACGTGCGTTCGTTGCGAGACGGACAGCTGGTGCTGCTGCACGACGAGGGTCTGCAGCGTCTGACTGGAACCACGATCAACAACGTGCAGTGCGTCGACTGGGACGCCATAAAGGATTACAACGTGGCCGCCAATCATCCGAACAGGTCTGAAGATGTATCTTATATTGGTAGTGGTTGGAGGGGTCTTTTGACCTCGTCGTGGAGCTGCGACTTGGAACTCTAGTTGTTGATGTCTGAGGGCTCCAGGAAACGCTTGATAGCAGGTGGGCCATGAGCTCGGTTTTTTACTGGTGGTAGGACCTCTTGTGAGTCCGCGCGGGTAGGTACCACTACCCTGCCTATTACTGCCGTGAAGCAGTAATGCGTTTCGGTTTTAATGGTAGGGCAGCCGTTGTAACTATACTTGAGACCTTAGAACTTTAAAAAATTCGCACTAAGCACCCTGGTTGTAATTGGCACAAGGAACTTCTCACATTTTCGTCTACAGCGATCAGAAGCGCGTGACGAAAACCTTCACCGAATCTATCACATCAGATGTATTGTTAACGGGCTTAAGAGAGATTGGGCCGCGTGTAATAAGAGAAGCAGACTATTAGGTCATATACCAGCCTCCCCTAACCCGGTCACAACCCTAAAGCTCTGCATTTGCGTTTTAAACCGAAAAGCAGAGTATTGATATTAAAAAACATATGGCGCGCGTGAAAGAAGTGAAACTTCTTTTGCGGTGTGTATTTTTAATTTTTCATCCTTAAATCAAATTTCTCTTGTAATAGAGAATGTTGTGTATAAGAGAAACGATCTAGCTGCTTTGCCCTTTCTCTCTCTCTCGACGGTCGAGTGGTTCGCTCGCGTCTCGACGCTCTATCTATTTTCTCACTCTCGCTCGTCCTAAATTGTATCTTTTCTCTCTAGCCGTAACGAATCTGTTGCGACTTAAATGTTACTCTCAACGCGCCTACAGAAGTTTCACTTCCCAAACCTCATCCATAGTCGAAATTTTTTTTTCAGGGAGCATTTCAAAGATGTGCGCCTGTGTCTCTTCGAGGATGCACTGGACTATTTGCTCGAGAATAAATTTAAAATGATTATCGACGTCAAAGGCGTAGATCAAGAGGTAAGTGAATAATTCAAATGTCTCCTCCATCTTCCGGGGGATTCGTATTGTGGTGTTGACATAAACGACAGATAGCTTGTGTGTTCTCGATTTAAAATGAAGGTAAGGATTGAGGAAATTGGAAAAGATCTATTGATAAGCGAGCATAATTTTGAAGTCGTGGCCTAACGGATAAGACGTCCGATGCATTCGTGTTGAGCGATGCACCGGTGTTCGAATCTCAGGCGGGCGGGTACCAATTCTTCTAATGAAATACGTACTCAACAAATGTTCACGATTGACTTCCACGGTGAAGGAATAACATCGTGTAATAAAAATCAAACCCGCAAAATTATAATTTGCGTAATTACTGGTGGTAGGACCTCTTGTGTGTCCGCACGGGTAGGTACCACCACCCCGCCTATTTCTGCCGTGAAGCAGTAATGCGTTTCGGTTGGAAGGGTGGGGCAGCCGTTGTGACTATACTGAGACCTTAGAACTATATCTCAAGGTGTGTGGCGCATTTACGTTGTAGATGTCTATGGGCTCCAGTAACCACTTAACACCAGGTGGGCTGTGAGCTCGTCCAAATATCTAAGCTATAAAATAAAAAAAAAAATCAATGTAGACTTTGAGATTCGCTTCATAAGGTCGGTATTGGCATATATGAAGCTTCGTTTATGTTAAATAAATAACTGGGAATAAATCACGCGCGGTCATCCGGCCTCAAATTAGGATTCCCTGTGCTATGTATCAGAGACTGACAGAGACATACTTTATTTATTTATTGCTTCCATGCTTAATAATCATCTTAATCCTACTTTACAATTATGAAGAAGCCTATGTTTCTGGGTGGTCCGCCTTATTAGGGAGACATACGAGATTACACCTATGAACTATGTTATATACTAAATGCTATGCCAATACTATGCTATGCTATGCTATAATATATAAGTATACACACTTCACTATATTTGGCGGCTAAATAAACCAGTTCATTGTTCCTCCTGTAAAATTTGTGTATAGTTAGATAGGAGGTGTCAGAAGTTCACGGACGTAATAGCTTTTTGGTTAACCGAAGACTCCCTCATTTTATTGCATGTCGAGAAAGTATGGTCTAATTTTTTTTTTTCTTTTGCTGTATGATATAATGTCTTGTTCCAGGTGATATCCGGTGTCCTGGACGCGTTCGCCTCCCGACCGGCTCTGTACGAGTCCGCAGCCGTGACCTGCTTCAATCCTTACCCGCTGTACCTGGTAAGTTTTGAGGCCGCGCGGGTAGGTACCGCAGCCCTGCCTATTTCTGCCGCGAAGCAGTAATGCGTTTCGGTTTGAAGGGCGGGGCAGTCGTGGTAACTATACTTGAGAACTTAGAACTTATATCTCAAGGTGGGTGGCGGGATTATTTACGCTGTAGATGTCTATGGGCTTTAGTAACCAATTAACACCAGGTGGGCTGTGAGCTCGTCCACACATCTTAGCAATAAAAAAAGCAATAATATATAAAATAACAATTAGAAATCAAACATAATCACTACACTGTGTCACATAGGGCACCGGTGACCTCTGTGACAATCAAAGGGTTAATAAAACAATGAGAATTGAGAAACTCCCCCATAAAAGTCGGTTAAACCGAATTCCGGAAGAATTTTATACCTTTTTTATGTTTTTTATTAAGTATACTATACATTGTTTTGCAGATCCGTAAAACCGATCCGAAAATCGTTGGAGCTTTAAGCTATCGTCCGTATTGCTTTAGCGCGCAGGATTATGACGCCGAGAATGGGCCAACGAATCCTAGGTGAGCTTTTATTTTAATCACAGGACGATTTAGAAAAGCTCTATTGGAAGTTTAAATACTGGACGTCTTGTGGGCTCTAACAGGTGGCTCAAACGCCACTCTGCCTATTTCTGCTGCAATGAAGTAATGCGTTCCGCTGAGACTTACCATCAGATGGACCGTATGTCCGACTGCCTACAAGAATAATAATAACAATTGGAGTAGCCGTTGTACTGTAAAACTAGCACTTAAAACTCAGGGCGAGTAAGCACTTAAAACCACGTGGGCCGTGAGTCTGTCCATCTATAAAAGCAATCAAAACAAAAATAACATATCGCTCAATAATATTACCGAGCCGGCTCTGGCCTGATGCGGCAACCCTATACCCATCTTCGCTCTGGCCTGATGCGGCAACCCTAACACCATCTTCGGTCTGGCCTGATGCGGCAACCCTGAAACCATCTTCGCTCTGGCCTGATGCGGCAACCCTAAACACATCTTCGCTCTGGCCTGATGCGGCAACCCTAAACACATCTTCGCTCTGGCCTGATGCGGCAACCCTAAACCCATCTTCGCCCTGGCCTGATGCGGCAACCCTTCGCTTGAAAAACTAAATTAAACTAACAACAAGGCAACATTTTGAATGCGCTACATGGATTTATTCAATATTTTTTTTATTGCTTAGATGTGTGGACGAGCTCACAGCCCACCTGGTGTTAAGTGGTTACTGGAGCCCATAGACATCTACAGCGTAAATGCGCCACCCACCTTGAGATATAAGTTCTAAGGTATCAGTATAGTTACAACGGCTGCCCCACTCTTCAAACCGAAACGCATTACTGCTTCACGGCTGAAATAGGCCCGCGCGGACTCACAAGAGGTCCTACAATCAATATTTTGACTGACGATACTGAGTTTGACTTAACGATACTGAGACCTTAGAACTTAGAGCCCGTTCGCACATGGTCTCCGTTTTGTCGGATACGTTTTCTTCATCGATGTAGCATGGACTTGTATGAGCGACTTCACATATGGTACAGTATTCAGTATACAGTAAAAAAAAACAGTCCGGTAAATTATGATGAACGGAATACGTATCCGTCATGATTCCGTAAAATTTTACCGGATAGAAACTGTGCGGGGGGGTGAGGGGGCCGGCGGGCGGTGCAGCTAGACAAACAAGTTTCATCCTGGTAGAATAGCAGCGTTATACTATGAATTTGCTTGTGAACATCGTTTTTTTATTTATAAAATATTTTTTTGTGTATCTCAGGAATGTGGACAAGATAGGACTATTATAACAAATTACATTATTATTTTAGCAACGTTTCGGTCTTTTATTAGACCTTCATCAGGCATCTGAAAATTACACATAATTGATAACCTACAATACAAAAAACAACAATTGTCGAAACTACCATATTTACCATAATATGAATTTAAATAATCCCTATCTTACACTGCACAATTGTCTCAGACATCAGAGACTAATACAAATCTACAATATAACTACAATCTATAATACATTACTACAAAGCCGCTTAATTAAATCATCTAATAAAAGACCGAAACGTTGCTAAAATAATAATGTAATTTGTTATAATAGTCCTATCTTGTCCACATTCCTGAGATACACAAAAAAATATTTTATAATAATTATGGACGACAATATTGATAATAGTTTTTTATTTATTTTTATTGCTTAGATGTGTGGACGAGCTCACAGCCCACCTGGTGTTAAGTGGTTACTGGAGCCCACGTAAATGCGCCACACACCTTGAGATATAGTTGTAAGGTCTCAGTATAGTCACAACGGCTGCTTCACGGCAGAAATAGGCGGGGCGGTGGTACCTACCCGTGCGGACTCACAAGAGGTCCTACCACCAGTAATTACGCAAATTATAATTTTGCGGGTTTGATTTTTATTACACGATGTTATTCCTTCACCGTGGAAGTCAATCGTGAACATTTGTTGAGTACGTATTTCATTAGAAACATTTAGTACCCGCCTGCGGGATTCGAACACCGGTGCACATACGAATGCACCGGACGTCTTATCCTTTAGGCCACGACGACTTCTTATCCAGTAATGACGGATACGTTGAACGTTGTACAGTGCCTATGTGCGAGCAAAGCATATTTTTTTGTCGTATCCGTCAAAACGGGTACCGTATACAACACGGAGACCACGTGTGAACGGGCTCTTATATCGCAAGGTGGGTGGCGACCTTCGATCAATAATACTACTAGATTCGCGATTAGCGCTTCAAAAGCGGCCCGAAAAATAAGACCACAAATAAATTTGTGGTCTTATTTCAAATTAGTATGGTCCAATCATAGCCAACACTAAGACGTCAAAACGCTGCAATGCGCGTTCAAAAACTGAGTAAAAAACCACCGTAACACCAAGGTTTTGGAAGGAATATCTTTTTTTGGTAAATTTATATTATTAAGTGTTTTTCATAAAATAATAAACACAATTATATTGTAAATAAAACACAATTTACGAATATTGTAATTGTTTGGCCAATGTTTGCAACAAGGCACCAACTATTGTAACAAACATCACCTATTCTTGGACAGGGAATGCATAGAGTAGTTTTGTTATTTTATAATGTTATTTTTGTTTGTAGATTTCCTAGTAGCCCCTTGTCGCTGTGCACAATGGATATATATTGTCGCGAAAGAAAGAGGAGAAGAAATATAGAACCCTTATAAAAATTCTAGAATTGTTCAATGGTGGTGGCAAATCAATGCAAAAAAGTATTAAAAAAACTTTATATGTATGTGTAAATATTTTAAGCGTATATGCTGAAAAGGATTTGTTTTCTGGGGGAAACGAACACAGCCATAAAATAAGCCTAAATTAAACTGATTATAGAAAAATTCATTGATATAAGATTACATTATATTTGTAAAAAAGAAACCGCTCATATAAAAATGACTTCTAAAAGACAGCTTTATAACAAACTGAATCTGTTTAAAGGTAATTAAACCTACATTATTGTTTTAATTACTTCTGTATAAAGAATACGTGGAAAACATGTTTCGTGTTTCCTTTCATATTTTTTTTACTTTATTCAATTTTATTTTTTATCACCTATTTGTTGTAATAGCGGCAATGTAAAATATTATCTACTACTTTTTTGAATCGGTCAAAAATAGTTGCGACCATACAAAACAAACCTAAAACAAATATGTATATTCTGCAACTCTATGTCTTTCAATACTTACTGTGTTCTGAGCATTGAAATGTAATACCAAGAACTACATCTAGTTCCACAATACAATAAGCACGAAATTTTAAACAAATATTTTTAACCTTATAAATTAGGCTTTAAGTATCATTTTAGAATAAATATTTTTGTACTGATGACTTTTTATGTTCAAGTGACATTTTAAATGTATTCCATAATATTCTTTTTCTGACGAAAGGACCTAAATACATATATTTTGCAATGGTAATTAAACTTTATGTTTAAGTATTAAGGTTTATAATAAACTGAAGTCGTTAACATTATTAAACTTTTTTCTAAGAAATGAAGATGTTTTCGTGTCTGCAAACGTGGCCACGGGAGCGTCTTATTTTTGTTCCTGATCCGTAATCTAGTACTATTATTGATCGAAGGTGGCGACATTTACGTTGTAGCTGGGCTCCGGTTATCACGTAACATCAGGTTGGCTGTGAGTTTGTCCACCCGTGAACGCGAAAAGAAGAAATTGGCCCCAATGAAAACCCGACCTTATCGCCTATACGCTTACGTTCGCAGGTTCCCTGACAGCGTCGTGCACCGGGTCGCGATGCGTGCGTGCGACGCGCTCCACGGGGTCGCGTGGCGGCGGCTCGCCCGCTGGTGCGGGGTCAGCGCCGTGCTCCTGCACAAGGACATTGTCAGCCCGTTAGTGATTTTTTATTTTTTTATTGCTTAGATAGGTGGACGAGCTCACAGCCCACCTGGTGTTAAGTGGATACTGGAGCCCATAGACATCTACAACGTGAATGCGCCACCCACCTTGAGATATAAGTTCTAAGGTCTCAAGTATAGTTACAACGTCTACCCCACCCCTCAAACCGAAACGCATTACTGCTATATGAGAATGAAGAAGATATGAACTTATACCTCAAGGTGGATGGCGCATTTACGTTGTAGATGTCTATGGGCTCCAGTAACCACTTAATACCAGGTGGGCTGTGAGCTCGTCCACCCATGCAATAACTGTGTACTGTGCTTCCTCCTCTTCCTCCATGTGGTTCCTCTCGGTCGCAGGAGCGAGGTGGAGTATTGGCGCGGGCTGGGCGTGCGGTGCGTCGGCTGGGCGGTGAACCGGCCCGTCGAGAAGCTGTACTGGCGCGGCGTGCTGAGGGCCGCCTACCTCGCGAGCACGCTGCTCGGCGAGCCGGCCGTGAGTATAGACAAACCTTTTCTTTTTGAAGTGAAACCTTTTTAGAATTGTCCCGATTTCAAACTCAATGAAACACATAACACCTTAATTCAATGTAAGAACTCTACATAACTCCTTCATTGTATGCAATTTCTAAAAAAAACCTTTAATCCCGGAATTTCAAGGTCTAATATGGTTTATAGGCACACAACACCGTCATTCAATGTAAAAACTCAAAAATCTTAAAAATTTAGGTAGGCAGCGGCTTGTCTCTGCCCATGGCATTGCTGAAGTCCATGGGCGACGGTAACCAATCACCATCAGGTGGGCCGTATGCTCGTCTGCCTACAAGGGCAATAAAAAAGAAAATTGTACTAAACCCTTTCATCCACTCATGTCTTCAATTAACCTTCGTGTTCCATCGGTCACACAGGTGGAGAAACAGAGCAAAGATAAGACCAGCTCTGACTGCGCAGCCTCTTCACCCGAACAAATGCTGGACCCGGAACAGACTGAGCAGAATGTATCATCTGGACGAAATTAATACCAAAAACATAACTTATCCAATCACTAACCCTATTAATAATTTTATTTATAAACGATTTTCTAGATCCATTGCCCCCATTAAATAATAAACCCTATCTTAAACCAATTCCCTATATTTATTTATAAACTCTGCATTAAATTCATTCAGGATATTTATTTATTAACCTTGTTCTAAAACCTTCATCTTTTAATTTTTTATAATATTTTGAGTAACATCATTTTGATGATATTAAATCAACTATATTCATTATATAACTTAATATACCAAATATATAAAAAAAATTTAGATAAAAGGTGTCTTTGGACACTTGTGTGTTAGAAATAGTGTTAATGAAAAGAAGTTTATTCGTCACATATGTTTGGTGTTTAATATCAATTTTGATTGAATTAGGATTGGTAACGTACCTTTGAGGTTTGAGACTGAAATCGTTGAGGGTTTGAGGCTGAATGAGATTACAAGGTGCGTTCTTAGAAATAGCAATTAAGGTACATAATATATAAATTAAATATATAATTGCATTCAATATTTCAAGGTGTGATTCTTTGGAACTGTGAGTTTTTATTTTTGGATTTTTTAATATAGTTTTTTACATAAAATTGCCCTATAATAATGCATTTGCTATTGCATTTTTTTATTATAATATATTGGTTGTCTGTTTTCATAGATACAATTAATACTACTTATACAGGTTTGTTTGCATGTTTATTATTGTCAATACATTATTTGAGTCGTCTATTATCAAAGGTGGCAATCTGTGCATTTGGACAAAAAAAATGATAATGATATGTCAATACAGATTGATTTGAATATAATCGTCTCCTTCAAAGAATACGGTTCAAAACCTGCATTAAATAAAGGTTAATACTTAACCTGTTATTTATCTAACATGTCGATCAGAGGAGTTTTGTGACTGCCAATGGAATACAAAGTCAATAATTCGTTTTTCTGATTTACCAATAATTGTCCAAAAGTCACATTGCCGGCTTTGATAATTGTCGACTCATTTATGATACATCAAATACTTTATACCAACTACTTGAAATGTCTGAAACAATATGATGACAATAATTTTGTGATTTCACTCTGATATCCTGACCGGTATAAACAGGAGACAATATAAACGAAATACCACTGATATTTTCCGTAGTAGAAAACCGTATGTGACTTGTTTATGAATTTCTAGCAAAAAATTCAAATAACCTTTTTGGAAGTAATATTCCTAAGTTTGAAATTGATTGTTAGTTCGACTCCCTAATGTGTGTGAGTTTATTGTTTGTTTTTAAATTTAACATACTATTTGCTTGATAGAGTTTCATTCTATTATCTATACGATTTGCAAGAGTTGGTTGCCACCATTTTTTGTTGTTGCAGATACAGTACATTGGTTATTATAGGTAGGAAAAAGTAAACAGTATTAAAATAAAGTACAATTTATTTATTTATTATTATTATTATTATGTTTAAATACATATTTTTTACAATTGAACAAAATAAACAAAACATTGTGACAATTAATGACAATGACATTGTTGACATTTGAGGTTAAGTTGCGTTCAGAAATATTTTTAAAAAAAACGAGTGCTTGATGTGGCGTTGGCTAGTGGCGACATCGATTGAACAATCAATGTATTTTGCTTAACGAAACAATACATATGACTAAACTTTTCAAAATCCTAAAAAAGATCCAGAATCCAGAATCCAAAAGAAAGTATTTTCGTGTACTTTATTGTTCTCATAAAATATACAGTACAATTACCTGAAATAACGTACAATACTTTATCATAAAGTACAGGTGGCAACCCTATTGACGCTACGCGACTTAGGGATTCGGACTTGTTTCTATCATGTGCATATTTGATGTCGGTTTTAAAACATCTTTGTTTTTCTTCGTCCCATGAAGTATTTCGAAAAGATATATTTAAACATATCAGTAATTCATAATAACAAGAAGAAGGGAAAGTTTGTTCAAGTTTCGTAAAAAAACCTGTGAAATGTCAATCAGTAGCTCTGTCAGTGTCACGAAATGTCAAACGAGTGAAATGAAGGCGTAAGTCAAATTTAGAATTGACATTTTTGAAAATGTATTTCTTATTTCCAAAAAAAAAATGTATTTCTGACGTTGCAATGTCACGTCGGGCTGAAAGGTCGCGCGGCGGTGTCCCCTACCACCGGTCCGTGAAATTACACAAAACTTTTCTGTGTGTTTAGTGCGAGTTTTTTAACCTCTCGATCACTAGGGGCGCTATTCCAACTCCATACAAATTTGAGATAACTTTTACGCTATCGAGAACGTTAAAAAACTCGCACTAAGCACGCTGGTTTGATTTTTGTTAATGACATCGTGTTTATTATTCGTTCAAACATTGGAAGTCATTTTTGAACACGTGTTGAATGCGTATTTCATTATAACAATCGGTATTTACCCGTTTTCGGGATTTCAACAAAAGTAGAGTCGCATCGCATAAAAAATCTGAAGTCTTCTTAAATTAGATATATAACACTAAACCTACTATTGTTACTTTTTTTTTCTACCTATTCTAGTAACCTTGAGGGGCTATTCTAGATTCACAGAGAGTAGGCGAGCTCACGGGGCTCAAACCTGACGACGTTGCTAACACGAACCTTAGCAAGAGCCGTGCTTGGCAGAATCTACCACCGGATCGGAAACGTGACCCACTGAGAAGATCCGGCGAGAAGCTCAGTGGGCTGTGTTGGTACCGGTCATATTGACCGCTCTCAAATTTACTTAAAATCAAATGTTCATTAGAACGTTATTAACCGTTATCAAAATACTACGACAATTCTTAGAATGTAAATAATAATTCCATAATTGTTATTACAAGAGATATATAGATAGAGCATGTAATATTTTCATCACTCTTTACTGCCAGCTACTTTCTCATTTCCATGAAAAAAAAAATATTATTGCGTAGCATTTAATAATAAAAATCCGATAATTTTGCTAATTACCAGGCAATTTGTGGGGGGCGCGGTAGGGATTTATGTACGAGAAACCTTGGTAGGTTTAGTGTTAACAAACAAACAAACAAAAAAAAAACCAAATGGTTATTTCTAAACAATTTTTTGACCTCATTTTAAGTATTATAAATATACCAAAAAAACGTGTAGTTTTTTAACGTTTAATTAATTTATTAGATTAGATTATTTTTTTTATAATATAGAATGACAATAATGGTAATTGTTACGAATTTCGTGTTCGCAATGAGTTTGATGATTGTTTAAAAATACATCGAGGGGTGAAAGGCAATTTGATATAAGCGACATTTTTGAAATTTTACAGGAGAGCCATTTTAAGTTTAAAATTTGGTAAAAATATCACGACGAAAAATCTTTTTCAGCTATTCGTATGTAGTAAGCATAATTGAAGTTCAATTAAAAATATCGAATCGTTGATGCTAATTACAAAATAAAACGCACCTTTAATTACAATGATAAATAAATAAATAGATAAATAAATATTTACTAACAATCACGCCACGTTAACTGGTCCCGTACTAAGTTTGTAAAGAGCTTGTGTTACAGGTACCAGATAACGGAAATAAATGTAAGATTTTTATTATACTCATACATATATATTTAATATACATCCATAACCCTGGAAAAGTCATTTTATATTTATCATACAAATATCTTGCCTTGGCGGGATTCGAACCCGCGACCTCCTTGTGTACTGACCATGTCAAATACCACTACACCAGCCGTCCGTAAAATTCTCGTGTTAAGAGAAATGTCGCCTAAACCAAATAGCATTACACCCCTCGATATAATATAAATGTGTACTGGCTTAAGGACTGAATTTTTTCTAGTGGTCTAGTAAACATTTAAACTATTGTGCCCTAGCAAGGATCCGCAGGACTTTGTGCTCGGCCAAAGCATTATAACTACATGCTTTGACATAGATAATAATGTTGTTATGACCTACGGAACCCAGTGATAATTTTTTTATTGCCTCTAATTGAAAATAATTAGAACTTTTTAGGTTGAATTGAAATGGTGTACATGAGTGCTTGCTATAATCACAATCACTGTAAAGAATATAGCTTAATTAATAACACATTTGTAATCTTGTATTTTATTGTTGGATTTTGAATTTTACTCTTGATGAAGCAATAGAAATTGAGCACACATCAAATGAGCGGTAATTTTATTATTTTTATTATAAACGTCAAATTGTTGCATCATTGAATCGATCAAATGTCGTGAATATTTATGGCAACCCCGAAAGGGTTTTATTAAAATGTGTACATGATTTTTTACTATCGTCTACTCTATGTGAATGTAGCTTGTTTTTTAATCTGTATTTATTGAAATAAACGTTGATGTTAGAAGTCGTCTTTTGTGGTTTAATTTTTTTATGGAGGGTAGAAGGATAACCAGCTCACTGAATTAAAAAGTGTCCGCTGAAAGTATGGAGAGTAGAGGTAAGGAGAACCGTCTCATTTTGGAGAAGCTTGAAAAAGTGTCCCATTTTCAGCACTAAATAACAGTTCAAAAATCCTCCAGAATGGCGCTAGCATAGGCGTAGGGTATGATATGAATTGAGCAGTTGTTAACTGATTGAAGTATGCTGAGTTAGAAAATTTAATATATTTAATGACTTGAGTAGTTAGTGACAGTGTTATATACAATACCTGACATGACAGTAGTAAGTGGAACGATTTTAAAAAAAGCGCCATAAACTATTAAAGTAGCAAAATAAATGAATAAGGAAAGAAATACTTCTTAAGGAACTACAGTAAGTACTATATATATAAATATTTCTTCTGTGCGTGTGTTTGTCACTCAACTCCTAAGCGGCTGGACCGATTTGAATGATTTTTTTTATGCATCTGGGTGGCGCACAAATCAGTCCGGCAGATGCCGTTGCAGTCGGTATATGGGTTATTTATCTTTCCTAGAGATAATTTATATGGTGATGTTACTGGTATTACTGGTGGTAGAACCTTTTGTGAGTCCGCGCGGGTAGGTACTGTCACCCTGCCTATTTCTGCCGTGAAGCAATAATGCGTTTCGGTTTGAAGGGTGGGGCAGCCGTTGTAACTATACTTGAGACCTTAGAACTTATATATCTCAAGGTGGGTGGTGCATTTACGTTGTATATATCTATGTGCTCCAGTAACCACTTAACACCAGGTGGGCTGTGAGCATGTCCACCCATCTAAGCTATAAAAATATAAAAAAACCGCATGATCGTCTAATTTTAAATAGGAAGTATAGTTGCACCTACCCGCGGAGACTCTGAACAAACTACTGTTTTTTTTTCACTACCTATTCGAATGTCATCTCCTTGTCGAGAGTGACGCCTAAGTACTAAGCCTTCGTAGCCCACGGTATGGACTGGCCAAAGATTTTAATGGCGGGAATGTAGTTACCGCGCCTAATTAGTGACGAGAAACTAGCAGTAGTGTCAGGAAAACTATTGGTATACGGCCGTCTGGTGTAGTGGTAAGTGACATGGTCACTACATAAGGGGGTCGCGGGTTCGAATCCCGCCAAGGGAGGATATTTGTATGATAAATATAAAATGTCTTTTCCAGGGTTATGGATGTTTATTAAATATATGTATGTGTATAGTAAAAATCTTAAATTTATTTCCGTTATCTGGTGCCTGTAATACAAGTTCTTTACGAACTTAGCACGGGACCAGTTAACGTGGCGTGATTGTTAGTAAATATTTATTTATTATTTATATGATATAACCCGTTTGATGATCGCACAGTACTCATGCTCCGCTCATAAAATGCTTTTGGGCTTCCTACAATTAATATTATTAGTTACCCAGAGAGTTTCTCGCCGGATCTTCTCAGTCTGTCGCGTTTTCGATCCGGTGGTTGATTCTGCGAAGCACTGCTCTTGCTAGGGCTAGTGTCAAATTCTCTCAGGTTGAGCCGGTGAGCTCACCTACCCGTCTGCGCGTAGCTGTAATAAACCCTTAGGCTACCAGCGAATAGGTAGAGAAAAAAACTATTAAAACGTGAGCACGTAAGCCTTCGCCTGCGTGAACGCGAAAAAAAACAGTTTCAAATGGGGGATATCGCTGAAAAAAGTGTCCAGCTTTAACCAGCAAACTCCAACTCAAAAACCCTTATTAAAGCGCTAAGGTAGTAAGCGATGTGACTTGTGTGCTTAGTGCGAGTTTTTAACATTCTCGATAGCGTAAAAGTTAGCTAATATTTGTATGGAATGGGATCGTTTGCGTACGTTTGACGCTAGGGGCGCTGTTCCAACTGCATACAAAATTGAGTTAACTTTTACGCTATCGAGAACGTTATGAAACTTGCACTAAGCACACTGTTAACAGTTGTGAACGGAGTCGTCCGATGGTAGATTCTGCAAAGTACTACATACTCTTGCTAGGGCTAATGTTAGCACACTCTCACTTACGAGCCCGTGAGTAGTTGGAATAGCCCCATACGCTACCAGCAAATAGGTTGGAGAAATAGTGAACGGATTGAAATGAGCACAGATGAAAAATTTAAGAAAATAACTTTTGGCGCTAAATTTTAAATTAGAGCACTTGTTACAGCGGCGGCACTAATATTGGCTTGCTTTGAAACTTTGAGTATGCTCTTTACATCCATCTCTCATAGCCGGCCCACGATCCTATTCCACTATCTTTCCCGGGTTCTGTCATAAACGAATGAGCTGGAGTGTCGTTAGATTGGCCTCCAAACCATTTTCGGTCCTGGCCTTTACATTTTTCGGCCGCCAAGCCCAATATGTGCCACGCACCCCCGTAGACTCAGGAACCTCGTAGGAGGCTTAGATCGGACCCGAAACAACAATCTTTTTTATGGCCATATGAGTCGACTATTATCAAAGCCGGCAATCTGACTTTTGGACAATGATTGGTAAATCAGAAAAACGAATTATTGACTTTGTATTCCATTGGCAGTCACAAAACTCTTCGGAACGTCATCTTAGATAAATAACAGGTTAACTATTAACCTTTATTTAATGCAGGTTTTGAACCGTATTCTTTGAAGGAGACCATATATTAAGTGTATAATCTATGAAGGAGACGATTATATTCAAATCAATCTGTATTGACATATCAATAAATTTTTTTTGTCCAAATGCACAGATTGCCACCTTTGATAATAGACGACTCATATATTAATATGACGTGATTTTCGGATCAATTGCAACTACTAATTTCTTGATACAAATGAGTAATTAACAGCATGGTTCCTAATAGGTGATGGCAATTCATAGATTTCAGTAACTATTGTTGTGCGTCGATATAAAAAAAAAGGATTTCAGAATTCCTCTTAAAATGGGAAAGCAATAACAAAACNCCACCTTTGATAATAGACGACTCATATATTAATATGACGTGATTTTCGGATCAATTGCAACTACTAATTTCTTGATACAAATGAGTAATTAACAGCATGGTTCCTAATAGGTGATGGCAATTCATAGATTTCAGTAACTATTGTTGTGCGTCGATATAAAAAAAAAGGATTTCAGAATTCCTCTTAAAATGGGAAAGCAATAACAAAACGCAAATTTAGTTAGCATTCCATACACACATTTAATTTAAATTGCACAACGATCCAAATATTCTTTCTCTTTTCTACACCAAAGTTTTAATATCAACATCCTTCTCACGCACAAAACCAGGTTCTAAAAATCTACTCTGCCTTTGAATTTTGACAAGTGGCGACCAACCTGAATTCGCTAAAAGCGATTCGAACGATAAATGTAGATCTTTTGGGCCGTAAAATCAATAATTACCACAAAAAGGCAGCGTCAAAATAAAAGTGAAGTATATGTTCAGTTATTCCATAACGCAGACGTAACCAGCTCTGTCAGATAATGCTTAACTAATAACATTAAAAAGTATTAACACAAGCCTGTCATGCGAATCTTATGTAACCATATTTTGTTCGTGAAATAACTGCATCGTACGCTGATTGGTGTCGTCTACCTTTTCGTTAAGGTAAGGGGTGTGGTTTTTATCAATATTAATGAGATTATGTGTTAATTTCGTTCATAACCTTGACACTGCATTGTAGGCGTGTTAGTGTCCGGCTGCAGTAAAATTTAACATAAACTGCTTCTAAATGTTAATGAAAACTAACCAGATCTAACCAGCTGTTTTCTAAACCCAATAATTTGTTGTATTAATTAATGCATTTTTACATTATTAATAAAATGCTGTTAAGTTTTCAAAATGTCAAAAATAGGAATGTGTATGTATTTAATTCTGTTTCAATTCTTTTTTTAAATTTTGACGGCTATCTCGAAATTTTGAAATGACAGAACAAAATTCCTATTATGGAACATAAAATCTTATGATCTTTAATTTAGATAATGGTTTTCCTTATAGTTAAATACTTGACTGAAAATATTATTTTTTCCCTAACAAATTAAATATCCTTACGTCATTACGAATCTCTCGCAAATCTAAACTTGGAAAAATTTATGTATTGAATGAAATTGCAAACAGTTGGAATTTGTGATGTATCTATCAGTGCTGTTGCAAGTTTCATGATCATGGGTAGACTAAAAAGGGAGGGGTGCTGTTAGGTGCAGACAACAAGTTTGTCTACCCTCCTTCTTGCATTTCAAACTACTGCAAAAATTTCAACCAGACTGATGACTATTAAAGTATCTAGCTAAATGAATTTAGATTTATGTTCATTAGTCATAAATATTGACAGTTCAGTGAAATAATGTCCTAAAAAAAATCACTTGACTATAGGCCAAAAACAAACTGCACTGTATTCTTCTACCTCTGCCGCATGATGCTTGCAACGACTCTGTAATGCCAATATTTTGTTACAATACGAAAGCAATGACCGTCTAGAATTTCTAATCCATACAGTATTATTACATCACATCTATGCAGATTACTTACATTTCTTCAATAGCGTTCATATGATATTGATTTGTTTACTTATAAAATTCATGATAAGATAAATTTGAAATGTAAATACTTATCATACATATTACTATGTACTATGCTAAATATATTAGATCCATTGATATTTTTACATATCACAGTTTTCTTCTACCTAGATAAATGTAAGGGGGGTACTGTGAGTTTTGTAATGTACCATTCTGTCGGAAATCACTGATGAAAACATAATGTAAAATATATTAAGTAAATACATCTGGGTCCCTACAAGATGTTACATTTTACCAGTATATTTCAATTTTATCAGATAGACCAGTGGTCGCCGACCATTGCCTCATGAGCCGCATGTGGTTGTGACTCCTCGGCCAAGGCCCTTCCGCGATGTATTTAGTTCAAGCACGGAATATTAATTATTATCTTACCTAGTAAGAGAGAAGTAAACAGTTTAAAAACACAAGGCTATAAAATATACATTAAAAAATGTCTCTTTGAATAAACTTCAATAGTGTGTTATCTATATTTAGCTCTTTTGGTTGACAAGGTTACCATCTACTGGTATATACAAATACTGCTCTACAATTAAATGATTTGTCAGAGAAAATCCAATGGACACCACTAATTGATATGTTTATTTATTACAATTATTATTTTATTTGTATACATTTTTCTAAAGCCCTTGAAGGCATGTGATCGTACAGCCCATCTGATGGTGAGTGGTTATCGTCGCCCATGGACTTCAGCAATGCCAGGGGTAGAGCCAAGCCGCCGCTAACCATAGACTTAGAATTAATGGACTTAATACCATTCTGGCGGTTTTTGTATCAGCCAACAAAAGGTAATGCAGAGGAAGTAATGGAAATAAAGGAATAAGTGCATTGAAACATAGATTAACATGTAAATATATACACATTCCAATGAAGCCAATTTAAATAGGTCTGAAACATAAATATACACAAAACTGCACACAAACTTATTTAAAATTAAGTGTGTATATATTATATTATGCAATATTCAAAAGAATATACCAACATAAACTTAACAAAAAAAAATCTACTTAATAAAAAACAATTTAAGTTATTTCCAATAATAGCTAATTATATAATAACATTTATTTTGCTGAATGAACCCTTTACTTGAAAACACACTTCTCAGTAATGTTCCTGATTTCGATATATAGAACTGTGTCCATTGCTCCATTACAGGACTAATTAAGGGAAATCAATTATTATATTTAAATAATGATGACTTTGCATGGTTTTTATGCCCACTGTGTAAGTCAAATAGACTTTTAAAATAACATTCACATTTATTCTGATTTTATTATAAGTCAATTATAATTTGCCATGCACGGGGCTAAAAGGCAGGAATGGAAGAGAGGTTTGCCATAGGCAAATCTTAAAATTAGCTATCTTGGTTAGGACTTAGGTGTTACCATTACAATTTTAGAATAAAATTCAAATGTTCATATTATTTTGATTGAACAATGGCCATGTATAAGGGTACATAAACTTCATAAACTCTTCCTGTGCTTATGTTAAAAAAAACATGGCTTTACATAATATATGACCGCATTTTTTTAAATACTGCCCTATTGGACCTCTTTGTAGAAATATATAAATATTTTATATACAATAAAGAATGTTTTAGAAAAATATATTGGAAAATCAAATCAAAAATTATAGATTGAATTTGACAAAAAACTTGTCAAATTCAATCTATATTTTGCAAGTAATCGTCACTTATGAAATATGTCAACAATGTTGCCTATGTAGGTACTAATAGTTTACATCATGTTTACATATCCGGAAATTAATAGAATCAATATTTTAAAGGACATGGGCCACTCTACATATATTGCACGGCCCACTAAACGAAGTTCAAGGACAGTAATGAAATTAAGTTTAAATAACAGACTATATATCCCTTTTATTATAAACAAATTAAAATCAATATTGTTCATGAGGATACAGAGATATTTAAAAAATAAGATAAGAATTTAAGGTTATATCATATGATTTTGCTGTCAATACACTGACACTTTAACATCATCATCAGCTCAAATATTACTTATTTAAATTACTACACTTTATATTACAACAAAATATAATAAGCAGGTATATCGCAACGATAATATCCACAATGCGAATGAGTGCGAAAACGAGTGATCAAATGTAAAACGTCAATAAACATCAAACAAGCGTAGTTTTTTTTTTTGCTTATGATCAATAATTGAGTCGACTATTATCAAAGGCGGCAATCTGACTTTTGGACAATGATTGGTAAATCAGAAAAACGAATTATTGACTTTGTATTCCATTGGCAGTCACAAAACTCTTCGGAACGACATCTTAGATAAATAACAGGTTAAGTATTAACCTTTATTTAATGCAGGTTTTGAACCGTATTCTTTGAAGGAGACGATTATATTCAAATAAATCTGTATTGACATATCAATAAAATTTTTTTGTCCAAATGTACAGATTGCCGCCTTTGATAATAGACGACTCAATTATTCATCCATGTAATAAAATATATTCTACGGATTTAAAAGTATAAAAATATATTTTTGTTTAGATTTATTAGTTGATATTAATTTTAAAATCTATTAATGAAATGGTTTTATATATTTTGCTAGTTTTTTGCAATATTATGTTTTTTTTAAGAAGCTTTAATGTGAATTGTTTAAAATATAAATATATTTTACCTATGGCCCCTCCTTCGAAATGTAGCTTAGTCATGCATTTTTTTTATTAATGATTTTAATTATCCCACCATTAAAATACCCTTAAATATAACAAGCACTTATGTAAAAATGAAATGTTTTTTTTCTATAGACATTTCATTAATGTCCTTGAGAGCACGAGTAGCTGGGCCGAAAATGGCCCATGTCCTAACATGGTTGAGATCTGTAAACATTTGTCAGTAAAAAATGTCAGGAAACGCAATGATTTATTTATTATCTATTCTCCGTTTTCCAGGGTAAGTACGTTCAATAAGCGAAAATGCTACGACGCTGCTCGAAGCACATCCAGACGCTGTACCGGCGTCAGGGCCAGTCCATCCGCTTCAAGTCAACAACTCAAACGCCCAAAATACTTGCACCCTTACACGCAACCAAACTGAACCAACCGAGAGCTCTGGTCGCCCACAATCAAGTAGCATCCATCCACTTCACGAATCCCCTGCTTGTAGAGCAAGATGTGACCACTCCAAGTTTCCCGGACTCCGTTTCTGAAGGTGACGTCAAATTAGATAAGAAAGTGGGAGACAGCGTAGCCGCCGATGAAGTGGTCCTGGAAATCGAGACGGACAAAACCGCCATTCCGGTCATGGCGCCCGGCCATGGTGTCATCAAGGAGTTGTACGTCAAAGACNTCCACTTCACGAATCCCCTGCTTGTAGAGCAAGATGTGACCACTCCAAGTTTCCCGGACTCCGTTTCTGAAGGTGACGTCAAATTAGATAAGAAAGTGGGAGACAGCGTAGCCGCCGATGAAGTGGTCCTGGAAATCGAGACGGACAAAACCGCCATTCCGGTCATGGCGCCCGGCCATGGTGTCATCAAGGAGTTGTATGTCAAAGACGGAGAAACCGTTAAAGCTGGACAAAAGCTGTTTAGGTTAGAGATCACAGGGGAAGCACCTAAAAAGGCTGCAGCTACTGAGGCTCCGAAAGTTGATACGCCACCGCCGCCGCCGCCGCCCCCTCAAGCTGCCGCTCCGCCTCCGCCACCACCTCCCGCCGCGGCAGCTCCTCCCCCACCACCCCCACCTACCCCTAAAGCCGCTCCGCCTCCACCCGCTGCTCCCATCTCTTCAATTCCAGTCGCCGCCATCCGCCACGCTCAGGCGATCGAGACGGCCACTGTTAAAGTCCCTCCACAGGACTACAGCAAAGAGATCGCCGGTACGCGCACCGAGCAGCGGGTCAAGATGAACAGGATGAGGCAACGCATCGCTCAGCGTTTGAAGGACGCTCAGAACACGAACGCCATGTTGACGACATTCAACGAGATCGACATGTCCCACATCATGGCATTCCGTAAGAAGCACCTCGACACCTTCACTAAGAAGCACAGCATCAAACTCGGTCTGATGTCACCTTTCGTGAAGGCGGCCGCCAACGCCCTGATGGACCAGCCCGTGGTGAACGCTGTTATCGAAGAAAACGAGATAATTTATAGGGACTACGTAGATATTTCGGTAGCGGTCGCCACACCGAAAGGTCTCGTCGTGCCGGTCATCAGAAACGTTCAGAACATGACTTATGCTGATATCGAGCTCACCATAGCTGGGCTAGCGGAAAAAGCGAGAACCGGCAAGCTCACGATCGAAGAAATGGACGGCGGAACGTTCACCATCAGCAATGGTGGCGTTTTCGGGTCTCTGATGGGAACGCCAATCATCAATCCGCCTCAATCTGCTATACTGGGTATGCACGGCATCTTCGAGCGGCCCATCGCTCTGAACGGCCAAGTCGTGATCAGGCCCATGATGTACATTGCCCTAACTTACGACCACAGGCTGATAGACGGCCGCGAAGCTGTACTCTTCCTCAGAAAGATCAAGGAAGGCGTCGAAGATCCCGCCACTATCGTCGCTGGCTTGTAAAATCTAAGACAAACACCATCCGACCATAACAAAAGACGATAATAGAATAACAGTTACCAGCCGAAGGATGTTTAATGTTTAATCATGTAAATGTTACGAATATCGTCACTTTCGAGGTAGCCGCCGCGCGGGGTGCACGTCTTTTTTCTCACATTTCTTTTTTTTTTTAGTTCTTTTTTTTTTGTTTGTTCGTTGTAACTATTTATTGAACGCGCACGCTTCGAACTTCGGTTACGTTTTATTTGTATTATTTATCGTGATTTTTAGTAATAATTAATAAGAGATGTACAATTTAAAAGAAATACCGACGACCTCAGAGTGTTGTTTTATTATAATTTATTTTCTTTTCGTTTTGAATGTTACACCGTCGAATTGCTGTATTAGGCTCGTATGCTTGTTGTGCATACGAACAATAAAGAAATTACTTAAAAAATATTGGTATTAATTATAGTAAACCTTGATTACTTTGATACCGACATCTCGTTTTTACCATCGCACCGCCCGCCACCGGAGTAGAGTTACTTATTGGAGCCACTGCGGTCATCCACAGTGCGTTTCCAGATGTCTTTTTTGCCACGTACCATCCGGCTATGGAATGAGCTCCCCTCCACGGTGTTTCCCGAGCACCATGTCCTTCTTCAAACGAGGCTTGTGGACAGTATTAAGCGGTAGGTGGCAGCTTGGCTCTGCCCCTGGCATTGCTGAAGTCCATGGGCGACGGTAACCACTCACCATCAGGTGGGCCGTATGCTCGTCTGCCTACAAGGGCAATAAAAAAACCCCTCTTAATTAAAAACTACTTACCAAAATCGCGTTTCGAGTTTCTAGAAAACTGTAATTAATTCGAAATGTCTGGAATAATAATATAACGACAGTAACAAAAGCGAAATTAAACCTTCATGAAAGTAGTTTTATGTCTGCGACTCTCGAAAACTGGAGAGAATCTAACCTCTATTTAGAATGTTGTGGAATTAATACTCTTTAGTGAGTATTGCAATCTTATTGCTTTTTTGGCGCGAAGAGCCTTGAATGGTGCGTTACGATTGTTGAATTTTGGACCTTATATTTCAAGGTCGGCGGTGGTATTTACGTTGCGATGTCAATGAACTTTCATAATCACTTGACTCTAGGCATTTTTTTTCCACCTATTAGCTGGTAGACTAAGAGGCTATTCCAACTACGCGCAGACGGGTAGGTGAGAATTGAATTGAGAGAATTTGCTAACACCGGCCCTAGCAAGAGCAGTGCTTCACAGAATCTACCGCCGGATCGGAATCGCGAGCAAGGGCGGATCCAGCTTTGGCGCCAGGAGGGGGTCACATAGTTGTGGGCAAGTTAAGAACTTATAATTTAATTTTGATAACAATAGATAATAAATAAATAATGATGTTCTCCAATTAGTCCAAGTTAGTTCAAGTCCTGGAACTAGCTCAGGGGGGGGTCATGACCCCCATGACTCCCCCCCCCTGGATCCGCCGTTGATCGCGAGCCGCTGAGAAGATCCGGCGAGAAACTCAGTGAGCTGATCTTACGATGCCCCGTTCCCAGTGACGATTTAGTAAAATCTTCAATTATAAAATCTACGAAAAATGCGTAATAAAATTAAATTGAATAAAACAAGTATGTATTATAATATAAAGTAAATAAATGTATTGTATTGTATGTATGTATGTATGTATGTATATTTATTGTTTTGTATGTTGTAATATGTTTATATTATTATATGTAATGTTTACTGTATGCACTAGGTTTGTATTCCTAATTCTTCTTTCCTTCTGCGGGCCTACTGGAAGAGATTTCAACTTGAAATAAGTAGTGCCCTTGTACTCTGTATCCTTATTGGCGTGTTTCTTCTAACAGCTGTGTGTACAAAATATATTAAATAAATAAATAAGATGAGATAAAATAAGGATCTCAGTTTCCTGTCCTGGTGAAACTGGAAAGGCCTCCGGGCCACCAGTAATCCTTCAATCATAAAAAAAGGATCTCAGTAAAATGGTGGGAATTCACTAGACGATTCGAGAGACAACAAGTTTTGTGGGAAGTTGAATGTCTTGTGTCTTATGGTCTTATCAGTTGTATCTGTCACCTGTTAATTAACGTATCGAGAGATGAAAGGCAATTTGGCATAAGCAACATTTTTCAACTTTACAAGAGAGTCAATTAAAGTTTAAAATTTGGAAAAAATATGATAAAAATAAACTTCTTCAGCTATTTCAATGGAGTAAACTTAATTGAAGTTAAATTATAAACATCGAACTGTTGATGTCAATGGGTGAATATTTGCAAATGAACATATTAGACAATTTTAAAGAATGAAAAAATTGTACTTCCAAAACTGTTCTTTAGATATTTAAAGCAAAGCTGATAGCATACACATACACAAAAATGCGTGAGAACAAAAAATAAGCCTTTGTATACTTCACGTATGTTAGTTTCCCTGCGAGATCAAATCAGAAATGAGGAGATTCGCAGGAAAACCATGGTAACCGACATAGCCCAAAGGATTGCGACACTAAAGTGGCAGTGGGCAGGACACATTGCTCGCGGAACGGATGGCCGTTGGGGCCAGAAGGTTCTTGAGTGGCGACCGCGTACTGGAAGACGTAGCGTGGGTAGGCCTCCCACATTTTTTTTCCTACCTAAGCTGGTAGCCTAGAGAGGCTATTCCAGCGGAACCTTAACTAGTAGGTGAGCTCACGGGGCTCAAACCTGACGACGATGCTAACACGAACCCTAGCAAGAGTCGTGCTTCGCAGAATCTACCACCGGATCGGAAACGCGACCCACTGAGAAGATCCGGCGAGAAACTCAGTGGGCTGTGTCTGAGAGTTANTAAGCTGGTAGCCTAGAGAGGCTATTCCAGCGGAACCTTAACTAGTAGGTGAGCTCACGGGGCTCAAACCTGACGACGATGCTAACACGAACCCTAGCAAGAGTCGTGCTTCGCAGAATCTACCACCGGATCGGAAACGCGACCCACTGAGAAGATCCGGCGAGAAACTCAGTGGGCTGTGTCTGAGAGTTAATTTACTCGAGAACGGTGACCGGTGCTTGAAGTACCTAGAAACACCGTCAGTGGACTGGGAGGAACCTCCCACAAGGTGGGCCGACGACCTATTGAGGTTCGCGGGGATCCGCTGGATGCAGGCAGCGCAGGACCGGTCTTTGTGGCGAGGCTTGGGGAGGCCTATGTCCAGCAGTGGACGTCCATGGGCTGATAGAATAGAATAGAATAGAAATGTTATTCTTCGAAGATTTTGTTTAAATTTTCTTATCATAATGGTTGAAAATTGGGAAAAGGGACACGAATGGTAATGAGGTTTTGGGAACTATTTTTTTTGTAAAAGTCATAAAGCTTATAAAACAAAATAAATTGATCTGCAATATAGTACCCCACTTAATTAACTATGTATATAAAAAAAGTGATCAAAATCGATTTAAGTTTAATGTGTTATTCCCAACGAGACCTCAAAAATGTACGTTTTCAAATATTCACCCCAATACCAAATAAAACGCACCTATAATAATTACAAAGATAAATGTCGCTTAAATCAAATAGCCTTTTATCCCACTGAATAATAAAGGATTAAATGAAGAACTTTGATGTATAGGACAGGATGGCATGTTTAACAACGAATTGGTTTGGTTAATTTGATTTTGAAGCTATTGCATAGCTTCTATCGCGAACCTTGAGCGCGGCGACTGAATCAAGAAATTCCGTAACGAAAATAACCTGACACCCCCACTACGCCTACTATGTAGCTTGCGTTCAACACATTCACACGTTGCGCTTGTGTAGTGTTTGTGAATAAGCGCGCCCCGTGACGTCGCACTGCCGCATGCACATCATGAAAAGTCTGCCCAGCTCTCCATCGCGCGGTCTCGGTTATGAGTGTGAAGGGGACAGTTAATGTTTTGCTTTTGTTATTGTTTATAAATATGGCGTGGTCTTATTTTATTGTTGTTTTAATATTAAATGATTTTTGTCGATTTATAATTGCATAAGTTGATAAAGAATGCTATGCAATAGCTTTACCGCGGCTGTCTCCGAGTGCCACACGTGTTTTTTTTGTCACGAAAAGACACAAGTTTTATATAAATGTAAAAACCTTTCATAAAGGATCTCTTTAGGAAAACACGCCTAAGCATATCCTAAAAATTATATCTCAATTAGTTTTTATATAAATCCCCTTTACCTGTAAAGTCTCTTCATCCTTCTTTTTTGGCAGTCATCTGTCATTCTTTCTTTTCTTTTTCGACTTCCTCCAAATAGGCCTTTTTAGTCGACGCAATTTTTTTTAAGTTCGTCGCTGACACGTTGTCAGTTATAGCGTGTTTTAAAAAAAATATAATAATAATATACAACGAAATATCTATTTATATGTATAATAATAACAATCATCATGTAGACTATACATTAGACACTGTATAGCCATCATACTAAGACTATACATAAATAATACAAATCTTACGTTACGGACGTTTTTTCCCGGTTAGTGTACCCCTACGCATCGTCCCATAAGGAACTTCGTTCCAAAATGAGACTTCGTTTGCTCGTCTGAGAGTATTTGCGTTGTAATGTCTGAGCCCCGTTAATCGTCCAGCATCAGATTCGTTTCGGTTTTAAGGTTGGGGCAGCCGTTGTATCTATACTGGGACCTTAGAATTCATATCTCAAGGTGGGTGGCGGTATTTACGTTGTAAATGTCTATGGGCTCCGGTAACCACTTAACATCAGGTGGGCCGTGAGCTCGTTCACCCACCTAGACAATAAAAAAAGAGCTCAGCAGGCGATGAAATGACTCGATCGATTCCGGCGAGTCTGTAAATTGCTTTTGGATTCTGAGAAAGATACACTATTTGGCGGGAACGTCATGTGTCAAGTTGCATGAATTTCGTTTTATTTTGTTTGTCATAATTCGTTTATTTTGTTCAAGTTTACACGTGCTGTGACAGTGGTTGTGAATGAAATAATAGGCCACTAGATTTGGCGAAAAAGTTCATTGAACATTTAGTACATTGCGACTATTTTACTAAGAGGTTATTTCACCTCATCCAACACTTATTACCACCTTTAATTTAAGTTCCATTTCACTTTTCATACAACAGACATAATATCTTCTGTGTTGTAAAAAAAGATTTGGTTATATTGGCGCTGTTTTCTTTGCCTGTCAGAATGAGCAGTCAAAGAAAAAAAAAAAAAAATCATAAAATGGTTACCATAACAACAAAATAAACACAACACCCCAACCCTTTACTAAGTGATCTATGTTCCCAATGAAAACTCACCACGCAAGTAAACTAAACAAAATGTTGAATTATAAAAATTACACCATCTATATTACAATAACTAATCATCTATATAATTGAATAAAACTTAAAATTAAGTAGCACAATTTAACTGTAGATAAGTGAAAGGAATTTTGTTCGCGGATCATTTTAATAGTTATTTCAAGGTAAGTTTAGTTTGAATTATTCTTTTTTAATACGCTTTTACGTATGTATGTTAGTATGTAACGGAATCTTTGAACATGATTTAGACCCCCTTCAAAACGTCGGATTAACTCGAAATTTGGTATACTTATTAAGGACCGATGACAATTCAATATTAAAAAAAATTGAAAAAATTGAAACTCAACTAAAAAATAAATAATAGTTTAAAAAAAAACTAACAAAATACGCTTTTATAGAAAATCCAACTAAAAAATAGAAAATTAATTTAAATAAATTTGAATTAAAAATAGTGTAAGAAAAATGGGGTGCTTTTTAGGATATTATCAAAATAACCCTTCTACCTTCATATCTGTTCATAAAATATAACTACTGATACCATGCACGTCACGCTTTTTTTATAATAAAATCAATGTTTCAATCAGTGTTTTTTCTCTATGCGGTCCTGGTGGTAGGCAGGCTGGGGACGCATAGAGAAAAAACACACATGCATTCATAGAATTTTGTTTTTTTGAAAGGACTTGTAAATTTCAGTGAGCTGTCACAATGGAGGCTCAAAAGAAAACGACGACAGAGAAAATTAAAAAAGAAAAATCCGGAGAGGCGGAAACAGCGAAAAAGTTGCCAGATAATAAATTAAAAAAAAATACTCACAGTGTTGCGACGCCAAGAGCTTACCAACGGAAATCTACCGCAGCCGATATTTATACGCAAAAAAGTCAAACATCGCTAAGCAGCGTTAAAGCGCCTAGAAAATCTCTGAACACAACGAGAACTACAAAGGAATCTCCAATGAAAGACTTATTGAAATCGACTTCGAACGTGAGCGTTGTCAGTAAGTCTTCCATCGATAAAACGGCAGAGTCCAGCGCTCAAGCTAAACGAACTACAAGAATAGCAAAAGAATTACCTTTTTTAAAAGCAAATTCACCTGTCACCCAAAAACGAAAAATTTTAGACGACAAACGAACCACATTTGGTGGCCGTCCGAAATTGGAACGTGAAGAATCTAGTGTTGCAAGCAAAAAGGAAAGTGGCCGTTTTTTCAAGAGTGATAGTAACAGTTTGAAAGACGAAGGCAGTGTTGCGAGATCAACAAAAAGCGTTACAGTCCCGGAAAACGTCAACGAAAGGCAAAGGAGTAAAACGCGAACTTTAGACGAGAATGAAGTGAAAATACTGACGGCCGACGTTGTTGATAACAACGCTGAGATGAGGAATCTATCGAAGAAGCTGACCGCAAAGCCTAAAGCGTTTTTTGTAGGTTTGGATGACGGCGAATCAAAGGTGAGTTAAATTTAAAGATGGCGTCCTTGGCGGACCTGTGCGGATCTTTAGGATTTTTGGAATATCACAATTATTGAAACTCAAAGAGTTTTGAGAATAATTCTTAATCTAAGTTCAAATGCCGGGATATTTTAATTCATATTTCGTCAGTCTAAAACGAAGGTAGATTCGCGTAGCTCGAGGCCATTGACCTTGCCTGTCAGCTGATTTCAATTGAGTTACATTGCGTGCTAAATTTCGTTTCTAATTTCAAGATTGTTCATTTTTTATACGGTCGCGTTACGAATCACCAGAATGTCTTTCTCTGTTTCCATTATTAAATTAATACGTTCTATTTAAGACTAGCTAAAGTTATTGAAGTAGCTCACGACCTACCTGGTGTTAAGTGATCCCGGAGAATATAGCCATTAACCACGTTAGTGCCACCGCCCATCTGGAGACACGAGTTCAAGTCTTAGGTTTTACAGTACAGTACAACGGGTGCCCCACCCTTCGAACCGGAACTCATTACTGCAACACAGCAGAAATGGGTGGGGGCTACCATTTGTACAAGTTTATTGGTGGTAGGACCTCTTGTGGGTCCGCACGGATAGGTAGCACCACCCTGCCTATTTCTGCCGTGAAGCAGTAATGCGTTTCGGTTTGAAGGGTGGGGCAGCCGTTGTAACTATACTGAGACCTTAGAACTCATATTCCAAGGTGGGTGGCGCATTTACGTTATAGATGTCTATGGGTTCCGGTAACCACTTAACACCAGGTATGCTGTGAGCTCGTCCACCGATTTAAGCAAAAAAAAAAAAAAAGTTAAATCCCTTCAATTCTAAAGGTGCAATACTATAGTCATATTAGGTGTACCCGTCCGCTCCGCTGGGCATTTAAAATTAACATTATTATTTCTCACCCCCACAAAATTCTCATCATTAACGCCCCCCGCAACTGGTGTAGGGAGTCGAACACTCATATAAATATGAGCCTATCCATTAAGTACATGTATTTCCTACATAGATACCAAGTTTCAAGTCATCGGATGCATGGTTCAGTAGTTATAACGGAACATCCGTAAAAACCACTATAGATTTATATATTATTAGTATAAATGGTATGAGACTTCAATAAATCGTAAATAGTTCCAACCATAACCCATGTTCCAACAACCACCCACCACCGAAACAGAGCCCGTCCCTACTATCCGGAACCTCTGTGGTCACCCACATCACTATTTCTGGGATCTTTGTTTTGTATGCGATAACTAGACCATAGTCAGCAAACGCTATGGATATATATGCAATAAAAAAAGTGCACATTTGATGATTTGTTTAATGAAAATTTCAAGGAGAAAACAAGTGAAGATGAGGTAAGTTATGAGGATGACTTTGAAAGCTACGAATCGGATTTCGAGTCGTATCACAGTGACGCGTCACCGCCCGGTGATGGCGGTCCGTCTGATAGTGACGATAACTCCGAACCTCATCACGAGGTTGGACATAACCGACTCGCGACCTCAAAGGAGGTCAGAGACGAAGAGAACATGTTGGATTCGGGTGAGCTTTAACATGCTTTAATATCAATTTGATCATGTTGTCTTTATTTTGTCGCGACTTATCATTAATTGAAGGTAGCATTATTGCTAATGCTATTTGCTAATTGCTAATGATGCTAAGTGTTTACCGAAGCCTATAGACATCTACAACGTGAATGTCGCCACCCGTTTTAAGATAATAGTTCTAAGGTCTTAGTTTTTACAGTACAACAGTTGCCCCACCCTTCAAACCGAAACGCATTACTGCTTCACGGCAGAAATAGGCAGGGTGGTGGTATCTACCCGTGCGGACTCACAAGACATCCTATCACCAGTAATTACGCAATTACGCCCTCCATCGGAACACACTCCATCCATACCATACCATGTTTCTCGAGCGCTAGCCCTTGTAGGCAGACGAGCATACGGCCCACCTGATGGTGAGTGGTTACCGTCGCCCATGGACTTCAGCAATGCCAGGGGCAGAGCCAAGCCGCTGCCTACCGTATAATACTCTCCACAGGCCTCGTTTGAAGAAGGACATGTCATAACGCTCGGGAAACACCATGGAGGGGAGCTCATTCCATAGCCGGATGGTACGTGGCAAAAAAGTCCTCTGGAAACGCACTGTGGATGACCGCAGTGGCTCCAGGTAGTATGGATGAACTCTACTCCGGTGGCGGGCGGTGCGATGGTAAAAACGAGATGCCGGTATTATATCGAACAATTCCTCAGAGCACTCCTCATGGAACATACGGTACAAAATACAGAGGGAACCTAAGTCCCTCCGCAGACCCAGAGGTTCCAAACGATCCATGAGAATGGGATTATCGACAATCTGAACGGCCCTCCTCTGTATGGAGTCAAATTTGAATTTTTCACACGAGGCTTTTGGAGAGTACTTAACGGTAGGCAGCGGCTTGGCTCTGTCCCTGGCATTGCTTAAGTCCATGGGCGACGGTAACCACTCACCATAATGTGAGGCCGTACGCTCGTCTGCCTACTAGGGCAATAAAAAATAAATAAATAAACCTCATAATTTTGGCGGGTTTGATTTTTATTACACTCTGTTATTCGTTCACGGTAACACTATATAGACACTTTCCCATAAACAAGATGGCGCTCCTTACTTCTATCGTCCTAGTTTGAATGTGTAAGTTTTACTTGTGGTAGAAATAGTATAAATTTAATTTTAGTTTTGCGCTATTATTGTATACGTCTTCCGAAATAGGAAAATGAATACGCTTCTAAGTTTCTAAGTGACAAAAAGCAAAAAGTACACTTGATTTGGGCAAATTTTCAATTACTAAAAGACCGTATTAAAAGAAATATCACAGTCGGCGACCACGAAAACTGTGAACTTATTATTCTTGAAATTTCACAAATAATGTATTGACGATAAAAAATAGGATATCAAATCGTAAAAGTAGTTTTAAATCAGTCAACGTCTCGCGAAAGCCGATGAAAACACTAAACCGAGCTTTTGGAAGGGTAAGCTCCACGTGAAAAGCTCCTCGATAGCAATAACGAAATAGCATTGCATTTTAACATATCGGATCATATTAAATGGTATCTGTGTTCGTGCGTAGGTAGCTATGATCTTCGAGATCGGTCAGCCAAAGCGAAGGCTTCAACCATGGAGTTCATCGTTGAGGATTCAGAAGATCAGAGCGACAAAAAGCCGTCCCTCACCGACGAGGGTTTCCAGGAGATGAGCTCTTCCAGCGCCGTGTCAAGTTTGCGAACCGTCCACGAATGCATTGATAGGTATTACTGATGCACGTATTTTTCTATTCCTCCTTGCGTCATTCTCCTCATTATTGAGGGTACGGCTCTCCCATTCTTCGATCAATAATAGTACTTATCTATTCTATCTTATATATATATATATATATATATATATAAATGAACTGCTGTTCGTTAGTCTCGCTAAAACTCGAGAACGGCTGGACCGATTTGGCTTTTTGGATTTAGTGGGTCGCGTTTCCGATCCGGTGGTAGATTCTGCGAAGCACGGCTCTTGCTAGGGTTCGTGTTAGCAACGTCGTCAGGTTTGAGCCCCGTGAGCTCACCTACTAGTTAAGGTTACGCTGACATAGCCTCTCAAGGCTGTGAGCTTGGGCAGGCAAAAAAAAAGATTCTTAAGAAGTTTTTCCGTCAAAAATATTTAAAAATTTTATGTTTCATTTCACTAGCCATAAATTCGAAACATTATTATTAAGTTTCGTTTTGTTTCAGGCAAAACTTTATAGATTTCGGTACTAGATCGAGGGAATGGAAACGGAAGCGACGCGTTCTAGAGATGTTAAAACGGCGCGCTGCCGATATACTAGGCATGGTCAGTCTGCACGAAGTATCGTATGTTTTGTTCGAAGCGAAACCTATTGCCTACGAAAAGTACATGTCTAGCTTCGGTCGAAGCGGCCGCGCTCAGAACAGCTCTCAGACTTTCGATGACGGCGCGAATCAAGAGACACAAACCGATGAGATATTATTAAGTCATAAATGGACGCAGAATCCCGTGGATTTTACGTATAACGATATATACGTGTACCCGAGTGTTTGTTCTAGAAAATACAGCGAATGTACAGTAGATTATATGGCGAGGTTTAGTTTTTTGACGAAATCTAACGATTTTAATGCGAGCAACGTTGAGATCGAAATGGATGATGTTTATAAACGCAATCCCTTGAGGATTTATTTGGAACAGAGGAATGGCGTCGGTACCGGCGAAATGTTGCCATACGAAAAATACGAAAGCAGACTAAAAGGAATCGTTTACGAACGTAATCGTTTGAGGAGATTTTTGAAGAGAACCGAAAGTAAAATTTTTAGCGCTCTTAATAAGAACTCCGGTAAAAGAGAATTGATTGATTTAAATAGAAATACAAAATTGCCATTTAGCCAAGGATACGTTATGGTTAATTTTAATGTTGACGATGATAGATTAAACTTCATTGTACAATCAAAAGTAACGAAAATCATATATTCGAAAGAGAAAAGCAATTTGATCATGACGGTACACAGTCGAAAAGATTTAAACAACAAACGTGTTCTATGTATTTGGGACGTCGGTGTTGCAAGATTCGAACCCATTAAAATACTAATTTCGATCGATGGTATTATTCTGGGACAGTTTCAAGGCAACACCGATGGTATTTTCGTGGCAGCGTTGGAAGACGGGTGAGTTTAGTTTGTGAGGTTTGTGTATTGGTAAAAAGATGAAATTGACAACGAAATATCTGATAGTATACTGAGGCTGTGACATGTTAACTCTTTTATAGGTTAGACGGCTAAACGTGGGCACGGACTGCCTGTTATTAAGTTGCCGGATCTCATATACATCAATAACTTATATGCCGTCATCTACTTATGATATGATTCCAATTCTAAGCTATATAACGACCTCATCCTTCAAACTGGAACGCAATAGTGTTTCGCAGCAGAAATAGGCAGAGTGGTAGATCATACCCGTGCGGGCCCAAAAGACGTCCTACCATCAGTAATAACGCAATTATAATTTATTTTGCGGGTTTGATTTTTATTACACAATGTTATTCCTTCACCGTAGAAGTCAGTTGTGAACATCAAAATTAGTACGTGTAATATCGCACACGCCATCATAAAAAAAAATGCCAATCTCATCACAATACCTCGGCCTGCCCCGGTCTTCGTTTCCTAAATGATTAGGCGTCCGGTGCATTCGTGTTGAGCGATGCACCGGTGTTCGAATCCCGCAGGCATGTAAGAATTTTTCTAATGAAATACGTACTTAACAAATGTTCACGATTGACTTCCACGGTGAAGGAATAACTACGAGTAATAAAAATCAAACCCGCAAAATTATAATTTGCGTAATTGCTGGTGGTAGGACCTCTTGTGAGCCGTTGTAACTATACTGAGACCTTAGAACTTATATCTCAAGGTGGTTGGCGCATTTACGTTGTAGATATCTATGGGCTCCGGTAACCACTTAACACCAGGTGGGCTGTGAGCTCGACAATCCATCTACGCAATAAAAAAAAATAAAAAAAAAACTTAGGAATGTAATTTTTTTCCACTTAGTTCAATACATCTCTGGGAATTATCCGAAGAGCCGACGTGGCGAAACGATGTTGCCAGCGATCGAAAATCTACTAATTTAAAAGAAATAACTAGCGACGAAATCACTTTCACTGAGAAAGATCGAGGGTTAAATTTGAATAGTGATAGTATTCATAGCACTCAGGTAAGTCTTGAGCGAGCTTAAAGTGAGATTTGCGTTTTCAATATTAGCTTTAGCGGTTTTCGCGCAACTCGAGTTCTTTTTTTTCGATAGTTGCGAGAAGGAGCTCACTACTCAAAGACTGCTAAGTGCTCACAGAGACTCAACGATATCACTGTGTGGAGTATCATACAGCGATACAGCTCATCTCGTCCATCGAAATACTAGTTGTTCCTTATCTATGGACTTTTTTTCATCGCTTATATCTGGTTGTACATAACTGTTGTACATAATGTGCGGGGGTTCTAATCTATCGTCACACGTCATTGCGGATCTTCCCGATCCACTAACGGTGCTTTTAGGTACCTCAAGCACCTGTCACCGTTGTCGTCGACCCCGTCGCTTGCGACGAAGGGCTCGACGAGCGAATTAACCTACAGACACAGCCCACTAAGTTTCTCGCCGGATCTTCTCAGTGGGTCGCGTTTCCGATCCGGTGGTAGATTCTGCGAAGCACGGCTCTTGCTAGGTTTCGTGTTAGCAACGTCGTCAGGTTTGAGCCCCGTGAGCTCACCTACTAGTTATGGGCGACGCTGATGTAGCCTCTCAAGGCTATCAGCTTAGGTAGAGAAAAAAAATCTATCGTCGAATTCGTGAGGTTGGGTAAAATCGATTTATTTATGCGAGATATTGTTTTGTAGGAAGCGATTCCTTGTGCCTTGCAAGCCTGCGCATTCACGACCAGCGCTTTCAACCTATCGTGCGTGGAGAACGCTGACAGAATCATTGGCTTGGAGCTAACCGCGCATGAGACCCGAGAGGCTAACGGAAGAAGAGTCCTGGGACAGGTATCGATAATGTTTGTGGTTTGTTTGTTATTTGTCCTTTGCGTTGGCGGGATATTTTCACTCCGAATATATAAAAGTCGAACACACTATCTCAATAATATCTATAATGTGTACAATATTAATTGGGATGAAATGAAATGAATTATGATGAGGCGAAATAAGGTGTTTTTAAATTGGTGGCTATTAACGCCTTGACTGCCATATAAGTCAAGATACCTTATGCGGCACACTGAAGTCATTATGTCGATTTCTAGTAGTAAGGCGCCGGAATATCCAGTAGACTCTGGGAAAGACGAATCCGAAAACACTGACAATGAATCTATTTCTAAGAGACCTAAAATAATAAAACATACATTAACAAACAAAAGAAGGCAAAGACTTAGGCAATCCAGGCGTCTTAGTAACAGAAATCGACGTAATTACTTCAGTGCGCCGCGCAGGACACCGGTGACCTACACGACAGTCAAAGCGTTAAGTGAGACTGCAGTGGAATTTTAGGAAGAACCCAAGATGTTACGTCTCGGCGACCTTGTTTCATTTCCCGACACTCGTGCCCTCTCACAGACGCTAAAAGGTTAATAAGCCACGGTCATCATAAGTTAAATCTGAATAAATAGAAAATAAAATAATTCCCAAGATTTCGCTCCTCGCACTCCCGCCAAAAAATATGTAATCGATTATTTTTCTCGATCAACAATCTAACGAGACTATTCTATTAGTCAGTTATTTTATCGATTATATTATCGATTATTTTTAAAATGAGATACGTACTTATCCTATTTTCCCGAAGAAGGAACACAACATCGTGTCATTAGTAATGAAATCTGCAAAATGATATTGTCGTAATCACTATACAATATTTTGTGTGGTTGCGTTCACATTGTAATATGTCTGAGCTGTGTCAATCACGTGATGTCAGAAGCGACTTCTCGATTCTTCATAGTACGCAGTACGTCAATCTTACTCCTCTGAGTAATTAATTGACCCAGACTCACGCACACAAGAGTAATTCTGCATTTTTGTCCCTCTACAGGCGATCGTGCTTCAGCGCACAGGCAAACTTTGCGTGTGGCTGATAGTCCGAGATAAAAATAAAAGCAGCTTTACGGATATCGGCAGAGCTTACAGTTCGCGAACGAGCTTGGAAATGTTTCAAACGGTTGTACTGTCGGATTACATTGATTCGACAATCGAAGAAGGTGTTGCCTTTGATTTGTGTGCGGCCAAGCGTAGATTGACGTTGAGGCGGCGAGAGAGAATCGAATTTTCAATTCAATCAAACACGGCCAAGAAGTTCGAATGTGGCGTTACGCGCGCTAAAAGTAACACAGTGTTGCCAGCCGATAAAAGGACTCCTACTATATGGGAGAGTATGATTTGTTACGATTTGAAGATTGTTAATGTTGGCAACATCGATCATTATTTGGTAGCCAAAAATGTTGGTGAGGTATTAAACTGTAAGAAGAGCGTTGGCGGTGTTAAAGTTAGAAGATTTCGTGTGACAAGTAAGTGTCGAAACTATAATATTTATTCAATAGGCGATACAGTTTATCAACGAAATTAAGCAAATGGTTTTAAATTATACTCTCCTTTAAGTTTTTAAGTTTTTTTTTTTTTTTGCCTTTGTAGGCAGACGGGCATACGGCCCACCTGATGGTGAGTGGTTACCGTCGCCCATGGACTTCAGCAATGCCAGGGGCAGAGCCAAGCCGCTGCCTACCGCTTAATACTCTCCACAAGCCTCGTTTGAAGAAGGACATGTCATAGCGCTCGGGAAACACCGTGGAGGGGAGCTCATTCCATAGCCGGATGGTACGTGGCAAAAAAGATATCTGGAAACGCAATGTGGATGACCGCAGTGGCTCCAGGTAGTATGGATGAACTCTACTCCGGTGGCGGGCGGTGCGATGGTAAAAACGAGATGCTGGTATCATCTCGAACAATTCCTCAGAGCACTCCCCATGGAACATACGGTATAAAATACAGAGGGAACCGAAGTCCCTCCGCAGACCCAGAGGCTCCTAAGCTACCCAACTTTATCCATTGTTAAGCTTTTTAAATCATTTGGTGCTATGTTTCTTTTCACATATTTTGCAGAAATTACATAAAGATCTTTGAAAGTAAAAGTTCCTTATAAAAACTTTAACCTAAAAAAAAACACAAAAATAATGATAAATTCATAGCAAAATAATTTTAAATGGTTATTTATAATTAATGTTATTGACTTATTAAAAACTTAATATACGTGCGGGCGATAAGACACGTCCGTATAGGTTGATAACTAATACCTAATAAACTGCGCAATAGTCGGTATTCCGACGCTTCACACTTTATACGCATTAATTGAGAGTCGCCCTATCGACGGTTCGTGTTCAAAGGGTGAAGGACAAAGCTACTATAGCGCCGTCTCCATAGCGTTTGCTGACTATGGTCTAGTTATCGCAAACAAAACTAAGTATTCTAGTAACCGGTTGGTACGTGGTGGAATAAAGATCCCAGAAATAGTGATGTGGGTGACCACAGAGGTTCCGGATCGGATAGTAGGGACGGGCTCTGTTTCGGCGGTGGGTGGTTGTTGGAACATGGGTTATTGTTGGAACTATTTACGATTTATTGAAGTCTCATACCATCTATACTAATATATAAATCTACAGTGGTTTTTACGGATGTTCCGTTATAACTACTGAACCATGCATCTGATTGACTTGAAACTTGGTATCCATGTAGAAAATACATGTACTTAATGTATAGGCTAATATTTATATGAGTGTTTGACTCCCTACACCAGTTGCGGGGGGCGTTAATGATGAGAATCTTTGTGGGGGTGAGAAATAATAATGTTAATTTTAAATGCCCAGCGAAGCGGACGGGTACACCTAATATGACTATAGTATTGCACCTTTAGAATTGAAGGGATTTAACTTCTTTTTTTTTATTGCTTAAATCGGTGGACGAGCGCACAGCCCACCTGGTGTTAAGTGGTTACTGGAGCCCATAGACATCCACAACGTAAATGCGCCACCCACCTTGAGATATAAGTTCTAAGGTCTCAAGTATAGTTATAACGGCTGCCCCACCCTTCAAACCGAAACGCATTACTGCTTCACGGCAGAAATAGGCGGGGTGGTGGTACCTACCCGTGCGGGCTCACAAGAGGTCCTACCACCAGTAAAAACTATAACTTTTAAGAAAATGAGTTGTATACTTTGTACGCCTCCACTATTTATATATGTATTCTATCGTAACACGTAATTTTAATATCCGTCAATACTTTTTTGTGTTCAGACGATAAGTCGTCGGTGACCAATGTGCAAGTCGCCCCGGCGCTGCCGTACTTCATGGCGTCCACCGAGTCGGGAACTGTAAGCCTTTGTTCGTTACTGGAAAACAGGGTTCTGCTTACATTGGACTGCAGGTAAACAAATGGGCAAAATAGTTACATGTGTAATTATTTGTTTTAGATTTGTCGTAAAGTATATAAATGTCTAAAGTCTGGTGTCTGGTGTCTGGTGTCCGATGTCTGCTGTCTCAATTTTCAGGCGTCGTATCTCATGTCTCATGTCCCGTGCCTCATGCCCCATGTGTCATATATCATGTCTCGTGTCTCATGTCTCATGTCCGATGTGTGATGTCTGATGTCTGCTGTCTCAATTCTCAGGAGTCGTATCTCATGTCTCATACCTCATTTACCGTGTCTCATGCATCATGTCTCGTGTCTCATGTCTCATGCCTTATTGCTTATGTTATCTCTTATGTCTTGTGTGTCTGAAAGTGGCACATGTGACAGAGAAGTTGAGAGAGACAGAGAGTTGAGTGCGCGTTTGGGATGGTATGGATATAATGTGATGAGACGAAATGAAAATGAGGTTGGTAAGAGAGCGTTAATTATGAATGGGGAAGGATATAGAGGAATAGGTAGACCTAAGAAGAAATGAATGGATTGCGTGAAAGACGATATGTGTAAGAGGGGAGTGAGCGAAGAAAGTTTTTTCGGTAGGCAGCGGCTTGGCTCTGCCTCTGGCATTGTTGAAGTCCATGGACGACGGTAGCCACTCACCATCAGGTGGGCCGTTGGCTCGTTTGTCTACAAGGGCAATAAAAAAAAATAGAAGAGTGTGGGAGGTGGAAAAGATGTTACGCCGGCACCAAAAAAAAAAGGTGACTGGGAGAAGGGCATCTTAAAAAAAAAAGGTGTTAGTAAGATCCTTGGGCCCGCGGTCTGCTCACAACACCATGCAGATCGTTGAGCCTCACATACCCCGCGCGCCCCTTTTGCGCGGGGACCTCGTAGGAGGTTCGGCCGTCTACCCGAAAAAAAAAAAAGGTTTTAGTAAGTGTCGCGGGCGGCGTTGCTTCACGAAGTGACGAAGCCGGTGACGAAGCCGGTCTCACATACCCCGCGCCGCTGTCCTCCTCCCGGAGCCCGCGCCGCGCGATCGTCGATGTCCGTGCATCGACAGCAGGTGAATGATGATGATCTCTTATGTCTTATGTCGTACTCGAAGCTACCTCTGGTAGACCGCTGGAGAGCGCCTTAAGCATTAAGTCTGCCATCACACTCGTCTACGTAGAATTAAATATCGATTGACGTAGTTGTTTCACGCAGAAATATTTCTCCGGCTCGAGAACCGACTGAGAGGTGTCGGTCAGATAGCAAGGGCAGGTACATCAGCAGCGTCGCAGCCCCAGCGGTGTCCGGCTGTGATGCTGGAATGGTTTGTATTACGATCCCCACGCCCTCTCTTTTTACGAGTTTAAGGGTCTCGACCTTCAAGTTATACTAATGGCAGTGAAGCGAATGAAGTAGGTAGGCAGCGGCTTGGCTCTGCCCCTGGCATTGCTGAAGTCCATGGGCGGCGGTAACCACTCACCATCAGGTGGGTCGTATGCTCGTCTGCCTACACGGGCAATAAAAACTTTTTTAGAGATTTTAGGGTTTTTTCAGGGATATGAGTCCCTAATTACCGTTGAGGAAGAATTCCATAGCGCTCAAGAGATATCTCATTCTATAACCGGATGGTATGGCCGTGGCAGATAATATCTCGGGAAACGCACTATGAATGAATTTTTGATACGACGCTTACCATTAATGGATATATTTTATTGTTATTGATTAGATGTGTGGACGAGCTCACAGCCCACCTAGTGTTAAGTGGTTACTGGAGCCCATAGACATGTACAACGTAAATGCGCCACCCACCTTGAGATATAAATTCAAAGGTCTCAAGTATAAGAGATGCCCCGCTCTTCAAACCGAAACACATTACTGCTTCACGGCAGAAATAGGCAGAGCGGTGGTACCCACCCGCGCGGACTCACAAAAGGTCCTACCATGAGTAATTAGACAGATTATAGTTTTGCGGGTTTTTTTATTTTATTACACGATGTCATTCCTTCACCGTGGAAATCAATCGTGAACATTTGTTAAGTACGTATTTCATTAGGTCAATAAAAAAATAATGGTTAATCAGTACATAATAGTTGAAAATTAATTTTGTTACGTAACGCAATAATGCTTGAGCTGGCAACCCTATTTCCTAGATGTCAGTGACGTCACTAATATGGCCGCCTTCGAACCCCTGTCAAATTTTCGCGCTTCTAAAGGACGGAAGCGTCGTTGCCTGGGACCTGACCACCAGCGACATCTATGGGAAAGTTTCAACGGAAAAATGTAGGTTTATAGCTGGCGGTCAAAATAGTTTGGTGAGTATAGTCCAAAGAGGTGAGGTGAGGTTTAGTCGTCGTGGCCTAAAGGATAAGACGTCCGGTGCATTCGTATGTAGCGATACACCGGTGTTCGAATCCCGCAGGCGGGTACCAATTTTTCTAATGAAATACGTACTCAACAAATGTTCACGATTGACATCCGCGGTGAAGGAATAACATCGTGTAATTATAATTAAGCCCGCAAAATTATAATTTGCGTAATCACTGGTGGTAGGACCTCTTGTGAGTCCGCACGGGTAGGTACCACCACCCCGCCTATTTCCGCCGTGAAGCAGTAATGCGTTTCGGTTCGAAGGGTGGGGTAGCCGTCGTAACTATACTGAGACCTTAGAACTTATATTTCGAGGTGGGTGGCGCATTTACGTTGTAGATGTCTATGGGCTCCAGTAACCACTTTACATCAGGTGGACTGTGAGCTCGTCCACCCACCTAAGCAATAAAAAAAAAGCGAAATTTCGCTTAATACGCGATTTTTATCTTTGTAATTTAATGTGCGTTTTATTTGATATTAACATCAATAGTTTGATTTTTAATTGAACTTCAATTATATTAACCCCATTCAAATATCTGAAGATTTTTTTTTGTTACGATATTTTTCCAAATTACCTATGTATAACTTTAAATGCCTCTCTTGTATAGTGCCAAAAATGTCGCTTAGACCCAATAGCCTGATATACATGGAAACAAAGAAAGGAAGAAAATAAAGAAAGTAAAAGTATTGAATTTTTTTAAAGGGATTTTATGACCTGGTAACTAAGGCCTTTAAGTCATGTCTTATTTTAATTTATATTCTTATTTTTATGAAAAATTATGAAATGAAAAGAAGAAGATTAATTTGAGACATTAATCAACTGGGATGAAATTAAATGAAATGAGATGAGATGATAGGTATGCGATGAATTATAATCTCAGTAAAATGGTGGTCATTTACTGAGATTTTTTCAGTGGACTTTTTAGAGGATCTCGAGAAGTTGCGTCCAGCGGCTTTGTTTCATTTTCCCACATTTGTGCACTTTTACAGATATTAAACAATTAATAAACCACCATTATTACACATTTAAACCTGAAGAAACACTAAATAGACAAAATAAAACAAATCACACACCTTCACTCCTCGCGTTCCCGCCAAAAAGTCCAAAAAGTATTGTCTAAGCTTTGTGACTAACAATTTGTGATTATAAAATTTATACAAAAACACATCTACCGTTGGGTTAAGGTCACTCACTCAAGTAGGTTTAAAACAAATATTTTGAAAACAATACCTATTATATCGGTCCGTACGTACTAAATTGATTCGACAATTTGTTTCAGGCCTTATTAACACATGAAGGTAGCACTCAACTGCACAAGTTAAAGAGTGATACTCCAAGTGACGAGAATATGAAGATTTTCAACAAATACGTCGCTCTGCTGTGAATTAAATGATTTTGAATAATTGATTTTTGTTTTTTTTTTCTTTCTTTCGAATATCAACTGTTAGTTGTATTTATTTTAGTTGTAACATGAAAGTTGTCGTGGCAGAAAGGATAAAACTACTGTATGCGCGCGAGTTCATGTCCATCGGGGCTAGAGGTGACGCGCGGGGGACAGCTCGTCCCACCGTCGCCCGCCTCCCCGCCTTTGTCTGACGTCGAGTGTTGTCCTTGACGGTTGTGACGCGTGCTTATCGATATCGAAAATTTACGCTAACGCTATTGTGTTATTTAACCATGACTACTCCGATTCCAACAAGATCAGATAGAAAATAACCTACTGAAAAAAGATACATACTGATTCCGACTCTGATCTGTCGGTTGTCTTTTCATTTGATAGTGATTGCATTGGAATTTAAAAAATATTTTTCTCTATTACAAATAAACAAGTAATTACTTATCACATTTATTTTATTTCATAAATTACACAAATTACCTTAAGTTACATTAAACCAAATTGACAGCTGTTGAGTAAATCGATGGTTATTATCGACATTACCATAATTAACTAGGTCCCAGCACTACCGCATTCCTCAGGATGGACATGAACTCGCGCGCCTACTGTACTAAAGCCGGTGTTCGAATCCCGCAGACGGGTAAATAAATCAGTTTTTTTCTAAAAAGAATACGTAAGCGTCATGCTCACGATTGGCGTCCGTTACTACTTTAAGTTAATACGCAAAGAATTTAAATTTGCGTACTTTACTGATGCTAGGGACCTCTAGTCCGATCATCGTTCTCGTCGAACCCGTCGCTTGCAATGAAGGGCTAGGCAAGTAAATTAATCCACAGACACAGCCCACTGAGTATCTCGCTGTATCTTCTCAGTGGGTTGCGTTTCCGATCCGGTGGTAGATTCTGCGAAGCACTGCTCTTGCTAGGGCCAGTGTTAGCAACGTCGACAGGTTTAAGCCCCACGAGCTCACCTACACGTCAAGCTGAAATACCCTCTCAAGGCTGTCAGCATAGGTAGGAAAAAAAAAACAAAAAGTATTTGGTCCCTATACTACCTACTATATTACAGGAAATCCTAGCCCTAGACTTATTATTACCGATACGGGAATACACTATAATAATTGGGTCTCTTTTTGTCGCGTATGTTGCTATCCTATTTCAAGAGTGAGACAACCATATATTATTGTTACGTTATGTTTCATCATCATGGGAACTCCAATGGAAGTTTCCAACATGGCCGCTTGTCGTAGAGAATTAAGCTTTAGTGTTAGCAATTACTTCAGTTTGAACCCCGTGAGCTCTCCTACTCGCCCTACTAGAGTAGGTATAAAAATATGAAAAAAAGTCCACACGGGTAAGGTCCCTGCCTAATTTTACCGCGAAGCATTAATGCATTTCGGTTTGAAGGACGGATCTTTATACTATTTTGTTCCCTACCTATTCGCTGATATAGGGCTATCCTAGCTTCTGTCAGACATGTGGGTGAGCTCACGGACTCAATCTGAGAGAATTTATTAACACCAGCCCTAACAAAAGCAGTGGTTTAAACAGCACACCACGATAACAGGATTATCGTTTCACGCCGATTTTCAAAGTAGAAATATAGCCCCCATTAGTTTCCTCCGCTTAAGAAGAGAGTCTAAATTAAAGTGGCGAAGTCTATCTTCATAGATGGGTAACTTCCTACCCAGATTGTAGTTATAAGACAAGTTCCATAGAAACCCTTTCTGGACACTTTCCAATCGTTTCTTGTATATCTCATAATAAGGATTCCACACTATGCAGAAATATTCTAAGGTTTTTTTACTGGTGGTAGGACCTCTTGTGAGTCTGCACAGGTAGGTACCACCGCCCCGCCTATTTCTGTTGTGAAGCAGTAATGCGTTTCGGTTTGAAGGGTGGGGCAGCCGTTGTGACTATACTGAGACCTTAGAACTGTATCTTAAGGTGTGTGGCGCATTTACGTTGTAGATGTCTATGGGCTCCAGTAACCACTTAACACCAGGTGGGCTGTAAGCTCGTCCACACATCTAAGCAATAAAAAAATTTTTTAAAAAGGTACTGCGTACGAGAAGCATTATAAATTGTGATCTTAGTGTTTGGTTGTTTTTAATTCTTTGCAATTGCGAAATATAAATGCTAATATTCTAAAGCTTGTTGAGTCTCTATATCGGGCAAGGATTAATAAGACACGTGTTCAGTTAAGTGACTAACGTGTATTCGGATTACAACCTAACGTGCTATCGACAGCCCGACAATCCCGAGACTGACGTAGCATCACTGCAATATAATTACCGCTAACACATACATATAATTATTAGTTGCTATGGGGACATTTGTGGTCAAGCTCTTTCTGGTAATGTTCTCAATATGTTTGCTGAATTGCAGCTTACTATCAATGGTCACACCCGGATCCCTAATTGAGTCTACCTCAGATAGTGGCGCACCATTAATATGATAAGTGATACGGGAAATTGCACATCTTTTTCTAGTAAAATAAATGACATAGCACTTACTAATATTCAGACTCATGCCATTCGTACTACACCAGCCAAACAAATTATCCAAATCCCTCTGCAATAATTCAGACTAATGAATCGATCTTCACCATTATTGATCCATGATAACGTGATAACCTCATACAGCACGAGAAACCGTTTTAACTCTAAAGGACTGGAATTAGAAACCACTTGTTACCCTCCGTATTCGCCAGACCTTGCTCCAACGGACTAGTATTTTTCTCGCGATTTCGCCAATTTTTTTTTATTGCCGTTGTAGGCAGACGAGCTTACGACCTACCACCTTATGCTGAGTGGTTACCATCGCCCATGGACTTCAACAATGCCAGGGGCAGAGCCAAGCCACTGCCTACCGCTTAATACTCTCCACAAGCCTCGTTTGAAGAAGGACATGTCATAGCGCTCGGGAAAGACCGTGGAGGGGAGCCACAAGTCCATAGCGGGGTGGTACGTGGCAAAAACGACCTCTGGAAACGCACTGTTGATGACCGCGTGGTAAGAAGTTTTCTTCCCAGGAGGCAGTACAAAATGCTTTCACACAGTTTGTAGAATCTAGATTTCCAGACGTCTATCGCAAATACATAAATGACCTTCCTATTAGATGGCAGCAATGTAATAACGGTAAATATTTTAATTAAATAAGTATGTTAAATTAAAAAAATAAAAGAATTTCAATTTTTCAGTACAAATCGGCAATTTCATAGTTTATCATATTTTAAACTCTAATATTTCTCTAAGATACTGGGTAATGTGTACTGTCAGTTCATACCGGAACGAATTATTCCCCAGTAAGAAGAGCACTGAAAAGAAGTCGCAGTGTATATTAGAACGTAGCTTAAATCGAGTTTAAATTTCAGTTGTTGTTATCTCGTTCACACTGTTGGAAACCCAACAAATTGGTATAAAACCTTTTTTATTGTTGTGGTTGTGGTTTTTGACATTAAATTTGAATTTTGAATTTTAGAATGTCTTAGATTTGTCATTCTCTTTTTTACGCGAATTATAAAATTTCTAAAATATAAAAATTTTATACGTGCAATCCTCGCAAGTTTATTTATCAAGTTCCTTGTCCATCCTAATCATACAGTCCACTACACTCACCGCCGAATTATAATAATAACTAGCGACCCGCCCTCGCTTCGCTTCGGAAACTGTAATTTATTATTGATTTCTCAACTATTTAATGGATGTTATTATACATATAAACCTTCCTCTTCAATCACTCTATCTATTAAAAAAACGCATCAAAATCCGTTGCATAGTTTTAAAGATTTAAGCATACACAGGGACCGAGAAAGCGACTTTGTTTTATACTATGTAGTGATGATAATACTTACTAGCGAGATTCGCGGTCATTCACATAGATTCTGATCATCATTCACATACTTCATATTTAAGGTCATTCTTTTCGGTCCGACTCGCGGGCCTGTTTAGTTCACATAATACTTTTAGTTCACAGATAATAAATACACTTGACATATGAGATTTTAGTTTGTGTAGTGTACATCCTTCGAACGCGCCGCCCGCACGTAGCAACGCTGTGATCATTTTTAAACGCAAGTCTATTAATGGAAATAATAATAACATTGACATCGTTTATTTTGTGAAATAATTAGTGACATGTAAACTTGTTATATTTCGATAGTGCATTCAAATCGTTCAGGTAAGCTTAATTTTTTTCTTCCTACCTATGCTGATTAGCCTTGAGAGGCCAATTCAGCCTTTCCTTGACGTGAAGGTGAGCTCACGGGGCTCAAACCGGGAGTGTTGCTAACACTGGCCCTAGCGAGACCAGTGCTTCGCAGAATCTACCACCGGATCGGAAACGCGACCCACTGAGAAGATCCGGCGAGAAACTCAGTGGGCTGCGTCTATGGGTTAATTCGCTTGTCGAGCTCTTCGTCGCAAGCGACGGGTTCGACGAAGACGGTGACCGGTAAGCTTAATAAAACTACAAATTGATATTTAAAACGTTTTGACGAAAAAGCGCTGGTCTGGTATGATCTGGATGTTTTAAGCCATAGCTATGATTAACCACAATTTATGCATGTATTATAATAAGTTGAGGAAAAAGTTTCTTCGCATTTTTCTTAACATTTTTTAATATAGTTTATTTACATTTAACTAAAGTATGTAGGTACTATTTTGTTCGATAACTTTTTGCGATCTTGTAGGTAGGGACATGATCCCAATGCTGTAAAAGTTTTGGGGTTTTTGATCAAAATACCGCGACAATTGGTTTTGGCAGTCCTGTCGTGATGTTAACCTGACACTGTCTAAGAATTCTGAAGAAGCCGAAACAGGTTGAAATCTGAAGGTGCAAGGTCAGGACTATACGGCGGATGCATTAACACCTCCCAGCCAAGCTCTCTTAATTTTTGATGAGTGGCTAAAGATGTGTGAGGTCTAGCGTTATCATGATGAAAAACCACACCCCTTCTGTTGAATAATTCTGGCCGCTTTCTCTCAACTTCTTGCTTTAATCTCAT